CATTTCAGTTCCGTTCCGTTTCGTTTCGTTTCAGAAGAGACAAATTGCTCATGCTCCGCATCACTTTACTTCCGAGCCGTTGATGGATTTGTCACTTTATGACACTGCACTGTGGAAAATTTAGTACGTTTCGAAGCAGTCAATTTAAAAAATATATAATACATGTTAATAAAAGATTACTTATTTAAACCTATTGATTTTATAGTTATACTATTAAATATGAATTTTAGAGATTATATATTAATTTTTAATATATTATACTATATACCATTGAACATGAATATTAATATAGAGGTAATATATTAATTCATAATGGTATAACTATAAAAGAAATATATATAAATAAGCTATTGTTATATAGTACAAAATATAATTCTTTGTATGTAGAAATATATTTTAAATAAATAAACTGCCGACCGTTTTTTTATATTAGAGGTTCATGATTATATTGTCCTAATTCTTACTTTATTCCCCCCTTTTTCAATTAATAAATATATAAATATCTTTACACAAATAAATTTATATGTGTTACTTTTTTAAAATGATTTTACCTTTATTTAATATATTTATATTTCTTTTTTTTCTTTCCTGCCTTTCTAATTAAGAAATGTATTATATATTTTTTTATAAGCTAAATAAATTTGTGAACGTTATTTTCAGTAGAAATTCCACTATTTATTATAAGTTGGTATGATACTTACATTTTTTTTTTCAAAAACCTAATTAATTTCACCTTTTCCAAAAATCTAAGGTCAGCTTAAGGTTTAATTTCTAGCGATAATATATTTTAATTGCTTGTGTTTTGTTTTTTAACTTGAGAATACCTGGAATATAACACAAATATACAATATATATAACATATAATATTAATATCGCTAAAATCCTCAAAATTCTTTTTAGAATATTTTTTCCTTATTCATTTTCCATTTCGATTTTTTTTCAGTGTACTTTTACAGGCATATGGACAGCGCCGCAATGCGCTTTTTTCCTGTGCACTTTGGAAGGCAACAAGAATCTCTAAAGGCTTTCCTTGGGCAACCCTCGGGCGGAAAATGCACTCTGCGATCTGACATCGTAATGAGATCGAAGTGTGGAGACAGGACATGTCAGGACATGCCCAAGAAAAGGTGCATTAAGACAAGGAAATTAGAAGGATATTCTCTGAAACCTAAAACTTCATCCTGCCTCTTATGAGTTGTAACTTATCTACGAAGATTATTTGGTATATTTATAATTGTTATATATTTAAGAATATACACACTATAGGAACTATGTACAAAGAGTTAAAGGGTTAATATCTCATTTTTTAGATATTAACTTTTTCACTCTATACGAATTTATAAATACAATAAATCATATAAAACTTCTGTAAGGGTTAATATCTTTTAAGACATTAACTTTTTCACTCTATACGAATTTATAAATACAATAAATTATATAAAACTTCTGTAATAACGTAACATTTCATATTAATTAATAAACAAAGTGGCTTGCAAATTGCCGAATTCCAGTTAAAATTTGAAATATGTAAAATATCCGTAAAAAACTATTGGATTGGTTATCCTTTAAACCCTTAAAACCCAATCCCTTTCAGTACCACCTAGCGCTAAGGAATCCGAATGGAAACAAATGGGCCAGAGTCAGTTCACAAAAAGCCAGGAAAATGCCAAAAAGCGCATCACAAGTGGCAAGGTGGTGTGTGCATACAAAGGCAGGCAGGTTATATAGGGGAGCTAACAGCAGGACATATCAGCGATGATTGAGCCACTGCAAGGACTCCCTTTCAGCATACATTCACATACATATACATATGTGTGTATGTATGTGCGAGTCGGGTTGAAGAGCTCGTTGAATGATGGGACATTGCATATGACAGAAGGGCTTATGGGGAGTGCTATGGTATCCATGGTACAGGGCCCAGGGAAAAACTGGGAAAACGCTAGACGAGCCACTGACGCGCCCATTAGAACTCTGAAGTGATGACAGGACAAGGTTCCAGCTAACTTTCTAACTTAGCAGGCTCACCAACTGACTTACTCTCCTCTCAAAGGCACAGGGAAAAATATTACAATTAAATCTACAAATTGGGGAATATTTATTAAAAAAGGAATGCACAGAACAAAAAATTCATATGAAAATACTTAACAGGATTTGCTATACATAAAATTATATATATTATTATATTTAAAACAATTATTTGAGTTGCATTTTGATAGCAATTGTTTAGATTTCAGATTTACTTAAATCCCTTGCAACCCTGACACCACTGCGTATGAGTAACATTGTTGCGTATGAGTAATATTTTTTATATATATTTTACATAAAATTATATATATTTTTTATAATAAAAACTATTCTTGACTCTGCATTTTGATAGCAATTGTTTAGATTTTAGATTAACTTGCAATCCCTTGCAACCTGGACACCACTGCGTATGAGTAATATTTTCCATTTCTTGTCATTTAATATTCTTATATTCCCCCTAAATGATTTAAGTTTTGCTCAGTGTATGCCGCATCAACTATTCTTTGTAGCTAACCATTCACTCTGGTAGTCAGTCACCCGGTTTTGACATGGTGCAGGAAAAAATGATTGGCCCCGACTACTGGAAGCCCAGGCACTCCACGGATTGAGTGTGCACTGCATCTGTGAGGGATCTGGGCATTTAAGCCTTTTATGTGTCGCTTTCAATATTAATTAAATGCTTACAAAACCCAGAAACAAAAAAAATACCAAAACCCTCAAGGACTCAACCCTATCCGCCCTATCCATGGACTGGACTTTCGGACTTTTCGACTTCCTTTTTTTTGCGGACTTGTGGAGCAGTCCGCACTCCTTGTTGCTGCATCATTCATTAGTTGTTGTCTGGCCGAAAAAGTTCTTTGGAAGCCAACTCTCTGCTGTTGCAAGCTCCAGTTCCTGTTCCCGGGGCTCATGTAAATCAGAAGATTGTGGGGAGTATTATCGGTGGTGGTGGTGGTAATGATTGTGTGCCGGATTTCCACAGCTGCATCGTGCCTGGTTACTCTGTAAATTATTATGCGGTCTTAAGCAGTAAGCTAAACATAAACTTTCAAAGGGATTTACATATTTTACAACATCAAATTCCATATGAGCTTTTGTTTAATTACAAAAATGAAGGGTTTGCAGTAGAAAAGAATAAAGGTATAAAACAGGTAATATGATATATTGAAAGCTGTTTGAAGCTTTAGTATAATAGGAATTGTTTAAATTTCAGATTTTAAAGAAACTGTTATGTTTACATAAATTTATTTAAAAGGGGACAACGCTGCGTATGAGTAACATTGTTGCGTATGAGTAATATTTCTGTATAAGAATAATATTATTCTAACGGAAATCTAAAAATCTAGAATACAAATATAAAAATAAATAAATTTAGTGAAAAAAATTCAGTGGTAAATATATACATGCAAATAAATAAATATATATAAAAATTGCACCATCGATACTATCAATTTAAAGGCTTTCGACATCACAATTTATGTTTTTAGACTATTATAATACTATCAAAAATATAATATATCTGTTTATATAAAATAAATATTAAATTAATAAATTTAAATTTATTGTTTGTACTATTTACTAGTCATAAAAATAATATAAAATAATATTAAGCCAAAATATCTATATTTATAAGTACGAAGGCTTTAATTTGACTATATAAACAATAATCAAAAATTTGATATTTAGTTAAAATGAGAACAACAAATAAAAATATAACATTTAGTTGTTATTTTGTTTTCTTTTTTTAACTTTATATGAACCTGTAATTATATAATATTAAATACTTGTTAAAAAGAGTTTAAAAATAAATGAAAACTTTTATTTTACATTATTATTATAATAAATCATAATTTGAGGTTCTAAAAAACCGTATTATTATTTTTACGTGGTAAATGTATACGATAGTATCGTGATATTATTAAAAGTAGCCCCAAAAAATAAGAGAAAATATCCATGGCGCCATTTTCAGTCCTAAAATATATAACTTATTCCGTGGAAAGTCTGAAACTATTAAAGCCTTAATATAAGCTTATAAAAACGTTATAGTACCTATTTCTATAAAACCTATTTGCTCTAATTCAGGACAGCTCCATATAATTACATAAGAGACCAAGCTGATAAACCCATTCTGGTTTAATATTCAATTTCAATTTCATTCCGGTCCCACGGCAATCAAGACATCAGAATTTCATACTTCCCGGGCCAACACACCCATCACCCACTTGAACAAAAAAAAAAATGGAAAATAATGAAACTGCTGACAGGAGCACAAATGGTTCACGAAAATATCAAATACGAGACCCTTTGCTGAGTAAAAAAAAAGGGAAGGAAAAAAGGGATTCCCCTTCAACACCTCCTAAAGAAGTTGCACGCATTCTGGTCCCCCCAAATAAAAAGGAAAGAAAATAAATAAAAAAGGACAAGACAATGGGAACCTCAGCAGCTCCCTTTGAGTTTGGTTGGGCGTGTGACAGATACAGCCATTTCAACTTTACAATCTCTTCAAATTAAATTGACCCACGTCACAATTGGTTGAGGAGCAAGGCAGCGGAAGGAAGGAAGAAAGGAAGGACTCCTTTTTCTCCTGTCTAGGCTGTCTGTCCCTCACATGTCAGTTTTTTCCCCCTTTTTCCCTTTTGGAGGAAAACTAAAGGAAAAACGAATAAAGAATTAGTGGGGCAGCCCATTTGATTGCAGTAAGCATTTTCTGATAGTTGTTACACATCTGGGCAATTTAACCGATTTGGTAATAAAACCAATCGATTGGGGGAATATAAATCTTAAAGAACCTGAAACTAATGGTAGTTTAAAGAAATAAATAGTAATTTTTATGTATATAGATACTTTTGTTTAAATATCTTTTGAAGCGCTTTGAATTCAATTTATTTTATTAACTTGTTTTTTTTTAATCTAGGCATCCATGACCCTCCTGTCACTTTCAACTTTCGTTTGTCTACTTCTAGAACACGATTCCTAGAAAATTTCAGTTGCTTCAGACCCGGCCCCTAGAGCGGTCCTATTTTGGAATAGTCCAAATTTAAAAAAAAAAAACAAAAATTTTTGGTTGTGAAAAATTACTAAAGTGGGTAAGGAAAAAATCAAAAGAAAATTTAGCAACAAAAAACGAGAAAGGTAAAGTTTATAACCATTGCAGGTGCAGTGCCGTCATAATGTCGGCATTGCGACTGGTGCCTCGCACGCCGCCGCCTTACGTCAGCTGGCAAGTGGGGCGTCGCTTTGCCAGCGGCGATGGCGTCCGTCTCATGGTCGGTGACCGCGAGGTGGTGGGCTATGGCATCAACGGTCGTCCAATCTATTTCGACAGGTCGGACTTCCCGTTTCCGGCCATCCGGTATCGCACTGTAACGCCGGAGCTGTGCGCAATCCGTGAGAAGGAGCTGGGCGACTGGAAGTCCCTATCGCTGGAGGATAAGAAGCAGCTCTATAGGTATAGCTTCTGTCAAACGTTTGCCGAATTCCAGCATTTCTCGCCAGAGTGGAAGCTCACATTCGGGCTACCATTGTGGCTAGTGGCCATTGCTTGTGGCATTACGGTGATGATGAAGACCATGCTGTACAAGAAGACGCCGGACACTTTTGACGATGATCGGCAGTCGGCACAGTTGCGCAGAATGATCCAGTTACAGATGGAGCCGATCACCGGAGTGTCCTCCAAATGGAACTACAACACAAACAAGTGGAAGTAGCTGTTGTCCTGTGGCCCACTTCCAGATCCTTAATTGAATTGCCGTACATACATACAAGTTTTTTTTCGTTTTAAGAAGCATGACAAGCAAGGAATCGTTCACGTTCACGTTCGTTAAACAATAGTTTGGGATCACAATACACCACACCAACGAGCGTTAACCATTGTTCGTAACTCCAACACACCAACAAACGTTAACCATCTTGCGCAATTCGAACACAACAACGGGCGTTAACCATCTGTCGTAATTCCAACACACCAACGAGCGTTAACGTAATTTGAGCACACCAACACTATCATTACGATATTCACAACACATTGGCAATGCAAACACATGAGTGCAGCGTTTTACAGACTTAACCTAATCTTGCATATTCGACGAAGTTTTTTCATTAACACACACAACTTAACAAAAATACATTTACAGAAATTGAAATGGATCTATTTAGGACACCCTGTTAACAAGACGAACTTGCAATTACATATGGAATTAATGCAATTACAATTACAATTACAATTACAATTACAATTGCAACTACAACTACAATTACAATTACAATTGCAACTACAATTACAACTACAATTACAATTAATCGGGCTTAAAGCAAATACATTACCTCCCTCGATCGGTTGGGCGGGGGGTGGATGTGGGATCTGCGCGCGCAACGGAATAAAAAACAAAAACAAAAATACAAAACAACACTAAATGTTATGTAAAAACACGATCCTGTACCCTAACCGATGGCTTAGGCACTATTTATATATGTTAAATTATACAATGCAATGCTTCATTCAAAAAAGAAAGTGGTTATTAATTTTGTAGAGTTTCCCGAAGGAAAAGCCAGAGGTCTTTGAGACTAAATAAGCAAAAAATCCTTAATGATCATAATTAAAAATTACTTGTAGCCCACAATTTCACCCATTAAAGGACTCTCTATTGAATTGAGTTAAAAATGCGCTTTATTGCAATCTTGAATTGAGATTTGTTTGTTTTCTTTAATACATCTGAATCGGCTGCATGCGGTGTCATGTCGCTGACTGTACTTTGGATGTGTTTTAATGTAAAGGTGGTCTCGTTTTTAGTATGTATGTTTATGCACGTCGCAATGCACATGTATGTATAGTGGCATGTATGTATGTAAATACTAACATCAGTTTTTTTACATTTTTTATGTTTTGTTTTTATTTTAATTTTTTGTTGTATGAATTCTCTGTTTTTGTTTCAAAATTTGTGTCATCATCATGGTGCATCACATGCATGGAGTACAGTAGTCAATGCCTAAATGGTCGAACAAAGCTCAAAGCTTCTTCAAAACTAGGTTTTAAGTTGGAAAAGGGTATATGTGTGTATAGATCGAGTTTAAGTACGGCCAATTTCTTAAGAGGAACACTGAAACTGAAGATAGAAACAAATATTCAGCAATTTCAAATGTACTCGCTTGTTTCTCTTTTTCAAAGGGATTTGATTTAAATATTTGTTTTTTTAATTGTTTTTGTGTTTTTGTTTTTATTGAACCTGGTTGTATTTTTTCGTTTCTTGTTTCTCATTTATATTAATTTATTTTAATGCTACCACAAAATATATATATATATATATACAGATACATATATATATATTCCTCAGATACATTTATATAACTACTTAGAGAACATCATGTAACTTGAATAGTTCTTGGCAGTTATTATTTGCATATACATATTTTCATAATCCGTTTTGCTTTAAAAATATTACCTCACGCACATTGCATTACATTTTCTTAGCATTTCCTCTTGCCATCGCTCTGTCGATTTGATTAATGTACGATATTTGCGACATAAATACGCATTTCTCTTACATACACATAAATATACATACATATATGTATGTATCCTATGCATATATACATTTATATATATATATTTATATTTGTATCCTCTTAAAGTTGGGCATATCATATGCTTGTATTTTTTATAATTTCTTTCATTTCCCGACCTCCCCCCGGACAGGAGTATATATATTTCTGGGTTCCACTGGGTCCTAACTCCTCATTCTCGCTTTACACATTCGACAAAAAATTGTATTTTAAGTTTATCTCGCATTTGGGTTTTGTGTGTGTGTGTTTCAAGCTAAATTGAATTAAATAATTAATTTTAATTATTTTATTAAATAACTACTACGTTGAAAATGAGTAAATGGTGTATGTGTGTGTGTATTTTGTTATCTGATTTTCCTGATTTCTTTTTGATTTCGCATGCCTTGTGTTTGGGTGTTTCAAATGGTTTCCTGCTGCTGTTTGTTTGTTGCTGCTGTTGTTATTATTATTAATTAATATTTTTGTTGCTAAACATTTCGCTTGTTTAATTGGCAGTGCAAGTTTTGTTTTTATTTTTGTTTGTGTTCGTGTTTGTTTGTTTTTGAAATTGAAATGATCGAATTAAGGCAAACTGCACGGAGAGTACACATAATTGAATCAACTTGCAACAACGCAAAATAGGGAAAGGAAAACAAAAGTGTGTAATGGAATTGAGATTAAGATTGAGACTGCAATTGAAATGAAAGTGTGGAAATCCTATCGAGCGTCCAGCGCAGAGATCCTTTTTCCAAGCCCAATCCAGTTGTGGTTTATGTGTGTGTGCATGTGTTTTGTATATGGATCGCATGTAGTATTTTCTTGGATGTCTGATTGGGTATTTGTCCTATGCGATACGACGAGTTATGCACTATATAATAGCATATATACTATATTGTTGTGTACCCTAAAACTCGATCCCTCTCGTTTCCATTTGCATTTGCTGATTCTGTAACTGTTTGCGTATCCGTGTCCGTAATCCGATCCACTCTTCGCTTCGTCGCCAGACTTTAGCCATTTTGGGTAACAACACTCTTATGTCTTATGCCATGCCATGCCAGGTGTGTGTCTTGTTGTGTGTGAACTCGCTGCTTTTCCCACTGCTGCTGCTGCTGCCGCTGATGAATGCTGAATGCTGATCCCATGCCATCGCGTTGGTCCTTCAGTCCCAGCCATTCTCCTTGATCATGTGCGCCAGCTCAATGATGAACTTGCCCTCCTTGTACTTTTGACTGGACTCGTAGGCATGCTCATATTTCCAGCCCAGCGGCGTCTTACAGCACTCACAGTATATATCGGCCACGGCATGGAGGCCAGTGAGCAGGACCCGCTCTTCTGTCTGGCCGCAGGCCACATTCACCACCGAATTGAACAGATATGCCGGCCCCTGGCTGCCCTGGAACGATTTCGAGATGAGCTCGTCGTGGGAGGCGAGGTGGGCGCGGCAGTGAACACATGAGTATGTCCGATTCGTGGACGGTAGATAGGCTTGAAACGTCTTCACCATTGTGTCGTGTATTGTGGATATCCGTTTCCGCTATCCCTGATTGGAGCTCCAAGCCTCTATTTAAAGGAATCTATAGACTGCACAATCTCTTTTTGGGGTTGTCTGTCCTTCAAAGGGTCCTCTTTCCTGAAATTAAAGAAGACACACTTTAGTAATTATACACATAGTTCATTTTTGGCAGAAATTAGACAATTACTTATTGGAAAAGATATCTTATGAGCTGCAGAACGTTCGATACGACTCAAAAAACTACTATTTAAAATATGATAAGCCCGTCTTTAAATACATCTTTGTTGAATAAAACATAATCTTTAATTTGCCAGCTGGTTTTGCAAATTGTTCTGTTTTGTTTCTGCCTTTCATCATGATAATTACCTTAAAAACAACTGCAAAATCAAGTTAATAGCTATCTTTTCCTTACCTTGATCAGGACCAGAACACTAACACTTTCTGTTTCTGTCTCGGTTTTATCTGTGCTATATCTTTCGATCCAGCGGGCGTTGTTAACTGCTCTGTGCTCGCTCCACCGCAAAGGGTCCGTTAACGGAAGGGGCGGAGGAATGTGCGACCGCGGTTGCTGTCATTGAACGATTATTGTTGCAATCCGTTCGCTATGCCACCTCTGTCACCTCTGCGATGTCGCTGCGGCGATTCCAATCCCGATACCCGGTTCCCGGTTCTGCTTTCGATTCCGATCACAAGCCCGGGCTATATCAGATTTCCGGCTGCCAAAGAAAACTGCAAGTAAAAGCCGTAGGAAGCAAAAAGGTGAATTAATAATGCATGTGTTTGTTGCCTTTGCCGTTGTGTGTCTGTTATGCAAAGCAGAATTCAAGCCAAGGAGAAACAGCCAGAAAAGCAGGGTCAGAGCCGCTGCCACAGGGAAAGTGTGATGGGAGGCATGGCGATGGTGCAAGGGGGTGTGGGGGCAAAGCCGTGGCTATAGATATGGTCAGGGCATTTCCATTATTGATTTCCATTTGCAATCTCTTTGCCTTTGGGCGTTGGTAATTCCAGTGAGCAGAACACTGACACACCACACTACCAACCCATGGATAATTGCCGCACCGAAACCAAACAAAGCCGGCAAAATATAGTCCAGTTTAGCAGATCAAAATGATACCCTCTATTCACAGTCGGATGCTTTCATCAAGCGCAAGAGATGCTTAACAAATCGTTTTTGATTTCAAAATCGGCAACCAAAATGCAGGTACGTCTTTATCTAAAATTTGGAATATCCTTTTTTTCTAAACAATTTTAGTATAAAAATTTCAATATAATATGTAGATAAAAATATTGCATTGAATATTATAAAAAAAATGCCATAAAGTTTGATGTACCAATATTTCTGTTATCGAAAAATATCGAATTTATCTTATAAAAAATATCAATATTATTGATAACAATAATAAAAATATTAGACAAATATTTTTAAATTGTTTTCATTTTTTTATTATATTTAAAATTTAGAACTATCCTTTTTAAAAGCCTCTATCTTGTTTAGACACTTTTTTGACACTTTAGAATAGATCGTATATATCGATACGTTAAGGAATCGATTTGAATATCGACCTTAGTAGTAATTATTGGTACTGTATTCATCTTTTCTGCTTAGTTTAGAATTTACCAAGGCTTCTATGCCACACAGATTATTGGTATGTAGGCAGATTACACAATTAACGAAGGTAATCATCTCTCAGTAAAAGCTTAGTAAGAACTTACAGCTTCTATATAAATCACAGCAAAGGTACTCCGCAGAAGCTTAAAGGGGCTTGGTAAAATTGAAAAGAATTCAGTGGTTTCAAACAAACCCACATAACTAATTAGTTTGCTCTAGCTTTCATATGTAACTTGCACAGATGTATGTACTTATTTATAATGATTGTGAAATACAATATGCCCTTAACCCAGATAGTGGATATCAAGAGTGTGGCAAAAATACACCTTTCAAGTTGCACATGTTTTTGGCAAAACTTGCTGCAATTGCCAGATGGAGATCTCTGAGAGAATCCATTAGCGCGTTTAGATGCTAAATGATTAATGGGCATGGCAGTGCTTGGCAGTAAACAACGAATCATCGCCCCAATCAAGTGAGTGACGCTCCAAATCTTTGAAAATAAGCCCAGGTAGGGGAACATTAAATGGGACAAATCTGTGGCTACCCATGAGTGGATGCGCATGAATAATGCCAATTGGCATCTTTTATTCATTCCAGCTGGGCGCCGTATCGTTATTACCCGCCGCCTTTGTTCCTGCCACCAACTCCTCCTGGCAAAGCCGCTAATTGTTATTCACTGACCGCCCCGATGATGTTTACCCATTGATAAGTGGCCAGTAGGCTTGGTATGAGGAAGTCGGTACAGACAATGACCGATTAAACCTATTCCCCGTATTCCCCTCGTGCCTGAAGTGAAGTGGAAGTCCCGATATGAGTGGGCGATACGGTTGAGTGTTGCAAATTGGACAAACTTCCATGGAATCTATAAATGGCGTAAACATATCATTGAATTGAATCAAAATCAAGGTCGATATCCCTCTGAATGCCAAAAGAATTATATTTCCATGTTACTATAGACATTTGTCCATAAATTATATTAAAGGTTATCATAAATATAAAATAGGAAAATTCAAATTTCAGCTTAAGCTTATGCTTGAAATATTTACTATGTATTTTTACCAGGTTTAAAAGCAAGCTCTTTTTATGGTTTTAAAATGTTGTTTTTTTATTAGTGAGTAATAAAAAATAACAACTAATGTTTTGCAGTTAAAATACTGCTGGCAGATGGTTAGCATTGAATTTTACTAATGACTACAACATAAAGATAACAATGTTTTGTATTTTATCATTGCATTGCTGCTAATATTTTGACCGCAGTTGTATTTGCTCATATGGCCCTCTGCTGTACTCTGTTGTCCTGTCTGCTTTTTGCTTTCAACAAGTAGAAGGAATTGACGGGTTCGGTTTTCGCATTTGGATTAACAGGTAAAAATGCAATTCACCTTATAATTAAAGCCTCGTTCACCCCTGGGCCCCCGCTTTGTTTCTCCACCGTTTCTCCCTCCCACACGCTCCTTCATCGGCGCCTTCTGTTCAATCTCCAAAATGCAAATTGGCTGCCGACGGCGACGTCGCTGCCACCATCGCTGCCTGCACCGGCGATTTGAACAAAGAAACCAAAGGAGCGGGCAGAACAAAGCGCAGAGAGAGACAGATAGCGTAGCAGAGGAGCAAGGAGAGGAAAGAGGAAAGAGCGACAGAGAGTGCATAAAAGGGAAATGCACTTGGACCCAGACAACAAAGAAATTCGCGTTTCCCGCCCCCTTTAACGGTTAATTAGCATTTCAATTAGGAAATCTGTCTGCCAAACTTAATTAATTAAACTTTATCATCGCAGTAGCAGTAGCAGCAGCAACAGAAGGAACAACAAACACACACACACACCAGCGAGTTCACTGAACCACAAAAAAAAAATACAAACAATAAAAAACATAAGATTAAGTAAAGAGAGAAGCAGAAGAATAAAGGAATCCCGCAAAAGTTCTTTGTCACTCACTTGGCGATTTCTTTGGCGCTTCTTTGCAATTATTCTTCAAATTGATTTCTATTAATTTTTTGCACCTCAGTTTATTTTGTTTACTTTTTTTTTGCGTTCGCTCTCTCAGTGTTTTGGGTTCTTCTTCTTGGCACGACGAAACGAACAACCAAAGCGCGCAGCGCGAACTGTGAAAAGCGAATGACGCTGCTTTGGTAAAAAAAAAATCGCAGGCCAGCAGCAGGCTGAGGCAGCGACGCCGGCGTCGAGTCGGACGACGACGCAGCAGGTGGCAGAGACGTCGGCGATAAAGGACAAATATGAAATGGGAAGAATAAGAAGACTAACAAATAGAACACGATGGGACACGACCATCTGAATACCCTACATTTTGACGGTAGTGGAACCCTGTCGGGATTAACTAAATTCTCTCCTAGGCTAACTTTATTGAAACATATTGCTTAAAGACTATATATGTACAATATACATACATACATACATATGTACGTACATACCTTTCTATAAAGCGAGTAACGGGTATTAAAAGCTTGCAAAAACAACAATTGGAGCAACGCATAATGCGTGCTCAATGAACAAACAAATTACGTGCAATTTACAATTGCAATCAAGACGCCGCCGCCGCCGCCAATGCAAAGAATGAAAAGCTACATATGAAAAATTGTGCGCTGCAAAAGGTAAGTGTACAGGAAAGCAAAGTGCAATTGCCGTTAGAAGTATTAACCATATTCTTGTTATTGCACTCTGTCCCGTTCCCCCTACCGACCCGGCTCCGTCCCACCTTGTCACTCTGTCGCCTACCAATGGCTTTAAATGTGGGCAGGCAACAAAGTGGCTTTTGTCATTTTCTTACTTCTTTTTTTACAACTTAATGTACGTGCGAACAGTGGTGGTCATAAAAGTAAGAAAGATATACTGAATTGTTTTCTATTAAAAATTAATATGTAATGTTAAGTAAATATTCTTAAAATATTATACAACTTGTCATTTACTAATGTATAATCTATGATGTCGAAATACTACCTTTTCTAGTGTATTACGACCGATTAAAGCAGAGAAATATCTACTATATAGAAACGGTGGTATTAATAGCGGATTTAATGGCAGACAGCAGAGGGAATTATGTATTAATGCAACAATGTGGCGGTAATTAGGGCTATAAATTTGATGAAATCTTTAACGGGTCTGTTTTAAAATTAGACAATTTTAATTTCCGGGAATATTAAATCTGTTCTAGTGCCAAACGTTTAACAGTGTTACCTATTTTTTTGGCCCCCACTGCGGTGGTAACAGCAACAAGCGACAGCCGTGTAACGGTAAGTCTGCTCATGTATCGCGATTGTATGTCAGCGTCGACAGCGGCGCAGACTGAGGCGGCGGCAGAGGCAGCCAAGTGACGGGCGTCGCGTGTTGAAAGCAACAACTTTAACGGTACTGTGCTTGCAACAGATCGAAATTAAAAAATAAAAAAAATATATGCAATCTGCAATATCAGCTGTTTTTGTCGTGGTTCTGTTGGTTGACAAATACGTATTAATTGCCATAATTTCTTGAGGGCAGACCGCAATCTCTGAACTTCATTTGCGGCTGATTATTGTTTATTGTTTACTGTTTATTCTTCGTCTACGGCGAAGAACTTTTGCGTCGTTCTCTCTGGGTTTCCTTTTCTGTTATTATTCTCATTTGGCAGAAATGCAGGGTATTTAATGAGGTAGATTTGTTATCACTCGAACACAAGTGTAATCAGGCAATGTGGCGTAAATTGTGCATGAGACTCTTGAAAAGGCTCTTTAAAATATTTATAAAATTATTTTCTATACATTTAGTCATATATATTAACAGGGTATACAGTGTTCTAATTAACTTTAATAACGCTTCAAACGCAAAAACAAAAAACAAAACAAACGCAATGGTAGAAGCGAATGAAGAAACAGCAACAAAAGAGGAGCCCGAAGAAGAAGAGGAACGCGATGGTAGCAACGACCGAACAGTGACGCCCCCTGCACCTACTCTCCTTTCACCACGTCCCCACAGATGTTTTTGTTGTTGGTTTTGGCTGCCGTTTGCTTTAGCTGCTGCCATTTCGCTCGCCCTGCTGTTTGGGGTCAAAAGCGTCAATGGCGTCGCTCTTAAATAACTTCTCTCCGTCGTTCTTATCCCTCTTACTGTTTTTTTCTCCCTCTCTACCACTCTCTTTTTCCGGGGGGATGAGCGAGATAAAATACTGATTAATGGCGGGGGGAGAAAAAAGAAAGGGGGAAACAAAACAAAACAAATCTAACAGCTGATGCAATAGAAAGAGAGAGAGAGAGAGAGATCGCTGGACTGAGCTTTGGATCAAGCGGATATATGTCTATATACATATGCGTGTATATGTTTATTTATATATAAAAAACCGCATTCGATTGTGGTCGCTTTTCTTATCAGAAAATAACATGAAATTTATTGCGTTGCGAAGTCGCTGCTGGTCACTGCGACGCTGGCAGAGACAGGCACAAAGAGAGAGCGAGAGAGAGGGCGAGAGGTAAACAAAAATACACAACAGCTGCGGCAGCTCACACACATGCACACACATGCGCAGAAACAAACAAAAACTGCGAAAATCCTGCAGACCCCCTACAATCCCCCCCACCGACCCATCAAATTTTTCAACAACAAAGTCAGCTGTGTGTGTGGTGGAAGGGAAAGGAGAGCAAAACACTGCGAGATCGAAAATCAGAGGAATGAACTTTAAGACAAGCGCTCTCTCCCTCTCTTTTTTCGGAGTTTTACTAACAAAAGGCGCAATTTGTTTAACAGCTGAAAAAGAAGAAAACACAAGCACGTACATAGACACAAAACACAAACACACACACGCCACTTACATACATATGTATATGCAGGCAAAACAAAATAGAAAACAAGAAGAGAAGAAAAACAGCTATCTATACATATAAACAGTTTTCTGATGTTTTTGCAACTGCGTTGGCCTAATGGTGTGACAGAGGGGAAGGGGGGATTAACTGTCAAACGGCGGACTTAGGTAAATGTTGCAAACACTTACGTTCTGTGTGGTTGCTTGCTTGTTTGTTTGTTGTCTTGTTTCAAACATTAGAACGAACACTGGGTAGCGCACGACAGCACACACACAGCCACAGAGAAACGGGCAAAAAACCAGGCAGCGACTTGCCAAAATGGCACTCTTCTATTCTCTTCACTTGTATAATAATGCAGCAGCAGTTTGTTTCTGCATTGTTTCGTTTCTATTTCCACACATTTGTTGTTGTGTTGTACTTTTCGTCAGTGTGACCAGATGGCAGACGCAAAAACCCCACAAAATAGTGTCTAGAACTCGGAGCTTTTGAAAGGTGCGCGGGAAATTGGCAAAAACGTTATATTATTGATAAAATTAAAGCGCTCGTTTTGGGAGTTTTATTTAACATTTATTATTGTTCTCAGGACCACGCCATTAACTAATGAAATTAACGTGTTTGGTGCATACAAAAAATGATAAACAGAGTCATTCAGGGCAAAGAATTTTAAGATGTCTTCAACAGTTTTGGGTTTTTTGTATAATAAATTGATTTGCAAGACATAATTAAGGCAAAAAACTTTGTAATGACAGTTGAATGCCTCTCATGTTTAATAATTTTACGATAGCCTGGCAACTCTGTTTGGGGAACTAAAAACTATATATATATATATATTTATACTATATTTTATTTAATATGCACTTGAGAATTTGGCAGAATACTTATATAAATTAATTAAACTTTAATTTTTCTGTTTATATATTTTCTAATTAGGCGGGGATCAATGGGTAGGTTTAGTATTTTTTTTAGCACTGCAGATTTATTTTGCACTCATGTGCTTTGGTATTTTTTCTGTAGTCGTCAGTCGGTCACTCTGATTGGACATTTTTGGCAAAAACAGCGGCAGATCGTTGAAGTTTTCTCGTGTTTCTTTTCGCCACCACTCCAACTAGAAAAAGGTGAACATAAAGGGAAATCAAGCACTTTTCATTGGCTTAATGCACCGAAGAATCCCAAGGCTAATTTCCACCGCTTGGTCGGAGAAAAATCAATTGATAGCCGCTTGCCCGCCGCCGCCTTAACCTACAAAGTTACATAATTTGGTTATTTTGTTGTTAAGCTGCTGGATAGCATGAAAACTGAACTCTAATGCTTACATCTTCTACTCCACCTTGCAGTGCAGGATGTCGTTCGTTAAGAATGCCCGTTTGCTGGCCGCCCGCGGCGCCCGTCTGTCCCAGGCCCGCAACTACTCGGACGAGATGAAGCTGACCTTCGCCGCCGCCAACAAGACCTTCTACGACGCCGCCGTCGTCCGTCAGATCGATGTGCCCTCCTTCTCCGGCTCCTTCGGTATCCTGGCCAAGCACGTGCCCACGCTGGGTAAGTCCGTCAGCTTGCGAATTGCCTCGTCCAACTGATTATATCACAGCGCTTATCAACCATCTCTCTTTTTAGCCGTCCTCAAGCCCGGCGTCGTCCAGGTGGTAGAGAACGATGGCAAGCTGACCAAGTACTTTGTGTCCAGCGGCTCGGTGACCGTCAACGATGACTCCTCCGTCCAGGTGCTGGCCGAGGAGGCGCACAAAGTTGAGGACATTGATGTGGCCGAGGCCCGCCAGCTGCTCTCGAAATACCAGTCACAGCTCAGCTCCGCTGGCGACGATAAGGTGCGATTTGGTTTTGTTTAAAGCGTAGCCTTTGTAGTCTTTATACGTTAAATAGTTAGTTTTTAGGGTTTTCGTGGATACAAAAAAAAAAAAAAAAGCATAAAAGGGTTCTGTAAATCTAGTTTTTTTTTGTATAATTAGGCTAATTTTTATTTCACACCCTCAGGATATTATCTTCAAAGGTTTACCTTAGATTATATTAATATTTCTTTGAAGGTCAATATTTTTTCAAGTACGGAAACGCAAATTCCTAAATAGTATTCTTTATAATCTATTTAAGTTTGATTTTAATACTTATAAGCCTTTATAAGTATGTTTATATAACATAAAAGGTGTTTCTAGTGAATATTTAACTCTGATAAGGTAAAGTTCTTCAAAAGCATTAAGTATTACACGCAATTAAGAATTGTATGCTTTTAAGGCTTTCTAGTGCATGTGGACACCTTATTTGGCTCCAAAGTAGTATCTATGAAGTGCACATAGTCGTAAAAAAAAAATGCACAGGTAATATTTAAGCAAAAATTGAGACTATGTTTCAATTTAAACTAAAAATATGCGTAGCCTAACTTAGGTAAAATGTAAGAAATGTCTTAGAGTATATGGTTTTATAGTCAGAAAAGCTTCAGGAAAAGCAAAAGATCGGCCCAGTCTTTAGATACCAATATATAATATTATTTACAAGCTTATAAGTCCTCTAACTCTTTTTAGATACCAATGTACATTTAATTATAACCTTGTAAATCCTGTAATTAATCGTTTATCCTTTATTCTTGTTCGTTGCAGGCTAAGGCCCAGGCTGCCATCGCTGTGGAGGTTGCCGAGGCGTTAGTCAAGGCCGCCGAATAGACGTAATCACCGCCACCAACAACAGAAACAGTAATAACAACAACAACAACAACATCCACAAAACTTGATGCTTTGTGTCTGAAAATATAAATAAAACATAACGATCGATATCCCCTCAAAAGCCTGAGCGTTATGAAACAATAAAAAAAGCGAATCATAATATGGTATTATAATGACCCGTGATCCGATCCGCCAAAAGCAAACATCAAACGACGCCTTGTCGCAGTTTTTTTTCTTTCTTTTCTTTTTTTTGTGTGTGTGTGTGTGTTAAATGTTTAAACATTTGTGTGAAGAGAGAAATGTGCAATTTTGGGCAGTGTGGGACTCTCGTTATGCTAATACATTATTAGGGCCAATCTTTAAATCATATTTTTATATGGAATGTGTGGAGAGATGAGGAAAGTGATAGAAATATTGATTTAATACAAAATTTGTTTTGCATTGCCAAAATTTCCTATTGGTAAGAAGTTTAAAATTATCAAATATAATAAATAAAATTGTTTCTCTCGTTTTTAAAAGATCAATTCTTTATAGCATTATTGAGAAGCAAGAATTAAATGCATAAAATATGGGTTTAGATCAGGAATCTTATAGGCTTTGGGTTTATATGGGTATTGCTGGTCAAAGGAAACGGAATGCAACAGTTCAAGGATCTATCTCTGACCCTGCCAAGTATGCTTACTCTTGTTCTGCATCACCAGGCGAGTAGATTTAGACATCTTACATTATAAATCCTTTTAAATTATAGACTGTAAGTTAGGAATAGGAGAGGTCATATTGATTTATCTATACTGTATCGATATTTAACGCGAAGTATAATATTTAGAGAAATATATGTGTGGTAAATCTATAATCTGTTTTATATATCGTACAAATATTATTTGAAAAATAATATATTTTTGATATTGTTTGAAAATATACACATTAGTCCTATTATATATTTTCAATAATTAGATGAATAGAATGATTAGAAATTCTTTAAATATTTTTGGGTATTTAAAAAACTTTGTATGCAAACACAAAAATGTAAATGAAACCACTTTAGAAACAAACCGGGTTTTGTTAAGCAAAGTCAGTTAGTTATAAAAGGGTTTTGATTGTGAAAAACCCTTTGTATTTTCTTGACCTTTCTCCCCAATTAATTAATCAACCAAAATTTTTTTGGGATTTTTCTATGTGTATATTTTCTAACAAAAAAAATGCGTGGTAAAAAAAATGTCTTAAATTAAACTCATGGCGTTGTGTAGGAATGGTAATAATGCTCTCTCGATGCAGTTAGCAGGAAGGTCCTTCGAAGATGTGTGCGTGTGTGTCTGTGGGCTTTCCTGCTTGCTCTCTGTGTGCATGTGTGTGTCTAGTAGGCGGGAGGGCCATAGGTCTGGGCTGGGGCATGGCCCACGGGCAGAACCTGCTCCTCCGGTGCAAAGACGGGTGCTGGCGCAGGATGAGGCACGCTCAGGACAGGAGCCGGTGCTGGGGCGGCATACACAGGAGCAGGGGCTGGTGCGGAGTACACGGGAGCAGGTGCTGGTGCGGAGTACACGGGAGCTGGGGCAGGGGCAGCATAAACTGGAGCTGGGGCAGGTGCAGCATAGACTGGAGCTGGGGCAGGAGCAGCATAAACTGGAGCTGGGGCAGGAGCAGCATAGACTGGAGCTGGGGCAGGAGCAGCATAGACTGGAGCTGGGGCAGGAGCAGCATAGACTGGAGCCGGAGCAGGAGCAGTATAAACTGGAGCCGGGGCTGCGATATCCTGAACGGGGGCAGGTAAGAAGCCACAGGCGAAGCCACTGGTCCGGGCACAACAATGGGAGCGTAGGCTGGTCCGGCAGCCGGAGCTGAGTGCTCGTGGATCACGCGCACCACCTTGGTGGCACCGGCACCGCCCGAAGAGTAACCGCCCGAGGAGTAGCCACCCGAGGAGTAGCCACCCGAAGAGTAACCGCTGTCGTGGCTCTCGTGGACAACCTTGATGACCTGAGAGACGGCACCGCCCGAGGAGTAGCCGCCGCCGCCGCCGCCAATGAAGGCAGGTCCCGGAGCAGGTCCAGAGGCCACATTCACCACCTTAACGATCTGCGGGGCGCTCTCAACCAGCGGGGCACTGACCAATGGAGCGGACTCCTGCAGGACCTTGATCACCTTCACGGAGGAGGGAGCTGGACCGGCAGGTGGCAGGTAGACGGGTGCAGGAGCAGGTCCATAGCCATGGCCGCCGCTGCTACCACCGGAGATGACTTTCACCTTGAAGACCTGAGGAGCAGCCTCGTACGAGTAGCCGCCGCCCGAGGAGTAGCCACCGGCAGAGTAACCGCCGCCGCCGCCCTGCTGGTGGATCACCTTGACCACCTGAACTGGGCCACTGGGGCCGTGTCCGCCATGTCCACCATGTCCGCCGTGGTAGCCACCACCGCCGCCGCCGGAATGTCCGCCTCCGTTGCCACCGCCTCCTCCATTGGCGCCCAGGCTGATGCTTGCCTTCAGGCCGCCACCGCCGCCGCCGCCACCGCCACCACCACCACCACCGCCTCCCAGGAGACCCAGGAAGCCGGCGTTGGCCACAGCGAAGAGAGCACACATGCAAACGAAGACCTGCCAAAGGATATAGAAGGTATATGTCAGTGGGAGCAACAGAAACATATTTCTAATTATGGAATTTACTAATTAAATAACACTAGAATATATTTAATTTTTGAAAAAACCAAAAATACTTTCTGGTAAAAATATTTTTGATTTGAAATTTTTGTTTTTAATATAAGAAATCCTTTTCATATAACATTTTTTTATTAGAAAATTAACTTTTGAAGTTTCTTTAATTTGAAATATTTGAAATTTCTGTGGTTCTTATTTCTATATTTCACAGAAAATCAATTTTTTTAATAGAAAAACTTTGTGGTTTAAGATTTTCATGACTAATAACTTATTTAAGTTTAGAAATTTTCGTTTTCCTTTATTTTATGGATTTTTTGGCACTTTTTCTTAAATAAAACAAAAAACACTTTTGCAACAATTTAAAAAAATTAATGAGTTAAAAAAAAGAAGTATAGAATATCCAGGATACTTTTTAGTTATGTTCACAAGACCTTTATGGTTCGTTTTCACTTTTCATATATATTTCATATCACACAGGATATTTTCGGTTTCTGATTTTTGTTATATTTTTCGTGGAGGAAGAGGAGGAGCTCACCTTCATGCTGACCACTAATCCACTTGATGCGATGATACCAATTCCCAAAAAAAAACGCCTTGAGTGCCGATGAGCAGCGACTGATGTCCAATCGATCGGAGACCTAGTCTTTTATACGATGTAAGCGATCATTGGCGAACAAAAGGCGTTGAATTAACATTTCCAAACCACCCATCATCATGGGCATGGGCATTGGTCGTCGTCTTGGGCATCATCTTTTGGCTTTCGATTTAATTTTCACCATGGGCGCAGCAGCAACATCAGCAGCAGCAGCAGCAGCAGCAGCAGCAGCAGCAGCAGCAGCAGCAGGTCTTTTGCTGCATTTCCGAAATTCCGTAAGGGGCTCCCACAATTAGCATGAAAATGAGACGCTCCGATAGTGATAAGCCCACAGCGGCTTTCATATTTTCAGTTTTCGTTTCAGGTTTAGGTTTTCGTTTTCGTTTTCGTTTTAACATACATAGTTTTAGTGGCTGTTTTAGTTTTCATTTTCGTTTTAGGTTTTATGTCATTTGCATACACGGGCATGCTGCAGAGAGACATTGCCTCACAAGGCGGCCGGCTGTCTGTCATAAACCAAAGCAAAAGCTAAAGAGCCACAGCCCAACCCAATCCCCCAAGGTGGCGGCATCCAGGTATTTCAAGGTGAATCGGAATCTGTTGTCAACTGGCTGCCTGGCTGGCTCATCATCATCATCATCATCATCCATTGATGATCGTCTTTGGCTTTCTGAGATTATGCAAGCGGTCGCATCGTTTATGTCGCATCTTTTGAGCCCATGTAAAACGCATTATGTTGGCCCAATAAGCATAAAATCAATTGGCCAACGGGGCGGATCAGTGATGAGAGGAATGAGGCTGATTTGTATATATAAAATATAAATATATACTTAATATATATATATATCTTAGGGATATGTTGTTGTAGAATATAAATAACTTATCTTCAAGTTTTCTGTTCTATTTAATATTTAAGAAAATTCAAGATCTTCCATAGACCTCTGTACTTTTTCTTGGAGGATTGTAAGGTGTATGGATCCTAAGCCATATAACATATACTTTGAGCTATCTAAAGAGTAATAAAATCTGGTGCAAATTATATAAAAGATCCCTACCTTAAAGAACTTTCCCTATTTCATTAATTTTTATTACAAATATAACATTATTAAGTTCTTTAACAGTTCCCACAGATCTTCAAAAATAACCCCATTAAGTTTCATGTTTCTTGATACAGAGATTCCTATTTAATTCATCACGATTAAGACTTAACACCAATGTTTACCTAACTAATTAGAAGGAATTTAATTTTAATTATTAAATAATAATAAACAAATTTTCTTTGACTGCACTAAATACACCTGTGAAAGCCAGAGTGTGGGAAAATTAACGGCTTGAATCAAAGGTTGCTACACCTGCACTCTGTCCTAATCGTTTTCATGATCTTTATGGATTGTTTATTGATGTGTGTTTGAGTAACACGTTTCACTTGAGATATCATAGTACAATATTATATAGTTTTTCCAAATAACAAAAGCAAATTAAACTTATTTTTCCATTTTAACCGATTTAATTTCTTCATAAATCATCCTAACTTAACCTTTGGCTTTCTAGCCACATCAAATCAATTATTTGGTTAATTTATTATGACCTTAATTTACTCAGTTTAAAGGGAGGGAAAATCAAATAGCAGTTTAGTTTAAATAAATGAGCAAATATTTTTAATTTATAAACATTAATCATAGCAAGTTGTATTTTTAGCTATACCATTATTTTATTAACTTTGTAATCCCATCGGATTAAACATAACCGAAGCTAATTAATTATTGATCTTTAAAATGGAAATTAAGAAAACTTTAGGTTGAGTTTATTAGAAATCTATGAAGAATTCTATGTGTGAGAGGCATAAAGTTTATAAAGATTGTAAACAGTCACCAAATATTGTTTTTTGGATCAAAACAGTCGTTAAAAAAGTCAGCAAACAACATATAATATTATACCATTGTTATAGAAATATTAAGAAAGCCTCATTTTAATAATTTGTTCATTTTAATCAGAGTTTATTTAGCACATTACAAACAAAAAGGTAGTGAAGTGGATCGAGAGTGTTGGTGATTATCCAGTTTACTTCTGCTTCAGCCAACCGCCATAGGACTGGATGAGGGGAGCATCGTAGACGGCGGCATGGCCGACACGAACACTGGAGGTCAGCACCGGAACGGAGTCAACAACGGGAACATGACGCACCACCGGGACATGACGGACAACGGGAACGCTGCGGACCACGGGCACCGAACGGACCACGGGCACGGAGCGAACCACTGGAACGGCGGCTACGGGAGCATAGGACAAGGCGGATCCATGGATCACACTGCTCTGGGCGAGGGCCACGAAGGCGGCGATCAGGAGGCTGACAATGAAGAACTGAAATAAAGATGTAACATTATTAAAAAGAGATCATTGAAAACACAAAAAAAAAGGCTTAAGATCACAATTTTCCAAACTTCTGCTTTAAGATTTTGTTAAATTGTATAAAAAGTGTTTGTAAATTTGAAGCGTTAAGATACAAATGCAACACTTGTATTGTTTTAAACACTTTTTCATCGTTTCAAAAGATTTGATTATTAAAAGTATTTTATATGACACATTTTTGTGTGTTTTTTTTATGTATCACTTTTAAATATCAAAGTTTAATGTGAGTTTCAAATAGGCACTTTTTGATTTCGCAAAAAAATAATTAAACAGAAATCTGTCAAGTCCTTTGATGACACTATTCAATGATTTCAAAAACTGTTTTCAGCACACTCAAGTCCTGTGGAGATGCTCACCTTCATGGTGCTTGGATTTGATTTCTTTTTTAGTTTGTAGCTTGATTGCCGGATGATTTGTGTTGATCTATCGGCCTTTACGGGGAACTTATATACCGCCGAGAATCGCGAAAGTAGAGCAATAAAATCTAACCAATAGAACGTATACGGATACACAAGATCGACGAGGTGTTTGGAGTGCCATTATTATTGATATTACCCCGCATAGATAGCGTCATAACTTATTCGAGACCCCTTTCAAGTTGGCCAGAACAATGAGAACTCGTTCCTCCTGCGACAGGTGCCATCACCAGGTGCCAGGTTTCCGCACCACAGCGCTGCTCCTCTCGGTCATTGATGAATTCTTGTGCAAATTGATTGTCGCTTCATCGCTTCATAAACGCCGTGGGTTTTTCTCATACTTATATAGTATATACATTTTGTAGTTTGACTAAACTTTATTTATGAGCCCATTGTCCACGCCCTATTATGCTTTTTGGTTCAGCGCAAAGTAATGCAAATTTATGCAAAATCCAGCAACGCTTCCTCAACGCAAAAAGAGCGCAAAAAATAAACATTGTTTGACGAAAAATACTAGTTTTGTCTTTCTTTGTTTTATTTTTGGCCAAGAAACATTTATGTAAATGTCAAATGAGCTTTACTTTTCTCAGGCAAAGTATATTGTAGTTTTAAGTCTATATTTGTTTGTAAGTTTTAATAGTTCAAAGCTACCTATACCTGGCGATCCATTCGCATTCATTTTTCGTTTAAATACTTTGGAGATCTTTATAAATATGATATTAACATAAGTTCTCATATATATATATTTAATTATTTATGATTTATCAAATTTAAAATGTTAACAGAAGCACTTCTTTGTCAATATATCTTTTGAGATGTAACTTCTTTTGAAAAGTCATTAAATTTTCAAAATCCTTTTTGTTTAAAAGATTTGTATTTCGATTTTAAATAAACATTTATGTTAATTTATTAATTGTTTTCAAATAACTTTCTCTTTTTTGGGGAAAAATAAAACAAAGACAGAGACACAAAAACTGCTATAATGTCTGGCCAAATAAATAAATAAATGCTTCCGTAAATATTTACCTCTATTATTATTACTTTTTATAGAGATAAAAAAATGGCCAAGATTTGTTTTTAAATTGATTTTCAAATTTTCTTTTCGTTACACCTTTTAATCTGACCCGCACTGTCCAGCACTGCTTCCGGCGCGCTGCCCAACACTGAAACCAAGCCCACACACAGCTGTTTACATCGCCCCCTCTCGCTCGCACTCTTTTCGCTCGTAATTTTTTGTATGTTTTTTTTTCTGTGGCGCTCTCGTGGAGAAAAAACTATTGTAAAATAATCGCCTCAATGGCGTTCTAATTAAATCGCAATTGTAAATAACCAAAAGGCGGGACTGCAGCGAAACCATTAGCGGCAAAGTGCAACATGTGCGATTGGCGAAACATAAACAAAAGAAGCGAAATCGGAAGCAGCAGCAGCAACAACAACATGGCCTCCACTTCTTGATGTTGACGTCAACAAAGTGAAATTGAAATCCAATCGAAGAAGCTAACTGAGAAATATTAGAAGTGCAAAGCGGAAACGGCAGAAAAGGAAGAGGAGAAGAAGCAACAACCGGAAGAGCAACATCCCAGCAGGTGGATCCTGCCGATCCTGTCAACATGTACTCCGAATGGGCATCGCTTTCCGCCCAGATCACGGCCAATAGCTGCGGCGCTCAGTGCTTTAGTGTCCTCAACAAGTTTCCCGCCTCCGCCGGCCGCGAGGTGGTCGTCTCCGTGGTCAAGCAGCTGGGAACCAATCTAGGAATCACGCAAAATGCCGAGCCCAGTCATCTGGTCAAGGATGAAGAGGTGAGTGTTCCTTTAAAAGGGACTTTGGAAAAGATTATCATAAATCAAGTAACATATTCCATAAATTCCAGGTGAAATGGTGCATGGACGTCATTTGTTTTGGCCTCTCGCTGCCGCTGCAGGAACACGAGACCATCAAGGACTGCGTCAATGTCTATTGCGAGTGGCTGACGGCGCTGCATCCGCAGCCGAGGATCAGTGTACCCAAGCCCATATGCGAGGATGCCAATCTGTATGCTCGCCAGATCATCAATCACTTTCACAACCTGTTTGTGCCACGGCAGGGCGAAAGTAAGTTGCTTAAATCTATTCCCTACCCAAAGGACCCCCATTAATCCTAAGCTAACCTCTGCAAATTTCAAGTCTTGCCATTTCTATACCAAACCACGCTTGGTAGGTTACACGCTCGAATTGTTTATTTACTTGGAGTAAATATGGCTTCAAATCGTAGCTTGAGAATTATTTTTCAAGCTGCTCAGATTTCAAGCAATACATATTAGCTCGCTAAATGTCCCTGGAGAATCCCTAGAATGACAGACTAATCCTTAATGCCTTAATCTCAGGTGCTGATACCATTAAAAGGCAGGCGGTGCTTTGCCATCGGGTGCTCCGAACACTCCAGCAGACGGCACAAATCTCTCACCTGATGGACCGACAGACATGGGACACTCTGCTCCTGTTTTTGCTGGCCATCAATGAGATTTTGCTGGCACCGCCCACCGTCAAGGATGACGTGGGCGACCAACTGTGCGAACGGGTGCTCTCCGTGCTGTTTGAGGTCTGGCTGCTGGCCTGCGTGCGGAGCTTTCCCTCGCCGTCGATGTGGAAGACTCTGCAGGAGTCGTGCGCCATGTGGCGGCATCGTGTGGCTCTCGTAGATCAGTGGAATCGGGTGAATCTGGCCCTAACCGCCCGCCTTCTGGAGTTTAGCTATGGCCCCGCGTTTCCTCAGCTCAAAAATGGTAAATTTTGGATAATAAACTATGTTTGCACTGCTCTAATTCGAGATCTCTCCTTTGCAGCGGAAGAAGATGGTCAGCTAATACCTGTTGGCATGTCCAATGATTGTGTGGCCCAGACCTGGTATCGGTTCCTTCGGATGATTGGCAATCCCACGGCTCTGTGTTCGCCGCATATTATTAGCAAATCATCACATTTTGTTCAATGGGCATTGACACATGAAAAGGGAGCCGAAACCCATCAGCATCCGTGTTTGCAGCAACTGCCGCAGATATTTCTCAATGCCATGAAGGGCATATCCAGTCAGGTGGACGCATTTCTGGGTAAGAACAGATCTCTTTGACCAATTAAATTGGTTATGGGTGGCATATGATAATATATTATATCAGAATATCAGAGTTGCTAAATAGTTTGACCATTTTGGAGTTGTTTCCTTGAAGTTGTTATTGAAACTCTTAAAACGGACTCAACCCTATTGTTTATTCGTATGTTTGTAGGTCACTTAAATAAGCCTGTCTTGGTTATATTAACTCTTATTGTTTTCTGATGGGATTGAATTTAATTTTAAACAAATTTAAACATATTTACGCGAATAAAGCGGTGTCAAGAGAGAGCAATCCAGTGGGAAGTTTAAGCAACCGAAAAGACACCTTTAGAGCTGTGCTAAGAGTAAAGTAAAGAGAACAACTAAGAAAACTATGTGTCAAAATGGTCATTGATTATTTACAGCCTCCGATTTCCAATAAATATCTATGACCTGGTACTCCTTTTAGTAAATGATTCTTTTATTAAATCATATTATTTCAGATTGTCCGCAAAATCATGTTCTTTATATCGCAAACCTTAGGTTAACGATATATTCTTAAGTTCCTATGCCAGGGTTACTTGAATTTATTTCTAGTTTTAGAAAATGTTATCAACTTCACCAAGTATTTTGAGAACCAGGTCTCCATAAAGTCGGTGAAGCCGACTTTTTGGCCATTCTTTAACGTTTAGACTTAGTTAATTGTGGTAGGCTAGCTGAGAGTACTTCACCATCTATCTCTTTGTTCGTTTGTTTATCTCTATCTCGCTTTGCTAACCCTCCTCCTCCTCCAAATATAAATTGTATCTAATTCGCAAACTTCCTGAAATCCGCTGAAAAACACGTGAAAACCCCACCGTCGAGCAGGCATTTATATAGCGCCGCCTCAGCAAACGGAGGGCGTGGTGACAAACCTCCTGGAAATTCGTCACTCACTGAACGAGGCCACCTCCTCGAGTCTGCAGCAGTTTATCCACTCGAGCAGCGCCACGAATATAGCGAATCATCATCAGCAACAGCAACAGCAACAGCAGCAGCATCATCACCACCATCATCTCCACTATCCGCACTTGCATTTACATGGCGCCGGTAGCTTTCTGCGCGACAATTTCATGAGCAACTCGGCTAGCTCAGCTCTCAACGCCATTATGGGTCACCATGGCCATCACCATGGTCACCATCAGCAGCAACAGCAGCTCCAGCAGCTCCAGCAGATCAACGCCTCGCCCACAACAAGTCTGTCTGCTTCGGGTGCTTCTGCTGTGGGCGGTACCAGTGCCGGTGGCAGTCACTCTGCCGGAGTCGTTGGCAGCATCTCATTTGGCCATACGGAATCCGCCTCAGTCTCGGCCACGCCCACACCGCCACTGCAGCGACGATTGGCCAAGAGCTTCAGCGTGGCGCCGACCATCACACAGCAGAAGGGTGCGGAATGTCCTCTCCAAGAATTTCTATATTGCAATGAAAACCCACCAAATAATGTTGTACTCTATTTTTTGTCATTCAAGATTTGTTCATTTTTTTTTTTTAAGAATCCTGGCAGGGATTTTAATATTGTATATGTGGTGTATCTTGTTATATTCCAAGGGTACATTAGGGATGTATATCGAGAGATAAAGTATGCTATTATATACTACATTTTGAAAAGAAGAGTGGAATCTAATTTCGGTAAGCCGAAGTTTGTTTACACTTGCAGTTTTCAATTAAATCATTTAGAATTAGTCCAATTCGATCAAATTAAAAGAACAACTATCCGGAATTATATAAAATACTTTGATATATCATAAAAATTCGACATAGATAAAAATATTGTTGAAAACTGAAAAAGTTATTATAATAATTTGTAAATTTTCCTATCGTTATGATACATTACATATAAATCATGTCGGGGTTTTGCATAAAACGAAGTTATTTTATATATTAATATAGATTTATATGTAATGTATCATTACGATAGGAAAATGTATCGTAAACTATGCCGTGTATTATAGTTTAGGAGCTGCACCGAATTTTTCGCTGTGTTTTAAAAGATTTTCCTGAGAAATACTTTTACTTTTTAGAGAGTGTATGAAACAATAACGCATCTCCACAAGACTTTTTCTATTTTGTAGCTAAAAGAAAAAGGGTATTTCCTAGGAAATATTAAACTTATGAATGCACTTACCTGCCAGGGTACTTGTCCTTCGGTCCGCCGAAGTCTGGATCCAATTTTTTATCCTTCACATTGTGCTTTTTGAACTAAATTTGACTTGCTTTTTGTGTTTGCCGCTTGCCTAGAGATGTTGTGTTGCCTTGATTCCACCATTGCGTCAATCATTTCTCCATTTCTGCAATTTCTTCACGAGTTTTGCATTTTTTTTCTAGTACATATATATATATATATATTTGTATAATTTGTTTCCGTAGCATGTGTGGAATAATCTCGGTGTAATTGCCCGGCGCGGATGAGTCGGGGAACTGAGTAACTGTTTCCACTTTCCACTTGCCACCTCGGCCCATATCGGTGGGATTATGCATTGTAATTTATCTGCTGCCATATACACGCCCACAATTATTGCATGCTCCCTTTTAGTATCTGTAGCTGTAGCTGTGGCTGTAGATGTATCCATGTATCTTTGTATCTTTGTATCTGGCGCTCACTAATTTCTCACACTTGCTCTGCTCTACTCACTATCCCCCGCCCCCCGCGATCAGGCCTAAGCAAGACCTCGCTTATCGGTCTCACCGGCGGCGGTAGCGGTGGAGCCGGTGGCAGCGGTGCACGCAATGCGATCAGCAGCAGCAGCAACATCTCAAGCACTAGCATTGCCGCCAGCACCATCACCACCTCCACCACCACCGGCAGCACCATCGCCTCCGCCAGCAACTCCACTGCCGCTGCCGCCGCCGCTGCTGCTGCTGGCCCTGGGACAACCTTGGGCTCGGGACCAACTGTAAGCCTGGTACCGGGATCGGGAAGCGGCTCTGCTCCTGCACCGGCGCCCACAACACCCACATCGACCTCGGGTCCGCCATCGGCGAGCAGCAGCATCAACTGTAAGTTAGCACAATGGGAAATGATAGGGAGCTCAGGTTTCATTCTTAAAAAAAAACAAGAATTAGAGAAGCTTTGATAAGCTTTATAAAATCCATATGATCCATGATCCATATATGCATAAATATGTATAAAATGCATAGTATCGTAGTTAAAAATTTATAAAACTTTTAGCAATACATAATATTTAAGAATCAAAATCTTAACTTGATGTATTTGGAAAAGGTTTACATAAAATAAAACATTATTTAGGGGTTTCTTAAGCTTGTTTTTAATTCAAGCTCAAGTTTACTAGTTTTCTTGATAGATTTAGGATCTTAGATATATCTTTAACTGTCACAAAGCCTTTTAAAGCTGAGTAGCTCTTAAATAATTGTATATTTTACCAGCTTAATGAAGTTATTGCCATATATTGTAATGTTAGAAGTAGGAATAAACCTTATACATATTAGATACCTGATAGATTTATAGTCATATATCACTTTAAGTGGCATTTCTATGATTATTTTTTAATGACAAAAAACCTATGTGAACTGAGCAGCTTTAAAGTTTTAAAATTGTGCTGTAATTTGAATCCCGCGCTTGGATATCTCCCCATTGCTAATTGGATCTATTTTTGCATTGTGTGTGCTGTGCGCCGTGTGAATCGTTGTGAGCTAACTAACATCTAACAGATGTTCTAAAAAAATAAAAACCCGCCCCCTAATACAACCTGCAACCCGTTCCCTGCTCATACTGACTGTCTATATATCTGCTTTCTCTCTCTACATATCTCTCTCTCTCTTTCGGTGTGTGTGTGTGTGGCTCCATCGCGATCACAGCTCTGCCACTGACTTCGATGGGAGCGGGCGTTGAGTTGGCCGTGGCCAGGCCCAAGTGCAACAGCATTCTCCACGTATTCCATGAGTGGCTCTTCGAGGCGGCGCACATAGGCGGCGACACTTGGCGCCAGAATCGAAAGAGTAAGTCTCATAATATACTTTTTATAAAACCAAGTTGATTCCCTAATTATTTTCCCATAGAGCAAGCATGCGAGGCCAGTAAACGTCCTTCGTCGATGATCATGGAGCATCGAAAGGGATCCATTTCGCTGTCGCAGCCCAACTCACTCAACGATCCGCAATCGCTGCCGCCCACGCTGACCATTGATAAGTATGAATCGGGTCGAGCCGAGGCCATTGGAACACTTTGCAAGATCTTCTGTGCAAAGAAGACCGGCGAGGAGATCCTGCCCGTCTATCTGGCCCGGTTCTACATGGCCCTGCAGCAGTGCCTGAAGATCACCGAGTCGCGGGAGTGCGACGAGACGCTGGCCAGCATCCTGTTGCATTCGAGCGATCTCTTTCGGCTGGATCTGGATGGGATAAATGTCCTGCTGCCGGGCTTCATAGCCGCCTTGGAGATCGTGTTGCCCGACAAGGACCTTAAGCTGAAGACCCAATCGATGGCCTTCAATCGCACAGAGCTACGTCGCTCGGCTATTAACATACTGCTGTCCATTATGGTGCTGCCGTTGCACTACCAGACGCTGCCCATCCGGGATCTGGTGACCAGCGAAACCAGCGAGAAGTAAGAGAATGAGACAGTAGTAATTTCTTTATATTTATCTTTGTTTCCTTGTAATACTCTTCCACAGAATATTCACCTTCATTCAGCTCAAGTCTCGGCTTATGAACATCCTGATGAATGCCTTGCAGGTGGAAACGGATGCCCAGAATACGCACATGCTGCTGGGTGGCCTCTTGCTGTGCGTCCAGGATGCGGTCACCTTTGAGGAAACGGAACTGGGGGGCGCCAATCTGTCGCACAATTCCAGTGGCGTGCAAAACCAGCACCATGAGGCCAACCTACTGAGCTCTGGTATGCATTTCCCACATCTCGCGATCTCATCCAGCTTGATTTAATTCGATTCTTTAATTATTTAATTATGTTATTGAATTCATTTTGTTTTTTTGTATTTGTTTTTTTTTTTTCCTTTTGGCATTTTGTTGTGTTTTGTGCGCCTCAGCTTGCTCGGAGCGTTCCGTTTCGCTGGTCAGCGCTGGCACGGCCAGCCTGAGCGGCCAGACGACGGCCACCATGGGAGCGGGCTCGGGCTCAATTCGTGACACGGCCTCCTCGGCCCATGATTACCCCAGCCTGACCATATCCGATGACATGTCGTTTGAGTTTGGCCAGGAGCTGGACAGTGGTACTACCTATGGTAAACAGAGTTTATTTTTGTTTGTTTTTGTGAACTTAACATGGAATTTTTTGTACCTTTAAACTGACTTTGTGAAAATTACATTTCCTTACCCTAACGTTACCATTTTTCTACACATTTCTAGATAATGCTCATGCCTTATTTGTACGCGCCACGTATTTGGTTTGTCATCGTTTGATTTCGTCGTGGAAAACGGATTTGAATGTTTCCCTGGCTGCCCTGGAACTTCTATCTGGCTTGGCCAGGCTTCACATTCGGGAGACAGGTGAGAATAATCGTTGGAATCATGGGGAATCTTGCATGTGATCTCTTGGTGTCTATACAAATGTGCTCTTGCAAAGGCTTGATCTAATGCTAAGGAATTAGGAGCTTAATCATTAAATCATTAATGCTTCTGGTTTTGGAAATATTTAGAGCTGGAAAGTTTAAATTAAACAAAGCTGAAATATCGAATGATTTCAAATCGCTTTAAAAAACTGTCATTTAAACATCTGTTTTGTCTTTTGCACAATACTTTTGACCACTTTTATATAATAAATATAATATAATATAAAATAATATATAAAATGTCATGATAGATAAATGTACATATGTATTTATACTAGCTTATATACCTGTCACTTTTTCATTATAAAATGAGCATAAAATTACCAAGTACAAATTTAGTTTTTGAGGCAAAATCCGATATATCAAAATTTTACTTATCGATAAATCGCAATGTGATAAAGATGTTAAAATTGATGTCAGCAAAAAAAGATTTTTGAATATTTTACTAATAATTTCGATAATATCGATAGTATAACGTTAAATCCGATATTTTTCGATATACATATAAATTATATATTTTATAGTATTGATATTTTTCCTCGTGAGAGTCAGCTAAAAGATTATACATTTTAAATTTAAATGCAAATCAAACTAAATGTAATTAGTTTTTTCTTAATATTCCCTGAAAAATATACAATAATCCTTTGCAAGGGCAAAATACAAATAGCCTTTTCATTCTTGATTTTAATGTCGTGTGTGTTTCCTCTGTCGCCCCCCTTTTCTGTTTTATGTTTACCTTTAAAACTATATGTATCCATATATATATATATAAATCTATATATATGTGCGTTCTTTTTGAAATCTTAACTCCTTGAAAAAAAAAAAAAACACCTTAACCCTTTAACTGTGCGGCAGCCAGGAAATTTACAAATGGTAACTGATTGACGAAACCAAACTAACCTAACTAACGCCACTTTCTTCTGTCTTTCTTTCTTTCTTTCGTTCTATTTATTTTTGAATTGATTGATTGATGCATTTCTTTTTTCTAACCGCCATCGAAATCCGCACCACCGCCATCAACGAATCCAACTCCCAATAAACCACCCATCACCAACCACATCACGAATTCACGAACTCATCCACAACGATTGCGATTTGTTTCCATGTATATCCAACCTGTATCTAACGTATATTTAATTTGCCTTGTAAATAACCAATGATAAATACATAATCCCCCACATAATCCGAACCATCCATCACACCGACCTCCACGTAGACACCTTAGTGAGAATATACGAAGCTAGTCAGAATCTAACGATAATCTCCTCAGACGCTCTAGAGTGCAAGCGGGCAGTGAAGTGGATCTGTGACTATATCTGCTACCAATGCTCCCGGCCACCGCCGGCGCACAGCAAGGATCTGCATAGCACCATTGTGGCGGCCTTCCAGTGCACCGCCGCCTGGCTCATGCAGCATCCGTATCTGCTGCAGGACAAGGACTGCCTCCAGACCGTTCTCGAAGTGGTCGAGCTGGGCATTTCGGGCACCAAGAGCCAGAGCAAGGGCGGTGACATACCCAAGTTTAAGGACGAGAAGGAACTGAAGCCCGCCTCGATGCGGGTACGAGATGCGGCGGAGAATCTGCTGACCATTATACTGGAGCAGGTGGGCTACTTTCCCAGCGAATGCGGTCCCGAGTCGATATCGTCGCTGCTCGACGAGGTGGCCCTCATGAAGCACTGCAACTCGATGGCGCCAGCGGCGGCAACAAGCAGCGAACAGGCCATCGCCAAGTTCAAATACTTTGTGACGGAGAACTCGACGATTCTAGCCCTGCTGGAGGAGCCGCTGGGCAACGACCAGGATCCCCAGCCAACGGTTACACGTAAGGGTTTGCCTTTTTAAGCTTTCTGTTCAGTTTAAATCATTAAGGTCTTTCTCTCCGCCAGTGCTCATCCGTGGTCCATTTGGACGGCACGCTTGGACAATGCAGCTGCGTCACTTGCCGCGCAGCAAGTCGGGAATTAAATATCATGCCGTCAATCCCGGTAGACCCATACCCATGAACGATGTCACCCAGCGACCGGAGTGCGAGCAGAAGAACTTCCCGGAGGGCGTGGACAAGGTGCAACCCTGTGTGGCAGACTACTCCATTCCAACTATCGAACAAATACGCGAGCAGTATGGTTCGGGCAGCATTCGGGAGCTGGAGGCAATGCTGGAGAACCAGAGCATTCACGAGAAACTGGCCTGGGCGGAGGCAGACACCAGTGCCGATAGCCTGTCGCATGCCCAGGAATGTGTGCCGCCGGCGGTGTGCCACGAGTTTCATGCCGCACGGCTATTCCTCTCGCACTTTGGATTCCTCGGCTTCGAGTCACGCAATCCGCACAATCCAGCCGAATCGCTGGGCACGCCGCCGCAGAGACCGCTTATCGTGCTGGACACCAAGTCGACGGCCTTTGCCGCCGATCTGGAGCGGCTGGACAAGCTGAGTGCGCGGACCCATGACACGGTCTATGTGTTCTATGTCAAGGTAACTTCTATCCTCACTTATTTTGTATCCTCAACAAACATTTTCCTCCTTCCTTCCAGTCGGGACAGACAAGTGCCCAGCAGATAATTGGTAACATGGCCGAGGAACAGTCCTCTGGACGCGATCCACATTTTGCCAGCATGTTGCAGACTCTGGGTTGGCCCGTTCAGGTTGCGGAGCACTCGGGTTGGACGGGCTTTGTCCACAACTCGTGGTCGCTCAAGGGAACGCCCGAGGAGCACGTTAACCAAGCACCCAATGAGCTCAACTACAATGGTTCGCAGCGGGTGATCTATTGGGCGGATGTCTCGTCGGAAATTGCCTTTGTGGTGCCCACGGCGTGGAATCTGCGGCATAACAGCGATACCAACGATACGGGCAGCATATCATCCAACCAGGATCAGATTGGAGGCTCCAGCAACGTGTGGGACACGATGGACGGCGGCGGAACCGGTTTGGCCAAGTCCAAGTCGAGGAATCTCAGCCTGGAGCTCGATACGACGCGCAGTAGAGATGCCAAGGAACCGGTACCTCCCACTCGCCGGAAAGGCAATGTGACGAAACCCACGCTGCTGGCCCAGGCACCGGCCAAGATCTTTCTGGTGTGGCTGGAGAGCTACGAGGATTACCTGAACTTTCCGCTGGAGGACATGCTCGCCTATACGCGCACCGGTGAGGAGCTGCACACGCTGCAGCTGCCCCGCGCCTCCGACTGTCATGTGATCTTCGTGCATTCGCTGCTCTCGGGTCTGCTCCGAGTGAAGTTGCAGGGTCCGCCCGGCAGGATGAGCTTCGCCACACCGCTGGTCGATGGCATGGTGCTTAGTCGGCGAGTTGTGGGGAATCTGGTGAGACAGACGGCATTGAACATATCACGCCGACGGCGACTGGACAATGACAAGTGAGTTTGCTAACAATTTTAATTCCCTCAAAGTATCGAAGCTATAACTAAGCGGTTTCTTTTTGCAGCTATCAACCGCCGCATGTGCGACGGCGCCTCAAGGTGCAGGACATTGTCCTCAAGTACAAAATGGATCTGAGCGAGGCCGAGCTGTTGGCCCATCTGTTCCAACGTGCAATCTAGCCACCAGGCGATCAAAAGTATTATATATATATATATATATTAACCAGCGTGGGACTAGCGCCCGAGAAGTGCTCCTCCTTACCCTGTCCTGTCCTGTATTAACATGTGTGTGTGCTTATAACTAAAAACCCACAAAAAGAAAAACTGATCCGTAATCGGTGTCCACTGAGTGTCCCCCGAAACACAGACCGTATGCTAATTATATTATTTTTTTGCTAATAAATCTAATTTATACTTTACAAAAGTATTTGTAACGAGTATTACATGCTCTGCGTTGTTGCTCTATGCGTAATCCATTCACCTGTGAAGCGGAAACAATGCGCTGTGCGTATATAAATGCATAATTTGGACGCACATCCGAAATCAATTTTGGCCCACGGTGGGCTTACAAAATATGGGAGATGATCGCGTGAGGTGATAGCCAATCGTGAGGAAAGAGAAAATAATTGAAAATATTTTCATTGATTAGGAATGCCAAAGGAAATGGTAATGGTATCTGGATATCTATTCTAAATAACTCATAGAAGTGTTTTAAGGTAAGCCACAAAATAGAGAATCTAATAGATAAATACAATATTGCATTTTACATTTAGTTGCTATATTTTATTACATAGTTCTTTCTGATAAATACACATATTGCTGAATTTTATAATTCGTAAAAATTTTATAATTCTTAAAAAAAGAAATGTCCAAAAAGAATATTACGAAATCGTAAAAAGAAACTAAAGCACAAAATTGGATAACTCATTTGAAAATTATTTTGAGTTGTGTGAATGTTTTGCTTATTTTGAGTGTTTTTCGGGTGTATTTTAATTTTATTTTAAGTGTATTTTAAGTGAACTTTGGGAATACATTTGAAGTGTATTTTGAGTTTGTTTTCATTTAATTTTCAGTGTTTTTTTTTTTAATTTTAAGGGTATTTTGTGTGTACTTGCAGTGTATTTTGAGTGAATTTTGGGTATATTTTGAGTGTGTTTTGGGTGTATTTTGATTGTGCTTAAATTGTATTTTGAGTGTACTTGGAATGTATTTTGGTTGTGTTTAAAATAAATTTTCGGTATACTTTCGAGTGAATTTCGGGTATTATTTGAGTGTATTTTGGTTGTGTTTCGAGTGAATTTTGGGTAAATTTTAAGTATATTTTGGGTGTTTTTTTTAGTGTGTTGTAATTATATTTGAGTGTGTTTTGGGAGTACTTTAATTGTATTATGAGTGTACTTTTGAGTTGTATTTTAAGTAAATTTTGGGAATATTTTGGGTGTATTTAGAGTGAGTTTTGGGTGTATTTCGGATGTACTTTGAGTGTTTTCTGGTTGTTTTTGGATGTTTCTTGGTCTCATTCTCTTTGAACTTATATTATCTACTTGTACTGCCTGCACAATTTAATAAATAAATAATATAATATTATTATTTATATGACATTTGAAAAACCAGGTATATTTTGAGTGTGTTGTAATAATATTTTGAGTGTATTTTGGGAGTATTTTAATTGTATTATGAGTGTACTTTATGTTGTGTTTTGGGTTGTATTTTAGGGGTACTTAGAATGAGTTTTGGGTGTATTTTGACTGCACTAATTTAATAAATAAATAATGTAACATTATTATTATTTATATCACAATTGAAAAACCGTGAGTGAAAGGTTCCCTTTTGTGTCACGTTGTCATCTTTCTCTTCCGACCCTCCGCAGCATCTTTGGATAATTTCACCTTTGACTTTGGCGGGTCTCTGGGGCATGGATGGGGCTGGAGATGGGGATGGGTGAATTGGGTCCGGTGATCGTTGATCAGTGCTTGGCGGCGGTCCGCTCACCGGTTATTTGGACACACGACGAACCATTTCGCAACGCCTCCAACGGGCAATCAATTCGAAACTAAACTGTTGCCGGCCGAGGGCCATCGCGTCGTCATCATTTCCAGTTCAGAGTCTGCATAGTCTTCAGAGTCTTCATCATCAATGAAAGTCGTGATGTAATGATATAACCCGAAAGCCCACAACAAGTTACAAATCTGTGGCTCATTTTGCATATGTTTGAGCCCATTTATTTATTAACAAATAACATATTTATGAGTGTGTTAGCGTTGAAGAGGCGCTTCGGGGCATTTTCCTATGCATTTCTCTCAGGTGTGCGATTAGCCTTGAAAATAAAGAAAAGAAAAACAGATAAAAACAATTAATTTGTATTTGTATTTTTTTTAAATTTATTTACAAAACAATAAAGACAATCAGAGAGTTGCTTGCAAAAGAAAATAAATGGTTTATGTTGATCAACATTTTGTCAATTAAGCAATATTTTCAGCTAATAATGAATGGATGAACTTTTTTCCCACGAATGAGGAAGCGTTTTCTATGTCAAAACAATGAAGTTTTTAGTTGGAAAATCATTAAAAGGTATTAAGTAAAAACTTGAAATTAACAAAGAAACATACTTGAGTTTTGTTTAATATTTTTATTAACAAATAATTTAAGTTAATAATGAATGGGGGGCGACTGGGCATCCCTTTGGATGTTTTCTTTTTCGTTTTTTTCAATAATGACTGTGAAGGATTAGCCTAGGAAAAAAAATACATAATGATAGAGTAGAAGATAGCGAAAAAAAAATAATTAAACAATTCATTTGGTCTAACTAACTAGGAGCGGGCAGGACGAACTGCGTCTACCAGGCGGAGGCGGAACCACCGCTGCTCCAGCCGGAAGAGCCACCACTGCTCCAGCCGCCTCCCGAAGAGCCGGAGGAGGAGGAGGATGAACCCCAGCCGCCCTTAAGGCCACCTCCGTTCTGTCCCTGCTGCTGCTGCTGCTCCTGGACACGCATCACCTTCAGGGTGCCACGCTGCACCACATGGCCGCTCTTGAAGAAGGCTCCCTGCGCCTGATCCGCCTTCATGATGATGGCCTTGCCCTTGGATCCGAACGTGTTGATCAGCTGACCATTGATGGCGGCCACATCGGCCGAGCCACCGCCTCCACCTCCGCCCAGGGAGTCCTCCTGCAGCACCAGCTGAAGGATCTGTGGCAGGATGGCATTGAATTGCTGGGCATCGAAGGAGGAGGAGCCACCATAGCCATGTCCAGAAGCATAAGACTGTCCGTAGCTGTGCGAGTGACCATGACCATAGGAGTAACCTCCCGATCCACCGGAAGCATGATAGGCAATGGGAGCAACTGGAGCAGGAGCGGCCACAGGCACCGAGATGGGAATGGGAATGGGAGCAGGAGCGGGTATCGAAACCGGAGCTGGGGCCTGCTCGATGATCTTGTAGATGGTCTGCGCCTGCTGGCCGCCATAGGAGTGGGAACCATGATCATGTCCATATGAGTGACCACTGGCATAGCCATGTCCATGACCGTAGCTGTGGTCAGTGGACACAATGCCACCTGCTGATCCACCGCCGTTGCTGTAACCCTGACCCTCCTGCAGAATGACCTTGATGATCTGCGCAGAGCCACCGCCGTGTCCACCGTGACCGCCATGTCCGCCGCCACCATGGGAGTAGCCATGAGCTTGGGCATACCCGTGACCTCCTCCACCACCACCTCCTCCGGAACTGGGAGTGGCTATCACATTGTAGGTTGTCTTGCTGCCACCGCCGCCTCCTCCTCCGCCGCCCAAGAAGGACAGGAAGGTGGCGTTGCAGGCACAAATGGTGGCCAGGAGACAGATGAAGACCTAAGAAGATGGGTAATCCGTTTAGCATCCACACTCAGTCCGCTTGTAGGTGTTCCATCACTCACCTTCATGTTCGTATTGAGCTCTCTTGGTTTGCTGGATCTGAGAAAAGGTGGAATCGAAGGCGACACCTGTGCGTCGAGCTGTTCCCGGCTAACGAATGATGCCACTCTCCGGCCGGCCCCATGTTTTATACAAGAGTTATGCCGGAGTTCCGCCGAGACCGTTAGATGCGGCTATGGCCCGTGACGTCAGCGAGATGTGGAGTCATCGTGGGCTGGCCTGGCGAAGCTTCAGACCCAGCTGACCAGGCCAAGATGCTGCTCTTGTAACGCACCTGAGATCTCAACGAGAAGACGCACGCAGCTCAAAAGAGGCCATAATGGGTGCTTTTTCATGGGAAGTCATTAAATGAGAAGAAATATGTATTAAAATGGGAATAAATTAATACTTGGTGGTTCTCTTACTTGATCATTCAGTTGATCACTCAGTAGTTTATTTAGTGGTTTCCAGAATTATTTATTTACTTATTCACTTTTTTTTATATTATATATATGTATATAAAATGGGAATAAATTAAGGTTTTTACTTAGGATTATAAATTATTTGAATTACAAGCAGTTGTTGGAGGTGTTAGAAATTTAGTTGTTCACTTGATGAATTTTACTGTTGTTCATTCAGTAATATTATCACATAAATAATTACTCACTCAGATGGGTCACTTGGTTGATCTCGTACTTTATCATTCAGTTGATCAGCCAGTAGTTTATTTTTTTTCCACAAATATTTATTTAGTTGTTCACTTTGTTTTTATATTTATTTTTCATTCAGTCGCCGAATTGGACATAGTATTAGTTTATTTAGTTGTTTCCAGGATTATTTATTTAGTTATTCACTTTGTTTTTATATTAATTGTTCATTCAGTAGGTGAATTATACATATACTTTGCTCCTTGTTCATTTTTTTGATCATTTAGATATTCCCTAGATTATGGATCAATTTCTTAGTTTAAATCCGATATAACGGTTGTAATTTATTATATATTTATTTTATGTTTCATGATCAATTTAAAAAACAATTAAATTATAAAATTTAGTTGTTTCTTCCATTAAAATACAATTAAAATATCAAATAGTTATTGTTTTTCTCCATTAAAATACAATCGAAACTTTATATTTAGTTGTTGGTTTTGGTTTTCTTGTTGACTAAGTTAGTTATTTATTTATTATTATTATTTAGTTAGTTCTTTAGAGATTTGTTCATAGCTTTTTTTTTTAACGTTTAGTATGTTAAATTAGTATCAATTCTCTTAGTTTAAGTCCAATATAACGATTATAATTGATTTTATTTCTATTTTATGTTCTATGATCATTTTAAATCACAAATAAACTATTAAATGTAGTTGTTTCTTCCATTAAAATATTAAATGTAGTTGTTTCTACCATTAAAAATCAATTAAATAATCAAATATAGTTTTTTTTCCATTAAAATACAATTAAAATATCAAATGTAGTTGTATCTTCCAATAAAAAACAAATAATATATAAAATGTAGTTGTTTCTTCCATTAAAAATACAATTGAAGTATTTAATTTAGTTATTTCTTCCATAAAAATACCCATAAAAGACACCCTGTTGCCCGCGACTTCATCTATTTCTCCAACATGCAACAATAACAAAATGCCGACTTATAAACAATAACAATAACAATAACAAACACAAGCGGCTAACAACAACTTAACAACGCAAGCTTAAGCAGATGCGCCACGCTCCGCTCTGCCTCCCAACTCTGGCAGAGATCGGGGTACGTCGTCGTAGGGTCAACCTTAAGACACCGCAACCAACTGACCGGCTTTTTGCATATGATTATCGATTTGGACGCTTCGCTACTTACACCGAAAAAAAATTAATAGTAAATAATGATGATTTTTGAGATATTTACAATGAAACTGCATACATACTTATCTTTCGAACCGTTTTCATAGCTCAAAACTTTCTTTCTTTTATTAATTATTACATTTAAAATGACTTTATATTTATGCAATTTAATACATTTACTTAAATGGTGACTTTTCTTTTCTGCCTTGATTTGAATTAAATATTATACATACATACATATATGCCATTGGAAGAAATGTGTAGGAATTTTAAATCAATTCAGGAATTAGAGGTACATTAGAGAAATTTTAATGTTGAATTTAAAAACCTTTAAGAAATTTAACGATAAAATAAATATCTATTTACCTTATGCTACTTATGACTTTTACCATAAATATAAACTATGTAGGCAAAGCAAAACATTAAAAATAAATCAATTATAATATATTATATATAATATTTAATATATAATATACAATTTACAGAAACATGACATATTTTTACTTTAATTTTCATTATTTTTGTTTACTTAAAAACTCTCCTTTTTTCGTGCTGTGTAAATGGCTGGTCGGCATTGCAACAGAAAGCTTAGCCTAGTGTAGTGGTTGTGGATCTTAGCCATGGATTGGCATCTCGGAATCCCAGGCAGCCGGATTATTATATCATGCAACATCGTTTTCAAATTTGTTAATTTTCTGTGCATTTTGTATAAATTATTTAATGCGCACTGTTGCGCATGCGCAGCCCTGTCTCTCTCTCTCTCTCGCTTCCGATTCCGATTCCAAGCCCTTTCGATTTGCTGATGACCCGTTACCTGCACGTTTTTCGATTTTAGTTTCGGTTTCGCCTAAATAGCTAAGTAAGACAGAAAATAAAAAAAAAAAACTAACGAAATCACACAGTCAAACTTCTACAAGTCCAATTGCTTTATCTCTTTACAAGAGCTAAGCGCTGAGTTAACTTGATGAATGACTTCAAATTAATTGGCCATAAAATGTTGTGATCACAATCATTGTTGTGGGTATATGCCAACATTTTAATTGCTTCAAGTTAAAGCCTTTTCAGGGCCAAAAGGCTTGTTAACTGAAATATATTTGTTACTTTAAAATGTGGTTATCTCTCATATTATAAACTATTGCTCATTTTTAGTGCTTTCTCACTGAGACCATTTTATACTTTTAAGCCAATTAATATTTCAGCATTTTCTTTATATTTTTTATTAAATATTTGTTATTTATTATATATTTTACCTTATTGCTGTGATACTCATTTTATCTATATTAAGATAAATGCCACATTTTATGGCAAGACAAGAAGTCTTTTAATTTAATAAATAATGAAAAATAAAGAAATATACATATCCAATATATAGAACCTTATTGGTTAGATTTCATAATTAAATATATATAGTAAAGATATATACATAAACTTTAAAGTAGTAATGAATTCATTAAAAGACTGTAAAAGGTAAAACATTCTAAGGATTATTATTATATATTTTTGTTTATTGCATATATTATAAACCTTAATGACGCCAAAATTGAAGAAATTTTTGTCTTCATAATTCAGAATTCCCTTTCTTGCAGTTCCATATACTGACGTTCCACTGTACATATTCAGACGATTGGCGTTTTATCACCTCACTCAGTTGGTGTTATTATAAACGTAGTGTAGTACGGATTCAGGTTGTTGTTTTTTGGGGCTGGGTGTCAAAGCACCGCATGTGTGTTGGGGCAGGCCGGTTGGTTCCCAGCCTCCTCCCTGAATGGAGATCGATATGGAAATCAACATAATGCGCCTGATTTGACGTGGTGTGTGCAAATAATATGGAACTGATCAATGGCCCGGGACCGGAATTCGCCTTATGCAATCGAAATTTGGTTTACGATATGTCATATCTATTTAAATGTGTCGATCGAAATGTGTTTTGACCAAAATTCCTTGTGCGATAACCATTTACACATGCCACTCAGGTGAAATAATATGGTAAATGGGGCTTAGCAAGTATACATTAATGTAAAATAATCAGAGAGCTAACTTAAGTATTTCAAGGGGAACTCTCGATTAATTTGCAGACAGAATTTATTTATATATAACAAAAAGGAATTATGCAGGAATAGATTGAAATACAAGGCAGGGTAAATGGAGGGAGGAAAACATCTTAGAGGGCGCCCAATAGATATCTAGGTATTTGGTAGTTGGAGTAGACACCAGCAAACCGGATCACCCAGCCCACTCCATCATAATTGACCGTCTTGTGGAAGCGTATCACCACCTGGCTACGGGGGCTCTTGTAGACCTTTGGGTTGTCCTCGCCGCAAAAGCGTCGCACCTCGCGTTCCTCCCCGGCATCGTCCTGTTCCAGTATCTGCAGGTAATCCGTATGGCAGGTGCTCTTGCTACCCAGATTGAAGGCTGTTAAGAGAGATAGAGATATGTATATTAGGGTATCTCCCTTGTTTACTTAACTAATTAATCAATTTCCAACTTACCCTCGAAGGTGAGCAGCACTTTATTGTTGCTCGGCACCCGGACAGTCCATCGGCAGTCGGAGTTATTCCGGACATTGGCCGGATAGAAGGGATTGGCAAAGACACCCTCGGTGTTGTAAAACTGACCGCCGCATCCGGGTTCCTTTTCCACAGGACTGGCCAGATAGGTAAGATCCAGGGAGCTCAGGTAGCTGCCGGTCGTAACATGCAGCCTTAGCTGATCCGTATAGGTGAACAGGCTCTTGCCCACATCCACATAGGCGCAGACACGTTGAAGGGTTCGATTGGTCTTGTCGTAGACCTCCAAATGCTCCACATCGCAGTCATAGGAACTGAAGATCAGCTCCGTGTAATACAAGCTGAGGGTGTGGTTCACCGGAGCCTGGATCATGATGTCGCAGTCGGAGGTCTCCGATACACGAACCCTGCCCTGCAATCCGTCGTAATGGCGCTCACAGTTGCTGGCCAGCATGATTTGGAGTACGAAACCCGGCCGGGTCACCATGCTGTTCGATCGGAACTTGATGTAGATCTCATTGGAGTTGGCATAGTACGTATCCGGCTTGACGTTTCCGCAGTACACGTGCTCCGTGGCATAGTTGATGTAGTTGTGGGCGGAGGTGTGGCCATTGAAGATCAGCTCGCTGCCAAAGCCACGCTCCACCAATTGTGCGTCCTCGCTGTTGTACACCTTGAGGTAGTCGGCCACACAGCTGCCATTGGCATTGGGCCCCTCCAAATCGAAACTGGAGAAGTGCAGGCTCAGAGGCTTGTCACCGACAAATTTCCAGAAGCAGGCGACGCCGTTGCCATAGTTGCCGCCGGGCTCCCGCGACGGTGAGTTCAGGTGGAACGTTTTGACTCCATCGGACGCTAGCCTGACCTCCGGGCTGCCGCACAGCCGGGGAATGGGGCTAATGGCCACCTCAAAGCCGGAGTCATTTACTTGGTCGTCGGTAACGAAGCGCAGGAAGAGCGTATGCCGTGTGGTGGTCAGCATTGGCGGCTCATCCTGGCCACAGAAGCGTCCAATTATATCGGCAAAGGGTCCAGCCCCATCGCGCAGCTCTACATAGTCCTTGCGGCAGTCCGTGGAAAGCTCCACATGAAAACTGCGGAACTCCAGCCTGATCTGCTGATCCCGCTGCACGCGGAACACCACCTGGCAATCCAGATTGGGATCGTAGCCATTGGCCTTGCTGAACTTGGTGAAGATGTACCTTGTGGTGCCATTAATCAGTATCTGCTCATCGCAATTGGGCACGATGCGAACCAGGGCCCGGAAGCCGCGTGATGGATCACGGTCATCGGAGTAACTGTGGATGAGGCCTCGATTTTGTGGTATACTGATTACCGGCAGATCCTCGTTGATCCTGCCGCAGAAGCGACCACGGCGCTCCCGTTCCAGGGGCACTGCGCCGGCGAAGACCTCCACGCCATCGTAGGCGCAATTCGTGTGCGGCTCAAAGTCCAGCAGCTGGAATTTCACCGTCAACTTGTGACCCTCCGGCGCCGTCAGATTCCAATAGCAATCGCTGCTGGGCGGCAGGGAGTTATCCGTGTGCTGGCGCGGTGACTCCACCACGCCCGTTCTGCTCACCACGCCGCCGCAGAGTCGGGTGCTGTACCGCAGCAGGAATCCCCGGCCGGCGAAGCTATTGTCCGACCTCAAAACCAGGTTGATGGACTGCAATGCCCTGTATTCATGGTTCTGCTTGACGCCGCAGAGGACCACCTCGTTGACGCGATCCTTGTCGTCCCGGGTGATCACAGTGAGATTATCGAACAGGCACTGCACCATGGGCGAATGCTCCAGATCGAACTCCACGAAGCTGACCAGGACACCGCGTGCAGCCTCCGGATTCCTGGGCACTATCGTCCAGTTGCAATATAAGCCCTTATCGTAGCCCAACGGATAGTTTGGACTGGAGAGCATCTGTTCCTCGTCGTCGGCGTAAAGCGGACCGCCGCAGTTCCGATCGAACTTGGCAAAGAAGCCATGGCCGACAGTGTCGCCGTCGGAGCGGAAGATCAGCTGCATGAAGCGTGCCGTCGAGTTGATCTGATCCGGGGCAGAGCGACCGCATATTCGCCTCAAATCGGTCCAGTTGCCGTTCGCATCGTCGCGTTGCTGCACCAGCAGATAGTCCTTGGTGCACCCGGGACTGTCCTCGATGAAGAAACGATTGAGGAAGGACAGGCCAATGTGGTATCCCGCCTCAGCCTCCACTTCCCAGATGCACTCGACGTTGTTCTTGTACTGCTCGTAGAACTCAATGCTGCGATATGGATGCTTTAGCCGGCCGCCGCATCCGGAACCGTACTTAATGGACACATTGAAGGTGGCATTTGGGGTGAAATGGTCGGCATGGTACTCGAGGAACAGCCCCCGCTCCACGACCATATTTACGGCGACATCCTCCTGGCAGTATTCGCCCAGCTTGGGGGAGTTCTGGTCGGGGCCATTGTAGACCTACAGGAATATAAGGATGACACTTGATTAATGAAGGGTTAGCTAAAAGAGGAATCTTTAAGAGGAACCAGAGGGAAGGAACCGATGGGAGGAACGATCCTGAACCCGAAAAATACACCGGTACATACCGTTAGGTAATGATGCTGACACCGTACTTCTGTCGATCCCTGAACCACGGCTGGCGTCGGCAGGTTGACCCTTAGTGACACCTCTAGTTGGATATCCTGCAGCGACGAATCATCATCACCTGCATCCGCATACGAGCCGATGGCCCAGGCACAATCGATGGCTCCCTGGATGCCCTCCATTCCCGAGGGCTGGCGCACTGTCATATTGTCACCGGGCTCGAGACTGTGGACACCGCCACAGGCCTGCATACTGTATTCGAGGACGAGATTCGTCAGGGAATTCCGTGCGCCGGCCGACACCGTCAGTTGAATGGGGAAGGGCACACGGATGGCGGGACGTTGTGGCTTCGACTCGAAGTCGCAGAGGAGGCGCGGCAAAAAGGCCTCCGATTTGGCCAGGCGGTTCAGCTTAAGCGGCGAGAGCAGGGAGCAGAGGTGGGTGTTCCGCATCATCACCGAGCTGGTGTTGTACTCCTTTACCAGAATGAGAACAGTGCTATTGACTGGTGGCTCGATGTCGTAGCTGCAGTGGACCAGACTGGTGATATTCGTACGCTCGAAGGTCATCTGCTTGGTGACATTCTCCTCGACCTGAAGGCTCTGGCACAGGCTGGTGCCGTACGCTGAGAACCGGAAGCGGAAGCCACGGTGCCGGTTGATGGGCAACAGGAAGGTATCGATGCCCATCGTATTATCCGAGGAGATGACCGATTCCGGAGGATTGCTGGTGTAACGGCCCAGAATCGACTGCATTTTGTGATCGTTGGCAATGGTGAGGCGGCCGCGGAATGAGTTCATCATTACGCCTCCAACTCTGGTTGCATTGCTTGCGCCCGTATTGAAGTCAACAATCTCAAGACGCACGCGCCGTCCCTTGGGCACTTCCAGTTTCCAGACGCACAACGTCGGAGAGCGCACGCCATCGGGATAGCCGGGAGTCTGGAGGACGCCCTGCATGGCAATAATCGTTTCACCGCACCGGGATCCCACCGAGCCATAGACGATGCGGAAGCCCTGATCCTCGGATGGCATGCCGTCCAGGAGGCGGTATCGAAACACAATCTTGTTAGTCTCTCCGATCAGATTGTGGTTCTCGGAACCGCACAACATGAGTCTGTCCGAGATGTGCTCATCGCCGTCCATTCCATAGGCCTCCATCTCCTCCAGCAGCAGATGGCTGTGCTGGGAGCAGTTACCGTTCACCGCCGCCGGCAGCTTAATGAACTCGGTATGCAGCTCGATGGTGTTGCCCTTCTCCAGTTCAATGGTGTACACACACTCCTCCAACTGCTGACCACCCTCCTCGCGGTGTATCTGCAGTAGGTCCCGCGGTGGCGAGACAATCACACCCTCGGGACTGTGGTAGGTGCCACCGCAGCGGGCCAGCTTTAGGCTGGCCTGGAAGCCAATGTGCGGCTCGGTGACGTCCGTGTAGTAATGGATTCGCAGCTGGCTACCCGAGGAGTAGATAGTGTCCGGACTGCGTTGGCCGCAGAAGCGTCCCAGCTCCGGCCTTAGCTCTGTACTGCCATCGATCACCGTCACGTACTCCTGCTGGCATTCGCCGGACTCCTCAGAGGCCGCCGTCAGATCAAACTTGCCGCGGAAATGCAACATAATGCGGTGCTGCGGCGGCGCCGTCACAATCCACACGCACTCGGAGTGTGGATGCGGGAGATTGGGGTAGTAGGGTGAACTGATCAGCTCCTCGTCCGTGGCCGTTTTAAGATCGATGCGCCGGGAGCAGGCGTGCGAGAGTTCCTCGAAGCGGAAGGTGACGAGGAAGCGGGGCGTACCCCAGAAGCGGAACTTCACATAGGCCCTGTTCGAGGTGGTCTCCAGGGTGTCCTGGATGTTGTCCTCGCAGTACTTGCCGTGACCCAAGAAGGGCGAATCCTCGTCGTGGCCGTTGCGCAGGACCAGGAAGTTGTCACAACCCGTGGAGCCGGATGAGGATCCGGCTAGATTGCTGTTCTGCAACTGGGACTGAGGGAAATCGATCTTGATCCGTTTGCCTTGGCGCACCTTCAGGGTCCACACGCACTCATTCGATCGCACTAAACTGCGCCTCACCACATCCGTGATGTTGACCTGTCCCTTAGCCGAGACAATCTCCGAGCCGCAGGCCGTCCGCAGCAGACCATTAAAGCCCGTCTGATTGATGCTACCGTCCGTGATAAACTCCAGCCGGAGATGGGGCTTGCCGTGGAAAGTTAACCCACTGGTCTCGTTGCGCAGCGAGCAGAGCTTACTCATCTCCGACCAGTGCTGCAGATCACTGCCGCTGGAGACTTGAATGTAGTCGGCAATGCACTCGTTTTCGCCGCCAAACACCTCCAGGTCCACTCGGGATAGCGAAAGCACCGTATGCATGGCCGGATCAGATGCAACCAGGCTCCACGAACACTTCAGGCCGTTATCGTAGCCCTCGGGATAGCCCGGAGAGTGGAAGGGGATCGCCCACTGACCAACGGCAATCAGTTCGTTGCCACAGAGTCGCATCTGCGCCTCCGCTGTGCGGTTCGAGAGCAGATCATCCTTGGACAGCCGCTCCCAACTCAGACGGAAGGGACCCCGACTGGCCGTGAAGTACAGCACGTTCGAGCTAGACCTGACGGGCTCATCCAGATCTGTGACTTCGATGCGTGCCCCAATGTCCGAATAGCCATCGTAGAATTGTATATGGGCCTGGTCCACATCGCGGAGGTGAAGAATCGATAGCACCACTACGTAATCCTTGTCTACGGTTATGCGCCAGCTGTATGGATGCTGTAGGTCCTTGAACTGGCTGGGGTAGTGCGGCGATTCCACTATGCCGTCCGTGCCATTCAGCTCGTTGTGATGTTCTAAGTTGGAATTGAAATTTCGGATGAGATATATCGGGAATATACTCTGCATCCACTTACCGTAACTGTACGAGACCATAAAGCCCTCGCCCACATTGTCATCATCGCTCTTGAAGGTCATCCAGACGGAGCCACGCGAATGTATGGTGCCCGGCAACTGGTTACCACAATACACTCCAATCAGTTTGCCGCTCTCCGATTCGTCGCGCACCTCCAGATAGTCTCGGTTGCAGCCCTCCGATTCCTCTAGATCCATTGACTCAAGGGTGACACTGAGGGAGTTGCCCACATTGGCCTCCAGCACCCATGTGCATTCAATATTCACCGGATACGAGGATGGATAGTACGGGGTACTGAAACGTCCGGATAAAGCGTTGTAATAACTGCCACAGACCGTGTCCATGGTCATGTAGTGGCCCTCGAATTCCTCCACAAGCAGCAGGGGTACACTAATGGTCAGTGCCTGACCGTTGGAGATCAGGGCCGGCGGATGCGAGCCGCAGAATCGGAGGCGAGGTGTACCCTTGACCTCTGTTCCCTCGTATATCTGAACGCCATCGGGCATGCAGTCGCCCTCCGTGGGATATTTGCTGCTTGCCTCCTCTCTTAGCTTGATATGCGTGATCGTTAAGATGATGTGCTTGCTGGGCTCCTGGGCTTGGAGCACCCACAGGCAGCTCTCGTTGCGTGACGCCTGGCGTCCCATCTGGATGTACTCAAAGTCCGTGTCATCGATGGACATCTATAGGGGAAATATACAGGGTTTTTAGAATACATAATTATGGTGCCTCCGGGTGAGATGTGCTTCTATTACCGTTTGGCCGCAGGACTCGTGAAAGCGCAGTCTGAATCCCTTCCTAGACACCGAATCATCACTGACAAAGCGCACTAAAGCCAAATTCGTGGTGGACATTACGGAGGAGCGATAATCGTCTTCATTCTCATCGCAGATCTTGAATAGCTGCCGGTTCTCAGTTTCATCTTCGTTTACTTCGAACGCCTCCAGATAGTCCCAGGAGCAGCTGTAGCCCGCCTCTAGATCCAAATCCTGCACTTCGAACACGATGCGATGATGCTTGGACACTTCCACCTGCCACTCGCAGTGGCTTCCCTCCGGATAGTTGCCCGGATAATTGGGTGACTGGATGACACCGTTTCTGGTCGAGATTGTGCCACCGCATGCTGTGGATGAGACCCATTCTTAGAACTCTTAGCGCCAAACTGATTTAATTGTGATCTTACTCGTTTTCATAATTATATATTTGGCCTGAAAGCCCTGGCCATTGTGAGAACCATCCGAGATGAAGCGCACGTGCATCTTGTTTCCAGAGCTCGTGAGGATCAGCTTCTTGTTGGAACCACAGTGACGTTCGTGAACCTGAACTTCGCTAACGTGATTAGACACCTAAGAGAGACACGGCATGAGGAACCGAGTAACAGAGAATAAAGTGATTGCTTGCCTACCGTCAGTGCATCCTTGGTACAGTTGACGCTCTCCTCCAGATCCATATCCGTAATGGTCAGCTTAATGACGTGGTCCCGCTCGACGTTGATTAGCCAATAGCATTCCATATTGTTGGGATACATGCCGGGGTAGTTCGGTGAATGGAATGAGCCGCTTTCACCGCGCAGCTCCTCCAGGCAGCCCACGACGCGATAGTCCATCAGGAAGCTTAGGGTGCTGGCGTTGTGGACGACGGTAATTACCTCGCCACTGGCGTTCAGAGCCTTCGGGGCCAACAGGGTTTGGGTGTTCTTGCCATCTACGATATACAGACCGTCTACCAGGGCGGTGGGCAGATGCTCCTCATGCCGCTGCATATGCGACACCTCCAAGCGAATGGAGTTTCCCTTGGGCGCTTGGATCCTCCAACTGCAATTGATGGGCATGTCCTCAGTGAAGGGTTCCATGTAATTGAGGCTCTCGATAGTGCCCGAGGTGGCGGTCAGATTCCGGACACAGTTTGCGATGTAGGAGATGCGGAATCCACGCATAGCGTTGCTCGAATCCGAATCGAAAACGATGGTGGCTTCGTTGGAGTCCACCTGGATCACCCGTGAGGTCGGCATCTGGCAGAGCGTGCGATCTGGCTTCTGACCCGTCAGCCAGAGCCCGCTGTAGATCTTGACGTTGTCGTAGTAGCAGTCACTCAGCGACTCCAGCTCCATGTCCTCGATAAGTAGGGTAATGCCAGATCCCTGGTGGACGGTCAGGTGCCACTCGCAGTGCGCCATGTGCGGATAGTTGTTCGGGTATCTGGGCGAAGCGATGACTCCCGCATTGGCCCGAAGGCGCCCGCCGCAGCCGGAACCAAAAATGCGCCAGCGCAGACGGAACCCGCGGCCACTGTTTGCCGCGTCTGTGTGGAGGCGCAGCGTCAACTCATGACTGAAGCTGGGGATGCGTGTGGGTATGGTTGTACCGCAAAAGCGTCCGATCAGCGGGGAGTCAGTGCCGCCACCGTTCATCACCTCCAGATAGTCCGCCGAGCAGTTGGCCGACAGCTCCAGGTCAAAGACCTCCACCTGAATCTCTAGTAGATGGTCGAGGGTCCCCGTCAGGCGCCAGTTGCAGTCCAAGCCATTGGAGTAGTTCATGGGATAGCCCGGGGAGCTTAGCTCGCCGGCAGAGGCGTGAATATGACCGCCACACTGACCCATATCCTCGAAGGTGTATGACAACTCGAAGCCGCCGTCCGATTCGCTGTAGTCCGAAGTAAACTTGATGACCAATTGGCGCGAGTGGCTCAGCAGATCCTCCGGCTGGCGGTCGCTACAGTACTTGGCCAAAGGTTTTGCTTCTGAGCTACCCAGCTGCGCATCCAGGCGGTCAAAGATCTCCACATAATCGAAACTGCAGTCCATGGAACTCTCCAAATGGAAGCTGATCCAGTGCAGGCGAATGACCTTGTTTGGCGGTGCCATAATTACCCAGTAGCAGGTGACATCGTTGGCATACTCGCCCTCCCATTCACCGGCAGCCGAATGTTGTCTCCCGGTCGGGTGTGGACGCCGCCGCACTTGTCATCGGCAACGGGTACCGCCCGGTACTCAAACTTAAAGCCACGACCCTGCGTGTCCGCATCGGTGGTCAGTTGGTACTGCAGGTAGTTCGTCTTGCTAAGGAACTCCTCCGGTGGCTGTTTGTTGCCGCAGTAGGGTCCAAGGATCTGTCGATTGATGCCGTCGTTGATCTGCGAAAAGCAAATAGTGGATTATCCTCCTTTAATTTTGTAGAAGCTCAAAACTCACCCTCAGACTGGTGGTCAGACAGTCCTCATCGTCGCCGTCATCATCACCGTTCTTCAGCTGAAAGTCGATCTTCCTCACGCTGATCACCGTGTTCGGGGCCGTTCTGATCGTGTAAGAGCAGGAGCGATCCCCTTTGGCCATGTCGGGGTAGCCAGTCGACATCAGTGTTCCCTCAGGACTGTCGAAGGTGAAGGAGCAGGCTGCGTGGTAGCGCAGTCGGAAGAGACCCGCGCTGGCGTAGAACTTGATCTTGAGGCGGTTGTACAGCGAGGTGTATGCCGGCGGATTGGACCGCGCCGCATCCGAACCGCAGATCTTGGCCTGCAAAGCGCTCACATTATCATCCGTGACATCCAGCACTTCCAAGCAGTCCTGCGGTCCAAGCTCCAGATGCTCCATTTGAATAGCAATCAGTTCGCCCAAGCCAGAACGGATTTCGTACTCACAGGAGACGGGATCGCCCATAGCGATACCCTGCGACTCGGTGTCAGTTCCTGCATTTACACCTGATCCACTGGCCCCGGAAATAGTACCTTCGCGGGCGGTAAAGACGCCGCCGCAGCCCGGTATCCTCTCCTCCACGGAGTAGTGCAGCTGAAAGCCTGTATCGCTGCCATCCGCATCCGAGTGGAAGAGAATCTCCGCCTGATGGGTGGGAAGTAGAAGCGGCGCCGGCTGACCGCTGCTGCAATATTTGGCCAACTCTCGGCCCGATATGGTGTCCTTGATCTGCCCAAAAAGAGAAAAGCATGGGTGAAGGTCAGAGACTAAAAGGAGGGCCACTTACCTGGACATAATCAAAGTTGCAATTGTCGTGGCGCTCCAGCTGGAGACTGAAGAAGGTGAGCTTGATGCGCTTGTCGATCGGCGCCACCAAAGTCCAGCGGCAGTCACGATTCTTAGGATAATTACCCGGTGATCCTGGAGAGGCCAGCGTTCCATGTGTCTCGAACTCCAACTTGCCTCCGCATCGCGGCTGCATTGAGGTCCAGGTGAGGTCGAAGCCCTCCTTGGCCGTTGAGTTATCGGAACGGAACCACAGATACAGCTGGTTGCCGGAGGAGATGATATTGCCGCCATGCGGCAGGTGGTTGCCACAATAGCGTCCAATAATTTGGGCGGCCGCCGAACGTCCATCGTTCAGTTGCAGCCAGTCGAAGCGGCACTCCGTGGCATCCTCCAAGTCGAAGCTGTGGAAGGTTACGTTCAACACCAGCGACTCGTTTGTCCGTATGACCCAGGCGCACTGGGCATTATGCTCGTAGCCAGTGCCCTCCGGCGGATACTTGAGGCGACCGCTGGCGGCCACCAGCAGGGCATTGCAACTGCTAAATCGTGTCGAGCAGAGTCGATCCCTGTAGCCCGGCAGACACTGGCAAACGAAGCCATCGCCGCCCTGGGCAGTTGTGGGCCGGCAGCTGCCGCCGTTCTTGCAGGGATTGATATCGCACGGACTGGGCAATGGCTCGCAATTTGGCGGACGGAAGCCACGACGGCACATACAGGTGTAGTTCGAGGGTCCAGAGTCCACGCAGATGCCATTGTTCTACGATTAGGAAGGATACTGATGAAGCTGACCACGTAGAATGACATAGAAGGACTTACCTTGCATGGATTACTCTGACAATTTCTGGCCGTGCCATTAATACAGCCACTCGGACCAATCCCAAAGCCCACCATGCCGGTGGGGCAGGCACAAACGGCTGTTCCGGAGATCTCATAGCAGCTGGCGCCCGGATAGCACAGGCTCCGGTCGGCACAGTTGCCAATGGTGGCCGGTTTCGAGTCGGATCCATCGATTTGGCCAGGTTGTCCCACCCGTTCACACTTGTGGCCATCGCCCGTCCAGCCCACCGGGCACTGGCCGCAGATATGCGATCCGTAGGTGTTGATACAGTCCACGCGGGGACTCAGGCTGCAGCCACCGTTGTTTGTCTGACACTCGTCCACATCACGGCAGCTAACACCGTTCCCAGTCAGACCAGCGGCGCAGGGGGCGCAAGTGAAGCTACCTGGCAGATTGATGCACTTGGTGGAGCAGGGTGTGTGGGCGGCTGATGCCTCATTGCACTCGTCCACATCCACGCCACAGACGGGTGTCAATCCGTTGGTCTTCCAGCCGGCATCGCAGATGCACCGATAGCCGGCATCGTCCGAGCTGGGCACGCAGGACCCGTGGCCACAGAGCTCCCAGGCACTGGCCTGTGAGCAGTCGGCCCGCCGCTGGGTGCAGTGCATCCCATGCCAACCCTGCTGGCACAGGCAGCTGTATGTTCCGAACTGGTTCTGGCACTGGGCTCCATTCTGGCAGCCCAGGTCGGTGCCCTCGTACAGGGCGCACTCGTTTACGTCCACCTCACATTTGGTGCCCTGAAAAAGAGATCGGAGGATCCGAGTAAGCTTAAAAACGTTGTTTGCTTTCACAAAATGACTCACTAATTGTAATCGTCAATGGTGCTGAAGAGCGTTAGTCACAATTTGCAACAATTAAAAGTTCAAGGTTTTAAAATAAAATTGACAATAAGAAATCATTCTGGAAACTCTTAGGACACGTGACGAAAAAGTACAGTTACTTTACACCATTATGCATACAAAGTAAGGTGGTCTGATCAGCGTTCTCTTCAGCTTTTTCTCTCTTTGACTCTCCCTCTACACTTTCAGAGCAACAGGCGCAAGAAGGATTATTGTAAGAGAACAGTTTGCGCAAAGAGGCTACCTTACTCCTCACACATTTATGCACCTTGTGCATTTGAGCGCTTTACAACACTGGTACCAGCCATGTTTTTGCAAAACTCGTTAAATTCTACTAGTAACGCCCCTAAATACTCCCCTTATAATGATTTTTTAAGCGGTTACTCACTTCAAAAGCTGGCCGACACTGACACCGGAATCCACTATAGGTATTGTAGCAGGTGCCTCCATTCTCGCAGGGGCCGCTCGCACAGCCGTTCGCCTCCAGCTGCGTCTTCATGCGATCCACCTTGTTCTCCACTGCACGGAGTCGCGTCTGGAAGCGTCGCATCAGAGCCAGTGATCCTCGGGTTCTGACCCAAAATTAAAGGAGAATAGGTTAAGTACATCCCAATGTGCATTCGATTTTCACTTAGATTCGGATATTCTTTTTATCCTCCAGCTCACCTGTTCTGCTGTTGACGCAGCATCACGTTCAAGCCATTGGGTCCAAATGCCCGTCTCTGAAAATCTGCTAGTTGATCGGCCAGCTCCCTGACATCCACAATATCCTCGGAGCTGCTCCACTCATCCTTGGCTCCGCCGCCGGATCGTTTCTTTGAACCGCCGCCGGTGGCCAGCAGCAAATCCAGGACATCGTACTCCTCATTGATGGTCAGGCGGGAGGTCCCGGTCAGCCGGAAGCTGATGTTGCGATTGGCACCAGACTCGAAAATAAGATTGCCATCTTTGCTGATGATTTTTGGCCTAAGAAAAGACATGGTTTTATGTATATGTATATCAAAAGCTCTGGAAGGGAAGAGCTATCTGCTTCGAGCGAGAAGTTGTAAGGAATAATTAATTTTTAATTACAAATTAACCCATTTATAACCCACTAATAAAATATGTATATTTCCTTAGTATTTTTGATAATTTATTAATTATTTTTGCGCGATTTCAGCTGGGGTCTGCCCCTTTTTCGGCTACTTTGGAAGGTCAGCCAAGGAGTACTCAGCCCAAGAGAGCAGTCCAATGTAACGCATCATATCTACGATCTCCTGTTCGCAGTTGCTGGTATCCTCCCACTCTGCCAGGGTCACAGGTGTATCATATTTCTTGCCGGAACACTTGCGAAGGTAATTCATGACGTCCAGCTTGGCCAGATCCTCTCTCTCCTTTTGCTCTAGTTTTATTTTCTCAACCTCCTGATTGTCTTTCGCCATCTCTTTATCTTTCTGCATTAGTTTAAACTTCTTAGGATATGACTCCATTGGTTATTTAGGGATATAGCTGGGAATAATATGAAAAACATGTGCTTGGTGGTGTCTTAACAGCCACTTTAATCGGCTTACTGTAGTGCTTCAACGTTCAAGAAAACAAAAAACAACTTATGTTTGCAAGCTCGAACTGACAACTAAGAAATGAATTTATTTTCTGACAAATAGACTTCATTTTTTACAAGAAAAAAAGCAGGGTTTCTTAAAGCTTTCACTGCATCCCTGAAAAGTCAGAGTAGTCCCTTTCTCCTGGTAAACTCTACATCCATGTTATAACTATTTATGCCCAAATATAGCCCGATTTATTAGTTAACAAAATCTAACTAAAACTTTTCTATTTTGTTAGATATTTACTTTAAGTTTTAAAAATGAGACAGGACAGAATGGTCCCGGAAAGTGACAACTTTGATTTTTCCGAGCAACTCTAAGGAGTCATCGACCTCACAAAGGTGGAAGTCAAGAATCCCCTTGGCAACAATGAGCAGAAGATGAAGGTCAAGATAATAAGTTAATAATTCCCGATTAAAAAGAGGCCAGCTCCTAGCTCAGCTAACTGCAAACACATCGTGGATCCGGACAAGACGAAAGATTAAATATTTTAAAAACTAAAGAATTAGAGATATTTTCAATATTTTCTTTGGACATTGAAGGACAAGCTGATTGCAAAGATTAATTTTATAGCAAAAGTATGCACTTTTCTATACATACATGAATTGCATAAATTATTTTATTATCAAAGGTAGGCATTTTTCTATAATTTTGTTTCCATATACTTTTCTTATTAAGCACTGTTTTTTTCGAATTATTTTATGAAACTTTAAATCTAAATTATGCGATTCTTACGAGTTGACAAAACACTCTGCCCGATGCCAGATATCCGTAACAAGGAGGAGCCCCAAACACCACAGGAGACTGCTGCTAGCAGACCCTTTCATTGTATAATCACTTAAAAAAAATAATCAAATTTGAACATTAAAACACTTTAAAAAAAGAACCCGAAAATTGTATCCGACCCGATCTGAATCGTTCAAATCGAAAATATCGACTGTGACACTCTTGACTGTCCCTGCATTTCAGATCAACTCAGGGGCGTAGCTAAGGGGGGGCGTTACCCAGAGAAAACGCCCATTATACCATCGATGGTATCATGTCGCATCTCCAAAGGCCAGGCCCGCTTCCCACAAAAAAAAATCGAGAACAGACTGGACTGCATTTAAAATCGTACACACATATGTATATATATTTTATTTTATTTTAATTTTAATTTTGAGCTGATTTCTCTCAACCGATCTGGTGGCTTAGGGCGCTAATAATATCTATTACAATAAGTAGCACATAAATTAAGATCCGTTTAGCTTAGGGGTTATAGTTCACCGTCTCAAAAAGGTAAAAACTACGGGGTAGTTCTCATTGGGTTACTCTGTCTCTGTCTCGGCAAGTCTATCGTTGCAAAAGATCTGCACATCTTTCATTTCTTAACAAACGTTCATTATCCGTGGCATTATTTCTGGGGTATTTAATTCTCGGTGTTTTTTTTTATAACATACATATATGTGGAAGTAAGTACAGGCTGTGCTCTCTATAGATCTCTCTGCTCTCCGTGTGCCAGGTGTGTGGGATAACTTTAAGTCACAAAAATGCACAAGAAATGTCTGAAACTCTCAAGGAACTATATAAGAAGTGAATATGTAACCTTCAATCGGATCAAAGTATATCCCTCAATTCAAATATCAGCAAAAACAATTGAGCTTAATAATGGTACTTATTAAAGTTCTATGTTTAAGTTCGCCTTTTCACGCAATTCGGAATTAATCATTGAAAGGAAATTAACGAAAGAACGTGTTTGCCTCTGGTTCTTTGTTGACTTGAAATTATCATTTGAACTCAATTAAAAGTAATAGCTAAGGCCTTTACAGTGCTTTTGATGGCTCGTGGCTTTGTTTTTCCCAAATGGAAAATATAGATCATAGTACAATATGAATATATATCTCTATATATGTTCATTTAGTGTATGTGCTTGGTGGTTGGCTAGTCAGTTTTGGTTGGGAATCGCAGTTCTTGGTCTTGTTAAGGAAGGAGAGCGAATTTTGTTACAAAAGGTTCATTGCTTCGTGGGCTATATATATATATATATATCTTATATATGTATGTACCTATGGCTTTGTGTTTCTTAATCTTTTTGGCCATGAAAATAGGAAATATTCAAGGGCTTTTGGTGGTTGCTCTTGGCCTGCCTCTACATATGCTACATATGCTTTAAATTTAGGTGTGTGTAATAAGAATCACAAAGATGAAATGACTTGCGTTTAGTAGAGTCGCGAGTATAAATAATAAACGAAGCAAAAAAAACTATGGTAACATTATTACAAATTAGATTAATTACAATATATATATGGGTAAGGGGGTGGTGGCGCTACACGATATAAATAAATATTAAAAATATACACTCGACAGTTGAACTTTTCGCTTAGAGTCTCCTCCGCCTCTTTTCCTTTTCGTTAACTCCTTCTCGTGAAATATATAACTCAAGGCGTTCCAGCCTACAGCTTCAGTTGGCTGCCTTGGACCGCCGTATGTGCTCCGACTTGTGGTACAGGAATTTGTAGCTTGACTTTTGCTTCTCCGTGTGCTCCGCAAAGGCATCTGCAAACGTATAACATTTTCATTTGTATCAATTAATTTTAATTGAAAAGCAAACACTTACCGAAGGACACATAGCCCAGATTGTCCGTGTCCAGGGCATAGAAGAGCGCTTGGGCCTTTTGTTCATTGAGCTTGCCGCCAGCGTGCTTCATCAAGCGCACAAAGCTGTTCCGGTCAATCCGTTGACTAGATTCACTATAGAGCTACAAGCCATAAATAAATATACACATTATAATCAATTTGTATTACGTTCTCTATATAGAGATGTATATATTACATTGATAAGTGCTCGGAGGAAGGTCATTAGTTCGGAGTTCTTGTATTTGCAGAAGAGGGAGCAGAGCAGGAAGCTCTTCAGGCTCACCGCACCCATGCGGCGCTAAAAGAAGAGGCGGGGAGACATTTGTTATATACTTTGGGATCGCCAATTAGAGGGAGATGACGGCGGCTAAACTCACGTGATCGAGCAGGGCAAAGAGCTTGTGCAGATTGGGATTCTTGAGATCAATCTGTAGGAGCTCGGCGAAGGTTATGATGTCCAATCTGTCCGTATTGGACAGCCCGTGATAGCTCTGGCACAGCTCGGCATCTCGCTGGCTTTCGATCAGGCCCAGCTTCTCGATGGTCCTCTCAATCTCCACAATGTCGCCGGGGAAGGGGATCTTCATGTCACGGGCTCGACTCATCACGATCACATCCTCGAAGGAATAGTCCGATGTGGGCACACCCAAAGCCCTGCAAGGTAGTTAAGAGATATTAAACATCAATAATTAATAATTAATGAAATAATAATGGAATCTATCAGCAGTAAGTAACTCTGAACAGTAAATATCTATGAGCAGTAAGTAACTATGATCAGTAAGGAACTATGATCAAAAAGTATCTATAACCAGTAAGTATGTATGATCAGTTACTAACTTTGAACCCTAGTAAACAATGACTTGCAACTTTTGCAACAACACATTTCTGAGACGTGGCTGGTAGAAGTCACTTCGTTCCGGGGATGGTAGAACTAGTTGGGAATCATATGCACGGATGTGCGTAAGTAACTATGACCAGTAAGTAACTCTGATCAGTAAGTATTAATTAACATTAAGTAACTCTGAACATTAAGTAACTATGATCAGTAAGTAACTCTGATCAGTAAGTAACTAAGATCAGTAATTATCTATGTCCAGTAAGTAAGTATGTATGATCAGTTACTAACTTTGAACTCTAGTAAACAATGACTTGCAACTTTTGTAACACAACACATTTCTGAGACGAGGCTGGTAGTAGTCACTTCGTTCCGGGGATGTTAGAACTAGTTGGGAATCATATGCACGGATGTGCGTAAGTAACTCTGAACACTAAGTAACTATGACCAGTAAGTAACTCTGATCAGTAAGTATTAATTGACATTAAGTAACTCTGAACACTAAGTAACAATGACCAGTAAGTAACTCTGATCAGTAAGTAACTAAGATCAGTAATTATCTATGTCCAGTAAGTAAGTATGTATGATCAGTTACTAACTTTGAACTCTAGTAAACAATGACTTGCAACTTTTGCAACAACACATTTCTGAGACGTGGCTGGCAGCAGTCACTTCGTTCCGGGGATGTTAGAACTAGTTGGGAATCATATGCACGGATGTGCGTAAGTAACTCTGAACACTAAGTAACTATGACCAGTAAGTAACTCTGATCAGTAAGTATTAATTGACATTAAGTAACTCTGAACACTAAGTAACAATGACCAGTAAGTAACTCTGATCAGTAAGTAACTAAGATCAGTAATTATCTATGTCCAGTAAGTAAGTATGTATGATCAGTTACTAACTTTGAACTCTAGTAAACAATGACTTGCAACTTTTGTAACAACACATTTCTGAGACGAGGCTGGCAGTAGTCACTTCGTTCCGGGGATGTTAGAACTAGTTGGGAATCATATGCACGGATGTGCGTAAGTAACTCTGAACACTAAGTAACTATGACCAGTAAGTAACTCTGATCAGTAAGTATTAATTGACATTAAGTAACTCTGAACACTAAGTAACAATGACCAGTAAGTAACTCTGATCAGTAAGTAACTAAGATCAGTAATTATCTATGTCCAGTAAGTAAGTATGTATGATCAGTTACTAACTTTGAACTCTAGTAAACAATGACTTGCAACTTTTGCAACAACACATTTCTGAGACGTGGCTGGCAGCAGTCACTTCGTTCCGGGGATGTTAGAACTAGTTGGGAATCATATGCACGGATGTGCGTAAGTAACTCTGAACACTAAGTAACTATGACCAGTAAGTAACTCTGATCAGTAAGTATTAATTGACATTAAGTAACTCTGAACACTAAGTAACAATGACCAGTAAGTAACTCTGATCAGTAAGTAACTAAGATCAGTAATTATCTATGTCCAGTAAGTAAGTATGTATGATCAGTTACTAACTTTGAACTCTAGTAAACAATGACTTGCAACTTTTGTAACACAACACATTTCTGAGACGAGGCTGGCAGTAGTCACTTCGTTCCGGGGATGTTAGAACTAGTTGGGAATCATATGCACGGATGTGCGTAAGTAACTCTGAACACTAAGTAACTATGACCAGTAAGTAACTCTGATCAGTAAGTATTAATTGACATTAAGTAACTCTGAACACTAAGTAACAATGACCAGTAAGTAACTCTGATCAGTAAGTAACTAAGATCAGTAATTATCTATGTCCAGTAAGTAAGTATGTATGATCAGTTACTAACTTTGAACTCTAGTAAACAATGACTTGCAACTTTTGTAACACAACACATTTCTGAGACGTGGCTGGCAGAAGTCACTTCGTTCCGGGGATGTTAGTACTAGTTGGGAATCATATGCACTGATGTGCGTAAGTAACTCTAAACACTAAATAACAATGACCAGTAAGTAACTCTAATCAGTAAGTATCAATAAACATTAAGAACCTATGATCAGTAATTAACTTTAAACAGTAAATATCTCTGAACAGTAAGTAACTCTGATCAGTAAGTATCAATGAACATTAAGTATCTATGACCAGTAAGAAACTTTGATCAGTAAGCAACTTTGATCAGTAAGTAACTATGATCAATAAGTATCTATAACCAGTAAGTATGTATGATCAGTTACTAACTTTGAACACTAATAAACAATGACTTGCAACTTTTGTAACACAACACATATCTGAGACGTGGCTGGCAGCAGTCACTTCGTTCCGGGGATGTTAGAACTAGTTGGGAATCATATGCACGGATGTGCGTAAGTAACTCTGAACACTAAGTAACTATGACCGGTAAGTAACTCTGATCAGTAAGTATTAATTGACATTAAGTAACTCTGAACACTAAGTAACTATGATCAGTAAGTAACTCTGATCAGTAAGTAACTATGATTAGTAACTAACTATGATCAGTAATTATCTATGACCAGTAAGTGTGTATGTATGATCAGTTACTAACTTTGAACACTAGTAAACAATGACTTGCAACTTTTGTAATACAACACATTTCTGAGACGTGGCTGGCAGCAGTCACTTCGTTCCGGGGATGTTAGAACTAGTTGAGAATCATATGCATAGATGTGCGAGATTTATTTTGGAACAAAATTAAGAGCAAGAGAACAAAACTAAAGAGTTATTCTTCTATATAATTTTACTGGTATATAAATCGGAGCATGGCGAATCGGTGGGCTATATACATATATACATATGTATGTCTATATATATAAATATAAATATATAAAAAAAAAAATAAAGAAAAAGTATTATAACTTTTTCATTTTTAAACAGATTTTCATCAAATTTGATATTTAGCCACTATATGTTAATTTTGAATTTTGTGTAAAATGTTATGAAAATCGGACTACTATTTCATATAGCTGCCATACAAATTATCGTTAAAAATACAGGAAAATGTAAAACGGTGAATTTAATTTAATTATAAATATATATTATTTATATTGTATTAATTCCTAGTGATTGAATTTCAATCTGCAAGGGTATAAAAACTTCGACCCGCCGAAGTTAGCTTCCTTTCTTATTTTTATACCCTTGCAGGGTATTATAATTTCAGTCAGAAGTTTGCAACGCAGTGAAGGAGGCACCTCCGACTATATAAAGTATATATATTCTTGATCAGGACCAACAGCCGAGTCGATCTAGCCATGTCCGTCTGTCCGTTTCTACGCAAACTAGTCTCTCAGTTTTGAAGCTATCTGAATGAAACTTTGCAGTTAGTCTTCTATATCAAATTTGAGGTATAGCCATTTTATATTAGTCTTAAATTTTGTGTCAAATTTCATGAAAATCGGACTTTTATATCATATAGGTGCCATACAAACGATCGTTTGATGTAGAGGAAAAATGCAAATCTTTGAATGTAAAACTGCAAATATAATATGTATAGGTGAATACAATGAAAGCAGGTATTACTTCATTGTTTTTTAACACAAATATATATAATTTATATTGTATGGTTTTTTATTCATAGAAGTTCTATCTGCAAGGGTATAAAAACTTCGGCACGCCGAAGTTAGCTTCCTTTCTTATTTTTTTTCTTGATTTCGATCATAATAACGAATAAAATTGTTTATAAATAGCGACTTTGTTTCCCCTTTCTAGAAATTCCCATGAACTACACGTAGGTTGCTGGACTGCTCCACTTACTTGGCCATCACCTCGCGCACATTGTTGGCATACAGATTGGCATCGGCCACTTCAGCCGGCGAGGGCGTGTACACGGGCAAGTATTCAATTTCGCATCGATTGTAGAACTGCGTCATCGTCAGCCAAAGAAGGCGCAATCTGAAATTTGTGGATACCATAAATATTACATAAGTAAACAAGAACAATTTGTAATTATATTCAGGTACTTCCTCGATTAAAGAAGGTTTGTTTAAATAGGTTATTTAAACTATATGAGTAAATTATGGAACAGAACATTTTAAATGAATTTCAAAGGTTTTAAAAACAATTCCTGACCGACCTGCTACATTTATATTTCTTAAATAAATGATACATTTAAGTAAGAGAAATAGAAATAGTTCATAAAGGCAACTGTTGGCTTTATATAAATAGTAGTACTAGTAGTAATACATAGTAATAGTAGTATATTAGTATCATCTATGCGTTCTCCATTTCAGTTTATCATATAAATATAAAACTCGTTTTATATTTCCCCTACTTACACTCCAGGTCCATCCCAAGTCCAAGTGAAGGTATCGAATTTGTTTGGATATTTCAAGAGCACCGGCTGAACGGGCACGCCTGGATAGAAGGCGCCGGGCTTGAACTTGATCAGGGCTGTGCGATTGGTGCAGGTGCCTTCGGCAAAGATGACCACCTGCGGCCAATCGTCCGTGGAGCGAGCCCGGGCCACAATGTCCCGGATGGTGTTCTGCCGCGAATTGGGATCCTCACGCTGCACATATATGGGCTGGGCATAGTTGATGATGCGTCCCAATAGCGGTATATCTGCCGTCTCCCGCTTGGCCACTATCGAGGGCGGGCCACTGGCCACGACCAGGATGGAGTCCACGTAGGAGGAATGCGGTGCCACCACCAGAATGGGCGCCTCTTTCGGTGTCGCCGCTCTGCCCTTCATGCTAACATAGTGAAACGAACCCGATGTGTACACCATACGCATGGCACGTGCCGTCATATATTGCATTTGTCTAAAATAATTGAGAATTAAATAAATAAATAATTTGAATTTAAACGATTTAATAGCAGAAACACTTACTTGCGCCAACCGGTGAGGGGTTTCTCCTTGAGATCGTCCAGGGTCATGCCATAGAGACCAATGCAGGCGAACATCCAGGCAGAGATCAGGGAAAGGACACATCCCACCACACGAATGGGTAGCAGCAGCACTGTCAGCACATAGACCTGGAAAAGGATTAAGCAGAAATTAGTGATGTGGTCAATGTATTGTATTGTAAATCTTAAATCTAAGCTAAGAAAACCCACAATATTTGAATAGTAATGAAAACCCTGACAATTAAAGTGCCTTTTCCATTTAATTTTTTAAGTAAGCTATAATTCATTATGATTATTTTTGCATAACAAAACTCAAAGTAATAGGTATATTTTATGTTCATTACACACACTTTGACTTTGGACTCGTAGGTTTTACCTAGAAGAACATAAAAGTAGCATTTGAGGGTTACAAAAACCATATAACATGAATGTGTCAAAGCCAAGTTTAACCACGTGCAAGTTCTCCAATTCCAACGACAATCCCAAATCGATAGCCCATTGCCGTCTAGGAATTTGGCATTAATTTATGCAAAACACGACGGCGTAATAGATAATAATAGATGCAAACCCCCTCAAATTAATTAGCCGGCAAACATTTTTGCATGTTTACAAACGGAGCTGTCACCAGAGACCAGGCCAGACCGGGCACTAATCACTGATAGTGGCTGGAGTGCTGCTGCTCTCGCGTTCTTATCAGTCAAGTGGAGGACTGCCGGGCAACGCATTGAACTTTGCCTGTGGATCCATCTCGACTTTATCAAATTGCTTCCAAGGAAACGCACTTTAAAATACCCCCCAATGTCTGAGAGGGTTAATTGGAGTTAAGAGGAGGCACCATTAAAACTTCATTTAACAATGTCCAGTAATTCCCTTCAACTTTTAAGTCGCTTGTGTCAAATGTTTATCTTTTCAACATTCCAAAGATTTCCATTTCTATTTATATACAACATTTCAATTCAAAATTCATATAAATGTTTGCTCAAGTCTAACATTTTATACATATGTTTTAAAACACAGCTGTGGTCATCAAAATAGCAGCTTAAGCAATTTTACCATATTATTATATATAAGGTTTAAATAAAAAATATATTAAAATGTATGTATAGAAATCGGCTTTTATAATTTGCAAAAATAATCAAACTATTACATAATATATCACTTATATTTTGCTGTCTTTGGGGGTCTTAATCGTTTAATTTAATTCTTATAAATCAAGGAGCTACTGATACGGATATATTGCACTTTCCAGGCCAGAAACCTTATCAATATAACTCTCCACTGATTGATAAGACTCAATATTTTGCGTTGTTTTAAACAAGCTTTTCGCATGTTGTTTTTTAATATTTATTAAATTATGAGAGTTACTAATAAAAGTTGTAGTACGTCGATTTTAATTGTTTTAATACCATTCAAAAATTTGTATTTTTATTTTTGTAATATTTATTTAATTATGAGATTAATTAATAAAAGTTGTACAACATCAAATGATTTTATTTATTTTAATACCATTAAAATTTGTATTTTTATTTTGTAATATTTATTTAATTATGAGAGTTACTAATAAAAGTTGTAGTACGTCATGACAATATTGATTTTAATTGTTTTAATACTATTAAAATTTGTATTTTTATTTTTCTAATATTTAATTAATTATGAGATTAATTAATAAAAGTTGTACAACATCATTTGATTTGATTCATTTTAATACCATTGAAATTTGTATTTTTATTTTGTAATATTTATTTAATTATGAGATTAAATAATAAAAGTTGTACATCATATGATTTTATTTATTTTAATACCATTAAAATTTTTATTTTTATTTTGTAATATCTATTTAATTATGAGATTATTTAATAAAAGTTGTAGTAAAATATAATACCGTTTAAAATTGACTTAATGTATAGTGTTTTTTAAATGATTAAACAAAAAAGTACTACCAACTTGACCGCAACTGTTGCCAGAGATATACATATATGTATATATGGCCAAAGTGATTGCATATATTTACTAACTAATCGCCGGCTGAGAAGCCAGAGAGAGAGCACAGGCCAAGAGCAGAGGAGCAGCAGTCGGCAGACAGCAACAATGTCAGGGCCAGTTGAGTGCCTTGAACTTTGGAACGGAAGCGAAATGAAAGCGAAACTGGTTTTTGTGTGCAGTGCACGCAATGGGAATCCCCTCACGAGCCCCACCGCAGCGCAGCCACCATTTCCACAGCTGCGCTCCTCTCGGGGCTTTGTATTTATTTAATATTTAAATACCATTTCAGTGGGTCAATGGCTCAATGAATGCGCACGACTTCCTAGTCATTGGCTGATCCTAATGGCTGTAGAGATAACAGTGTATCTGATGGATACATTTTCCTTTTAAATGAAGGTATCTTAACCAAACATAATCTTAATAACAAGGCATTTCGAACAGAAAGTCTTAGAGTTACGATCCGATTTCAGTTTGATTGATTGATTCCTCTAAAACATAATATTACTTTGTAGAATATTGAAATCAAATCACTTGGATTCCCGCTTAATCGTCGGTTTTGTATTATTACCTCATCGCATAGCAATAATTACTCAGTAATTTATTCGAGACTTTGAAACTTGACTCAGCGATAGCGCCAATTCTTTCGATTACTGATTGTACATATATTTCTATATATTTATTTGTTTACTTCTTGATACTGTTGCTCTCACTCTCTCCCATTTGTAGGTTAGTGTGACAGCGATGCACTCAACTCACTTTGTGGTTAACATATATATTAATAGAAAATAGTCAGTCAGTGTCCCAAGAAATCCCTAAACCCATTTAAATCACGCCACAAAATGTGGCAATGGCAGTGAGTCAGAATCGGTCAGCCCCTTGGCTATATATCACTCATAAAGAGAAATCTCTCTAAATACCGACTTGACTTTTAATTACAAAAATTATGGGCATTATCTCAGTTAATTGATATCAATTGTGTGTGTGACAGTGATAGGAAAATTAATTGATTTTGCTCTAGTATGTTATGTTTTCTTTTTAATGCAATACATTGACATCTTTTTTTTTAAGTGCATCAATTAACCATAATTAGATCATTTCCGAGGTAAATCAGCATTGATCCGTAAACAAAACGAAACACTTGTATAACTCTTTGTCTACCATTGTGTTATTTTTCACCCCCAGCAATTAGAGCCAAGTTGGGAGAGAACGTTACCAATATACTATGTATGTTGGTCTTAATGCGAATCGAAAAGGGGGTTGGGTTCCGTTCCGGCTTGACTTTTTACATACACACACACAGCTGTCCATTAGGCCACGTGCGTATATTTTATCGGTCGCTTAAAAAGCAACAAAGCCACTGGACACTGCAGCACACTGGAAAACCGAATAGTGTCGAGTTAATCGATGCAATTTCCAATGCATGCATATGTACTTAAAAAGGGGGAGTGGGAAAGTAATGCCGTTGAACTGTACTCTTGTTCTTTGGAACACGAGCTGGCTTATGTGTCAAAAAGCCAAAGCAATTAAAAAGGAATGAAATGTGTAGAAGAGGAAAACAATCAGCACACAAGACTGACTATAAAGATACCCGGCAATCTAAGGTTTATTACGTATAATAAACACGAGATCTTAAGTGATTCAGGCAGTATTATTTCATATTACTTGGGTGCAGAATGATATCATATTTGTACTATTGTTTATAGTAATATTACCAACGGGCACCAAGGATAGTATAGGAATTAATAGTACAGAAGAGTGTATAAAAATATACATAGTAAGATAGAATGGTTTAGGATAAGGTAACAATAGGATCTGATTGGATTGGATAGGATAAAATAGGATAGGAAAGAATAGGAAGGATAGGATTCAATAAGATTGGATAGGAGAGGATAAGAAGGATAGGATAGGATAAGATAGAATAGGATAAGACTGGATATGATATGTTAGGATAGGATAGAATATATTGGCTTAGGATAGGATGGTATGGACTAGAAAAAAAAATTGTACTATTTTATTTTACCCCAAGGTTTACATAAGATAACAAAGAATGTTAATTCAACTTATTAAATATATTTACTATATTTTTAATATAGTTTCTTTGCTTTTAAATGGAATTGGACCGCTAATATTGCTGGAAATTAAAATGTTACTTTAAATGAATTAATTTTAAAATTTAAAAGCTATTTAAAATGCAAAAACTGTATTTTTAATTCAGAAAACCCAACAAAAAGCGATCTATTGGACTTTAAAATCTATGTATGTATGTACATACATATATGTTTCGGTAAATAGCAGATTGTTAATTTGTGGATATAAGAAAATGAACTTTAAGATCTTAATTCAAAGTAAATTTTCAAATATATATAATACTTAGTTTAATAGGTCTCTCTCTATATTTTAACATTGATTTTTAGTCTCTGTAATATGTAATTTCCAATTTTAGTATGGATGTTTTGGATTTATCCCCTATATACCCACAGCCGCAGTCTCTTTCCCATACACACACATACACACACACAGAGAGATTGTGCAAGGCGGATGGGAAAGCAACGGGAACAAAGCGGAACAAGACACCGATTGACTGGGCGAGTGGAAGTGAGAGAGGGCAAAACAATGGCACACATGCCAAAAGAACCGGCGTATTTTTTTTTTTTTGCCTTTTCTTTTTTGTATTTCGTATTTCGCTTCGCAGCAGCAGCAGCAGCAACAACAACAACGACGGCAATAGTGGGGCGTAACAACAACAACAAGGCGAACAAGAAAATCATACGATTCTCGCTGCCGTTAGCAAAACGCTGACGTAGGCAGAGACGTCGACAGCGCCAGATAAAAAAAGGAGGAAGAAAGAGTGGAAGACAACAACAACAAAAACATCAGTAAGCCCATGCGAAAATGTATAAGAAGATCGCACATGGGCTAGATTTGCATGAATGAATGCAAAGTCAGGGGCGATGGGGGGAATGTCGCACACTCACCTTGGCCACCTCAATGTGACTGTCGATTTCGATGCGATGAACGAACGGATTGATGTAGCTGTAGCCCTTGGAGGCCCACGTATCCTCCTCGGAGTCACGCTTCGTCAAGCTGGCGGCGGCAGCCACTCCCACATCGCCGGCCATGTCCATTGCCAAGTCGTCCCGCACTTCCCCCTTTCCAACGGGCGGGACATCTTCGCTGCCCGCAGGCTTAATTGTCGACGTTGTCATTCTCCGCTCTTTCTCGCCGCCTTTTTACGCACTCTTTCACTACCACGCACTCCCGCACAGCAGTCACAGGAAAATAATAAAAACAAAATTAATAACAACAAACGCTACTACGCAACGAATTAGAAGTGGTTCCTTGTTTTAGCGCGGCGACTCGATGGCTTTTATTCAAATGCCTGACTTCCAAACAAACTATTTTTATATATGTATGCAAAAGCTGACAATCACAACCGCGCATAAATATAGAGATGCACTGGCCATCGATAAAAACATCGATGCTTCGATGTTTTTCGAAGTTTCTAAATTATCGATGTTTTTTCAATCATCGATGTTTCTGTGCCGTCACTATCGTACATAGCATACATTTTAGAGGTGAACTGAACATCGATGAACACATCGATGCATCGATGTTTTTCGAAGTTTTTAAGTCATCGATGTTTTTTCGACCATCGATGTTTCTGCGCCGACACTATCAAGGGAGCTTCGTTTGCTCTCTTAAAAACTTGAATCACCAAAACTTTTTCTCCCATCTGGCAGCTCTGTCAATGGGCGCGCTTTTGAATTTAAATTCAATATCAAGATCTAACTTTCACGTGCTTTTGAGAATCGGCATCGCGCCACTTGCTTTGTTTTTTTTTACGATTTAATGACGCCGCCTAATCTGGCCGCAGCAGATACACCACACACAACAGTTCATGGCCCCCGCCATAGTAGCATGTGTCGGTAACGTGTTTCGGTTGTTTTTTTCTTGTTTTGCCCAAAAATCAAACCTTGCAATCGAAAACGAAAACGTTTCCAAGGCAAAATACACCTCTAGTTGTCCGATTTCTAGGCGTCTGGGTCTTTATCAGCGGCTAGGAACCAGTTTTGTTCCGTTGCGTTGCGGCTTTGTTGTTATTTTTAGTTTTTAGATAAAAAGCAAACTAGTTTCGTGATGCTGATGAGGATGATGATGATGATGATCACTTGCAATCTTTTTTTTCGAGGGCCGCACCGCATTAACTGTTATACGATCGCGCGCGCCTTTTGACCTTGACTGAAGTTTATTCGCCGCCCTCTTAAACCTCCCCCCCCATTGACCTTGCCCAACAACTCTCGTCGAACGAGGGGAAAATTTCCAGAGGAGCCCGTGCGCTCCCCTCGCAGAACCAGCCAACCGCTTCGAAGGCCAAATGAGCGGATTTTTAATGACAACCACTGGCTGCGCATTATAATAAATGGAATTCTTCATACTTATTTTAGTTTTTGCGCTTTGTATTATTCTTTCAAATCTGTGTTGAGTGTTGAGTGATTTTTAATTTGACAAACCCACTTTGTATCCATTTATAAATAAGTGTGTTTTATTAGTTTTACTTAAATTAAACGGTTTTACTTTATGTATTTCATAAAATTCTTATAAATTCTCTTATTAACTTAACAATTTGATTATGATATAATTTAACATGCGTTTAGTCGATTTCTTATGGGTAATTCATCATAATCAATCCCAAATTCAAACTAAGAACGTAAAGAGTATTTATACTCAATTTTCTTAAAGAACTCTAAAATTAAAAACATCTTAGTTGGTAATTATATTGCCTTGTTCCGTTGTAAGGCTAAAATAAAAAGGTTTTAGTCGAATAAAGTAGGAAAATGGTTCTATTTAATATTTATTTATTTTTATAATTATATTTTCTTCATTTATTATTTATTTATTTGTTTATAAATTACAAATTATTAAAGTAATATTCAATACAATATTTCAATTCTTTACATTTTCTAACAAAAATAAGTTCCTACAATTTCTTTGTTGATCATTAAAAAAATTAACTGAAATCGCAATAATAAAAATTAATAGTTTATTTTTCTATTTTTAGTTATTTTCGTTGTGCTTTAGTATTGTGACGTGTTTGTTATCTAATATCAAACTATTTTAAATACAAAGCACACATTTTACGACTATATGTATAGGTTTTGTTGTTACAATAATAATTTATTTGTATTTATTATAGTGATGTTTGTATACGTGCGTAAGCATGTGCTTTATTTTATTTTTTTTTTAAGAAATTTATATACATTTATACTTTTCGGTGAATTTCTATATTTTTTATGGGGTTTTTGTCTCTAATTTTGTTTTTTTAATCTCTTTTGCCATTTCTACTTATGTGTCTGATTCTTTTTTTCTACTCGTTTATTTTTCTTTTCCTTATTTTCTTTGACAGTTGAATTTTTCCGCCTTTTTGTTTCAGAGCGTCACGTGAAGTTATTTACAGTTGCCAAAACGTATAATAATTAATGACTTTTGTTTATAAAACGAAGGCCGGCGGGATTTTTAGGTGGGCGTTTGATTTTCGCAGATTTTCACAAATTTTCCACGCGGTTTGGTGGGCTGCATTGACCTCTTGAATAAGAGAGAAAGAAATGGAGGAACAGGACCGAAAGAGCAAACGATAGAGTGAGAGAGAGTGCCACTACGTCATCATCATTGACGTCACAAAACAGAGTAAAAGCTGGAAAATATCTTACGATAAAATGCTGTAAGAAATCGATTATTTTTGTATATACAAACCGCGAGTGATGAGCAAGCGCACACGGGCAAACCCCTCACACATACATATGCATGTACTCACACACACACAGAGCCATCATTGTGTGCATGTCATGGGGCGAGCCCCCAAAACTGGATTCCCAAAAGCGGACTACAAAAAATACGTTACGCCGCAGCGCGGCAACAGCGACGCCGACGTCAGCCGGAGCATATAACAGCCTGAAGGTGACACGGGAGGACAGCGAGAGGACATTGTATAACAGTTAACGATACACCCAACTTTGGCTGACGAAATCCAGAGGAATTCAAGGCGTGGTAGAAAAGGAAAGGAAAGGAAAAGAATGGAACGGTGCAAGGTCCTGCTGAATAGTACCCGGAGAGCACCCTGCCAATCTCCTGCTTCTCCCAGAACCCCAACCTCTGGAACCAGTTGAATTTTTCATTTTAGAAATTCTGTTAACAGGGAATTACCAAAATGAACCTGGTTTTTGCATCAGTTAAGGGGAAATTCCTTACAAATTTCATCATATTATTTATTTAATTTTTATCTTATCCCAAATCGGTCAATTGTTTTTAGAGCTATAATAAATTTTAACAATAAACAGAGTTAAGATTTCATTACAAACTGTATATTACATTCTTTTCATATAAGACCCCCTGTCACTTAACAGGTAATTAATCATCAAAGTTTATTTATTCATAATTCATTTAAATAATTATTTTCTCCCTTACCTCACGTCAGGCCCTTAAACAAAGATCTGCCAAAGTTCAATGGGGTTTGCTATTGCGCTTTTCATATAATCAGTAATTGTAGTCCAATAACCATTAAGTCTTTCCTTTGTCTGTTTTAAATTTTATTTGTTATGGCACATGTTTTATTTTTTCCAATTATTCATAAAGTATAACTGCACTTGAAATATGATGCTTCGTTGCTCAGCTGTCAAAACGCTGAATCATGGTGTTAATGTATCAATTGTGTGGTCTTATCACACACATGTATCGCATATGTATCCCCACAAATATATACAAATATGTATTTATATATACAATTAAAAACCAGTTTGGTTTTTGGGAAATTCGCAGCCACTTAACACATTTTTTATATCTTTGATCGTTTCAGAATTTCCAAAGATACAATTATATCTTTGCTTTTATTGAGAGCTGATTTTTAGTTTTTAGTAGTCAGATTAGAGCGTTAAAGGTCTTAACGATGCATCAAAGTTTAATCATGAAATCAAATGCCACGCCCTCATCCGGGCCCCCACATCTCAAGTGTGTTGGCCCCTGGAATACCTTTTTTTTTGCCAAAGCAATTTCCGTGCACTGCAGATAACAGAGTCCAAGTGGAAAAGGAAAAAACAACGGCGACTACCACTCCTAGGTCCCGTTTGCCATTATAATAATGTACATACGTAGTTGAATTTAAACACCTGTTTTCGGGTGCTATGAATTTTAAAAGAAGTTTGTAACCAAAGATATTGGTTGCCTTCAACAGCAACGGACATGATCACTAATCACTGATCACTAATGTGCTGAACACTTGATCACTGTTTACTAATCCATCTCTGATCAGTGATCATGTTATTTCGCTAAACGCAACCATTTATTTACAGCCTCCTTAATCCCTCTACATCAAACTGGTTTTCTTTATACATATAAGTTTTAGGAACTTAATTTCTAAGAGAACTTGAGTCATGCATCAAGAGTGGATTTTTTATTTTCATTTTTAAGGGTATTAAAAACTTCGGTTTGAGGATCGGGCTTTACTATCTGTATTTTTTCTACGTCTGTATGTGGTTTGTCGTGGGTGTGTGTGTTCCTGGGTAACGGAACGTGTAACCGAGCCAGATAAACAATTAATCAATTCTGTCGGACTCCAACACACATACTCGAACACATACACAAAGTAAATATAGAGAGTGACACTCCCCGTCAGCTGAAAACTTCTTGAGGACTTCAAAAAGTCACTGAATTTTTAATGCACTTTGCACTTTGTGATTTTTGGGGCTTTATTTATTTTTGGAGCTTTATGGCCGACAACTGGCGTTAAAGGCCTAATGGCATTTATATTTTTTTTTATTTTGCGAATTTATTTCGCAACACACGTGCGCCGCAGCGAGAGTGGGAGTCATCCACCAGGCAGACAGAGCGGGAGAGGAAGTTGACGTCGATGAGTTGTAGTTGTAGTTGTAGTTGCAGTTGTTGCTTTGCCCCAGACGTCATCGCCCTCTCACTCACTATTTCCCCTTACGATCCGCCTGGGGGCGTGTAAGTAAATGGAATACTCGTGTACATATGTGTACAGCAGGGGCCAAGGCATTAGTGATGCAGTGCAAAATAATGGGATAAAATAGATTCCTTTTTATTGTACCCTTTTCCCATAAAATGCTCAAAATAAATAATGTTTAATATTGGAGTATTTATTATTATTTACTTTTCATTTTCTTTCCTTATGAACTGATTAGAGTCAAGAATTCTCGTTTTAATTTATTTTTTACTTTAATAAAATTAAAGATTCTTTAATTAACTATATAATCCATTTTTAATACCTAATTATTACCATTATTATTACCTTAGCTGTTAATGTCTGGTCTTGTATAACAGTTATGAGGCCACATGCCAGTACACACGTTTGCAAACATGCCCTCTTACATACATTTACACAGCATGCAAAGTTAGGAGCTATTTTAGGTCCTCAAATAACGCAAATCCTTTTCTGGGTATTTTCAGAGCTTCAGAATCAGAAATCCATCAGAAACCATTCATATTACATGAGATTCATATACACATATTTACATATGTATGTATGTACATATGTATATGTATACATGTGCCCACTCACTTTTAGTTCGACTCGCTTTTATTGTTGTTGCTGCAACTGCGGACGAGCCTCTTTGGACAGAATAAAAAAAGGAAAAGAGACCGAAAACAACACTATGCAAGAATGCTGCAGCCGAGTGAAATAGCAAATGCAATCTGCTTGCAAAAATACGAAAACCAATAGGCAACAACAACAAAATTCCATTGAACTGGCCTCCCCCCCCTGATGAGAGAGAGAGGGAGGGAGGGACAGAGAGCGAGCTTCGAGCTCCATGGCACGTACACAGACACACACACTCACGCACAATCGACTCATCAGAAGAGGGGGGCGGGTATGAAGGAGGGGCGGGGCAGCTGACGAGCCCCACGGACGTCCAAAGGCAAAGTCGAAAGAAACGAAAAAAAAACGCGATAAACGGGAAAAAGGCAAGAAGAGGATGTTGACGCGTCGCCAGAATTCAAGAATTCCAACAAATGGAAATAGGTAAGGGGAAGGGACGAGAGAGGGGGGGAGGCAACAGCTAAGCAAACCAAACTCGTTCTCCCATTTGTTAAGTAAAATGAGCACGCTGCCTCTCAGCTGTACTGGAACTGTTATACTGGTACCGCAAGAGAGCGGTGCCCACAAGCTCTGCTCAGGGGGTTAAAGAGCAACGGGATGTGGGGGAAAAACAGAGGTTCAAGGAACGAAGCCTACAAGCAGCAAGAAAACGGTCATCATAACGACTTTATAATACCCTAACGATAAGCTTTATAAAAACCTAAGAGTGTTTAGTAGGTTTAGATCTTGATTAGGACCAATTTATATCAATAGTCTAATAAATAATAACTACAATATTATCAATTCGTTTGTTTCAAGATTTTTGAAGTCGTGTCAGTATCATTTCTTTTAAATAATAGGCTGTTTCTACAAGAAATAAATTGAAAGCTTCTTAAAGTACAGAGATGAAATTAAATAATTCATAGGGTATCATATCAAGATAGAGAATATAAACTGTTTGTATACATTAAACAAAATAAATACTAGTTCACATAAAGCTCAATCGAATGTAGTGTATCTACCAAATTTGCTGACGACGGCAAGCGAGAGCTCTCTCTTGCAAACGGAAGAGGCGAGAGAGACTTGTCCGGTGGAGCTGACAGGCCCTTGCGGTTCCGAGTTCATGGGGTGGAAAAAAACATGATTTCCCATTGTTAAATTTATAAAGTTATAACAAAATGTATTATTGTTAAATTCACACTATTTTAAAAAAGGTACGGTAAAATATATGAAGAAACTGTGATTACTTTACACATATAGTTAACAGTAAATAAATAAAAAATAAATAAGTAGGTATAATTTAATAAAGTAATATAAAAAATTAATTTTGAAATAAGTTCATTAAATGCCACGATCACGATCACGATCTCCATTACGCATGAACTTGAGTCATTCACCTCGTTGCTCTCCCATTCGGCTCATTCACTCTTTCTCTCTCTCTCTCTCTGTGGTTTGCGTCTCTGGGCCCAAAAACAGCGTAGATATACGCGCCATATCTCCAACCCGCCCCAATACTAATTTTCAGTTTTGACCTTCAAGGTTCCTTCACAACGTACACAGGCGCACGAAAGAGCGTCGCGGTGCGGAGGAGTGACTATGAGAGAGAGAGAGAGCAGCGTTGCTTCTGCCAACAGCGACGCAGCAGCGGCAGCGTAAAATGAGCAGCTCGTGGCCCAGTGCTGCCAGGTTATGACAACCCGCGTAAGCTAGTTTCTAAATAACAAAAATTAGCTAAATATAAAAATAAGTGGTCAGATTGTTGCTAAAACAGGATCTAAAGTAAACATCACTATATTAGTTGTATTAGTTATTTATAGAAAGCTAAAATTAGGAAAAATTGCTTCCAAAAACGTCATAAAAACGCTAGATGTAGTGGGAAAATAGCTAAAGTAACGTCGACTGTGGCCGCGGCATCGCGTTTGGTGCACCCGGTGTTCGATCTTTCACGAGAACAGAATTCTGTTACCGTACTCATTGTAATAATTTATAAAAATTAAATTGTTGATTATGAAACAAAATTAACGGCAGAGTACAATAATATAAGTATATTGTACAACAAGAATAATGAAATAAGAAAATGGAAAATAAATCCGCTCAATAAATGTTGCCAGCGAGTAGCTATATATTTTGTTCAGTAACTAGAACGTAATAGTGTTAAAAATAATAAGAATAATATCATTAATCTTACGAACGTTATTGTTGCTTGTATGTGCTTCATAAATATTGAAGTAAGTCATTTTTTCTGCAGTGTACAATAATATAAGTATATTGTACAACAAGAATAATGAAATAAGAACATGAAAAATAAATCCGCTTAATAAATGTTGCCAGCGAAGAAGCTATATATTTTGTTCAGTAACTAGAGTGTAATAGGGTTAATAATAATAATATCATTAATCTCACGAATGAAATTGTTGCTTGTATATGCTTCATAAATATTGAAGTAAGTAATTTTTTAGGCTCTAAGCTACATAAGCTTCTCCATTTTCGAATATACTACATCTAGCGTGAAATATACCAAACTGCCAACACTGGCCACCGTCGCCGTCGGCGCTGGCAGCGAAGCAGCAGCGGCAGCGGCAGCTTAAAGTTAGCAGCTCGTGGCGAGTGGATTTTAATTCCGTAAAAAAGTTTCGAGACAGCGGACGAAAATAAAACGGAGCACAAAATCGTCGGCGTCGGACACACTGTAAACTGAAAACAGAAAACAGAAAATAGAAAATCACTCGACTCGACTTGCGAGCACTGACCACTTTTTTTTTGACGTGTGAGAGTGTGAGAGCGATCGCGCCCAGGAGCCAAAGGCAATGGATCGGGAGCTGAACGGGGCCATGAGGAGCGTGTCCATAAATAGCGCCCAACAGAACGGTCACAGTCGCGATGAAACGGACCGGGTGGGCGTGGCGAACGGGGGGGATGTGAGTGCATCATGTGCAGCGGCAGCGCAGACCACAAAAGCGACAAATGCAACGTCGGCAACGGGAACGGCAACGGCAACGGCGGCGGCGGCCACAAATGCAACGACAAATAGCCCGAGTGCACAGCAAATAGCACTCGCATCCGCAGCAGAGAAAAAGAAGATGGTGCACGAGTTATGTCAGCAGCTGCTGCTCTCGGACGAGCAGGTGCAGGAGCTGTGCTATCGCATCCTGCACGAGCTGCGGCGCGGCCTTGCCAAGGACACGCACCCGAAGGCCAATGTCAAGTGCTTTGTGACGTATGTGCAGGACCTGCCCAACGGCAATGAGCGCGGCAAGTTCCTGGCCCTGGACCTCGGCGGCACCAATTTCCGGGTGCTGCTCATCCACCTGCAGGAGAACAACGACTTCCAAATGGAGTCTCGCATCTACGCCATCCCGCAGCACATCATGATCGGTTCGGGGACGCAGCTCTTCGACCACATAGCCGAGTGCCTGTCCAATTTCATGGCCGAGCACAATGTGTACGCCGAGCGTCTGCCGCTCGGGTTCACCTTCTCCTTCCCCCTGCGTCAGCTGGGCCTGACCAAGGGCCTGCTGGAGACCTGGACCAAGGGCTTCAACTGTGCCGGCGTCGTCAACGAGGATGTGGTGCAGCTGCTGAAGGACGCCATCGCCCGGCGCGGAGACGTCCAGATCGATGTGTGCGCCATCCTCAATGACACCACCGGCACCCTGATGAGCTGCGCCTGGAAGAACCACAACTGCAAAATCGGCCTCATTGTCGGCACCGGCGCCAATGCCTGTTATATGGAGCGTGTCGAGGAGGCGGAGCTCTTTACCGCCGAGGATCCGCGCAAGAAGCATGTCCTGATCAACACGGAATGGGGAGCGTTCGGCGATAATGGCGCCCTGGACTTTGTCCGCACCGAATTCGACAGGGACATCGATGTGCATAGCATTAATCCCGGCAAGCAGACCTTTGAGAAGATGATCTCCGGCATGTACATGGGCGAGCTGGTGCGCCTCGTTCTGGTCAAGATGACACAGGCGGGCATCCTCTTCAACGGCCAGGATTCGGAGGTGCTCAACACCCGGGGCCTGTTCTTCACCAAGTACGTGAGTGAAATCGAAGCGGACGAGCCGGGCAACTTCACCAACTGCCGCCTGGTGCTCGAGGAGCTGGGCCTGACCAATGCCACGGACGGCGACTGCGCCAATGTTCGCTACATCTGCGAGTGCGTGTCCAAGCGGGCCGCCCACCTTGTCTCCGCCGGCATCGCCACCCTGATCAACAAAATGGACGAGCCGCACGTGACGGTGGGCGTTGATGGCAGTGTCTACCGCTTCCATCCCAAGTTCCATAACCTGATGGTGGAGAAGATCTCCACGCTGATCAAGCCGGGCATTACGTTCGACCTGATGCTCTCCGAGGACGGTTCTGGTCGCGGTGCGGCCCTGGTGGCGGCCGTGGCCTGTCGCGAGGACATACTCTATGCCAAGAAGTAGGAGCGGGATACGGCGGAGCCATGTAGTAGGAGCAGGAGCACGAGTAGGAGCGACAGCCGCAACACGAGTCCTAGGAGCAAAGGCCGAGCAGGAGCAGAGGAGGAGGAGTGGAGAAATACCCAACAGAAAACACCTAGTAAAGGGCCAGAGCAATTTCCACTGTGGCGTATGCGTAATAACAGTGGCACCTCGCTAACTCGCAATGTGCCCTCCCCCAAAAAAAAGCTGCCAGTAAACGGAATCGAAAACCAAACACAAATCAAGCTAGCAATTGTATAAGACTCCTTTCCCCAAGCCACCAACCAGCGACGAGAAAATAGCATCCTTCTTCAAGTTAACCAGTTCAGTTCAGTTACTACAAAAAGCTACAAAATTAAAGGTAATTTGCGAGTTGGCGAGGCCGCACTGTAGGTTCCTTCGTTGGCCGCCGGCAGGGGGCGCCCGACACGCCCACACACACACACACACACATCGCGGCGACCCCTGGCGGTGTGCAGCTTTAGTATTTTAATTAGGAAAAAAAAACAAAAGTTTTTAACGTAAAAACAAAAAACTACAAAAGCAAACTAACAGCAGAAAAGTAAAAGTAACAGAAACAGCAACAGAAAAATACCCACTAAGAGACAGAAGATTCGTTGCATTCTATCTCTTTTTCTCCTAGTTAAAACAAAAAATATGCTTAATGATTATGGATCGATTTTCGATTTTTGTTGAAAATTTGTTATGCTATTATATATATATTTTACAAGAAAAACATAATATATACACACAAACATACACACACGAGAAACATATACATGTTTACGTATATATAGTACAATTTGTGAAACGAATTTCTTTTCGATTGAGACAAAAAAAATTGCGCCCCCCAAAAACACCTCTCCCCCCAGAGATACTTAAGAGAAGGAAGAGAGGGAAGTAGATGAGTTGGAGAGCTTGGAGAGAGTGAGAGGATGAAGAAACTGTTATACTACTGTGCTACAAGCATTCTAGCATATCCTGCAGGACAACACGGAAAGGAGAAACTGTAAAATCGCACATTGTTAAAGCAAAAAAACAAGAAAACAAAAAACGAACGAAAGAATGATAGTGAAACAGGCCGCTAAAGAGGAGGAAGAGGCAAGGAGAGGAGCTCTAGGAAGATCAAACGGTGTCCTTTCTGTAATTGTAAATGTTTATATAGAACCTATTACGAAGCGTTATATGATAATACTTGCATACACATATATATTTACATATATATATATACTATATATATAAATATGATATATTTAGCCAACTATATTACAGATATATTTTTTTTTTTGTAATGTATTGCTTGTGTCTTTGTTTAGTGAACTTGTTTGTTGTTAACATTTAAGCAGGTAAAACACTAAACAAATGAGAAATTGTTTTTTTTTCTTTGTTGTGTTCTATAGAAACGCACTTTGTGAGCTATTATTTATGTAATTGTACATTTGACCTAGTTTAGTGTTTAGTTCTTATCTTAGTTTCTAAATGTTGTCGAAGAATCCCGCAATACAAAACCCCACCACACCCCCCTGTCGAACCCACAGAACCCTTAATTATATTTAATTATTGTTTACGATCAACAACAACAACAACAACAAACAATCGGAGTAAATGCGAAAATGCATAAAATAAGCAAAAAGAAAAGCAAATAAAATTTGTTCTTAATTCAAATACGTTTTCATTTCTGTTATCCTTTTTGGTATTTTCTTGGTTGTTTTTTAGGTATGTTCTCTTCCTCTAGGTATTTCCGGTTTGATTTTCTGATGGTTTTTTATTTGCTGCTGGTCGGCATGCTCAGTCACTAAAAACAAAAACAACATAAACAATTCGCAATCAAATGCAAAACGAAGACACGTTTTTTTTTGTCTATTTTTAATAAGCAAATAAATGGATGGCTGGAAAAATGTTATAAAATATATGAGACAGAAAAAAAAAAAACTACAAAAAACAAACCAAGTCAAGCAAAAAGTGTTTCTATTTTTCATGAAGAGATTGTAATAACAAAACAAAAAATAAATCATCTTAGCCACTGTTAAAAAGATAAAACCAATTAAAACTCGCGTTATCAGAAAGAGCAAAAAAAAAGAAGAAAGGAATACTAAATTGAAAATAAAATTTACACACCCACAGAGAAAACATAAATGAAAAACAATCGAAGGCTTGGCGTAGACGAAGAATTTAATAAATGAAATTAAAAACAAAAGGAATGTTTGTCGACAGTGTGAAACAAATAAAAATGAATAAAACAAAAGAACGGATGAAAAACAACTAAATATTCTCGTGGAACGTGTTCTTTTGGGAAAAGTAATTAATTGTTATATATATTCTTTATTAGTATTCAGTATTATTATTATGTTGCTGCTGCTATTAATTAAATGCAGACTAAAATTACACATCACCAGGGACAACTACAATTGGTCTGCCTTATTTTCTTATTTTTGCTACTCAGAATGCGCCTGGGATACCCTAACTAGAACTGGAAATCTTTGCGAGATCGATTTGTGAACACTCTTTCAAAACACTTTTTTAAATATTTAAATTCAGGCCTGTCTAAATCTTTTAATTTCATTTTTATAATAATTCTAAAAACATATTTTTTGGCTTTAATGGTTTTCAAAACAAAGGTAAGTTCAAATGTAATATATTAATATTTTTTTAAAACAATGTCATTATTTGTACTCAAAAAAGTAAGTATAATATTTTCTTTAAAATATTTAAAAATATATAAGGTTTTTAATAGGCTGATTTGTATTTTTAATTTAATATACATAGATATATATCTTAATAAAAATGAATATTTATTTTAAATAGTATATTTATATATTAAAATTATATCTTCTCTAATAAACCCCTTTAAAACACAAATTTTTCTTTAAATACCATTCCCTTGAGACAAATGTTAATATTTAATCTAAAAATACCAAGTGTAAGTTAACCAATTAAACAATTTCCAATTTTAGTAGTATTTTCTTACGTATTTTTTATAGTTCGTTTAAAATTGATTCATTTTCGTTCGCCTGACGCATTTGAATTGCGAAACTTGATTGAGCCATTGATCGATCGTAAATGCTTTGATGTTAGGCGAGTGAAATGCAAACGTCAAAGTCTCGCTTTGTGGTGAGAGAGGGCCACTTACATTATTTATTCCATTATAAATATCCAAACAAAGCTCGAGTTCCGCGAAAATCGTTCATAGAATTTCAAATACAAATGCAATCTCAGTCTCGGACGCGATCACGTTTTACTGCGGCGCAAACCCAATTTAAATATCTCGAAAGCAAATTGCAATTTTAAAATGCTGAAAGCAATTTCCACTTGAGGAGGTATGTTGTGTTTTCAGAGGGGGGAATTACAAATTGGGGCGATACCCATTTGGGTATTAACCAGATCGAAAGTGATCGAACGGTATAGCTTATCTAGATAAAGATGAGGTATAGTATTTATTAATTATACCGCTTAGATAGATAACCCGAAAGAACTGTAAATGCACTTGCTGCCCCCACTTAACACTCGAATGCCCTCGACTGGCGTTAATCTAGCACCTATTTCCAACTTAACTTTTCTTGATAAGGCACTACTTTTGCCTTATCAGCGGGGAGCTCACGCCCACTTCATATGCCATCGAAATGCATCGTCCGTCAGTGATAAGGATGACTTTCCTGGAACGCCCATTTATAACCCCAATCACCTCGAGAAGGTTTCAATTTCAATAGATTGCGTCTGGTTTTTTTCAGGGTTAAGAAATTTCTCGCGAACCACGCTGCGTATGCGCAATATTAAATCAGAAATATTACGTATACACATGGTTTAAGTACTTACCTTAGAATTCTTTCATATATGTTTAACTTAATCCTTTAAATTTTCTAAAATTAATACCTTTGCAAATCATTAAACCTCATATCTCTATCTTTCTTTTGATTAATTTATTAGAATATAAAATTCTCGCGAACCACGCTGCGTATGCGCAATATTATATCAGAAATATTACGTATACGCATGGTTTAAGTACTTAACTTAAAATTTCTGATATTTGTTTCACTTAATCCTTTGAATTTTCTATAATTAATACCTTTGCAAATCATTAAACCTCATCTATCTCTTGCTTTTGATTAATTTATTAGAATATGAATTCCTCGCGAACCACGCTGCGTATGCGTAATATTAAATGATAAATATTACGTATACGTACTGTTTAAGTACTTAACTTAAATTTCTTTCATATTTGTTTCACTTAATTCTTTTAATCATTAAACCTCATCTCTCTCTTGCTTTTGATTAATTTATTAAAATATCACGTATACGTCACCGTGTCCCCGAAAAAGTAACAGAAAATAGCCTACGTCATTCGCGGGGAAAGAAAAAGATTTATCATTGAGCTCGTCGGGATGACAAAAATTGAACAACATTCTTTTCAACATTTTTAAGAGCTTTGGCAGCATTTTGTTGCTGTTGTTGTCGTCGAAATTTTTGCGTTAATTTTGCGGCAATTTTACAAAATATGCTTTGTATTTTTCAGTTCGCACCGCCAGAGCAAAAACATTTCTTCTCAAATAGTTCTAATGCGCAGAAATCGTGGCAAAGGGGAAAAATCGGTGGGTGGGGGGTGGATATAGAAAATTTAAGAAGAAAATACGCAATAATAAACATACCAGAAGGTAGGGAGAAAAAAATATATAGAGAGAGTGAAAATGGACTTTACTATATCTTCCCCTCATTTTTCACTCGCTTTTTTTTCGTTATGCAAATGCTAAATTGTAAACTGTAAAAAGCATTTCAAACGACAGCAGAATGCACTTTTCGAAAGTGTGAAATGCAAAATGCAAAACGCGAGAACCAAAAAGTGAGAAGCAAAAGTGAGAAACAAAAGCGAGAAGCAATACCGAAAGGCGAGAGCAAAAAGCAACAATCATGTGAGTGCCAAGTATAGCAACAAATGCAAAAAAAAGAAGGAACAACAATAACCATAATAATAACAACAATTGCGTCGCACTCGTATAATTCAATTTTTACTTTCCCAATCTATTATGCATGATCTTGCTCTATTAACATTTGAATTTTGCTCAGGAATTGCAAAGGATCAGCAGGAGAATTGATCTAGCCACTTGTCAGGATGCAGCTTTGCAAGGACTCTTGTTTCTATAATTTTAGTCAGAAGTTTTATATTTTTTATATCTTTGCCTTAGTCAAGTTTATACAACCATGGGCTTAAATCTATCATCTTCTTTATTTTGTTATAATAATAATTTAATAATAATAAATGCATAAACCTATTTGTCATCTCTTTTCAAATTCTCGAAACCAGATTATTATTAGTAAAATGCAAGAGGTTTGCCTTCAATCGTTGCTTTGTGGTTATAGCTTTCACTTGCGGATGTGGATATCAAACACAAGTCGAAATCTTAAAGCAGGTCGAGAGAGACTTAAACCAGTTTAGACATATTCAAACCACATATGTATAATCACGGCAGTAACAACATTAACATCAAATGACAGGAAGGAGCAACACAGCATTCGGAATTTCCAGCTGGGAGGGCGGAAAAGGGGTTGGACCTGTTGTCAGGACCCAAGTACCCAGTGGTAAAACTTACAATATGTATAAGAGAAACGGAAATAAAGTGACCTTATAATTCTCAAGTAATACCAGCATCGTTTGAATGACAGCTATATGATATACATAGTATTCCGATTTTCATAAAATGTAAACACAAAATTCTGGATTAATATATAATGGCTATATATTGAATTTGATGAAAATATGTTTAAAAATGTAAAAGTTATAAAGTTTTTTCTAAAATTTTCCGATTGGCATCTATATATATATCTATCTATATATATAGTCCACCGACTCGCCATGATCCGATTTATATACTAGTAAAATTATATAGAAGAATAACTCCTTAGTTTCGTTCTCTTGCTCTTAATTTTGTTCAAAAACAAATCTCGCACACCTGTGCATATGATTCCCAACTAGTTCTAACATCCCCGGAACGAAGTGGCTTCTTCCAGCCACGTCTCAGAAATGTGTTGTGTTACAAAAGTTGCAAGTCATTGTTTACTCGTGTTCAAAGTTAGTACTTGATCATACATACATACTTACTGGTCATAGATAATTACTGATCATAGTTAGTTACTAATCATAGTTACTTACTGATCAGAGTTACTTACTGGTCATTGTTACTTAGTGTTCAGAGTTACTTAATGTCAATAAATACTTACTGATCAGAGTTACTTACTGGTCATAGTTACTTAGTGTTCAGAGTTACTTAGGCACATCCGTGCATATGATTCTCAACTAGTTCTAACATCCCCGGAACGAAGTGACTGCTGCCAGCCAAGTTTCAGAAATGTGTTTTGTTACAAAAGTAGCAAGTCATTGTTTATTAGTGTTTAAAATTAGTGAGTGTTATACATACTTACTGTTCAGAGTTACTTATTGATCATAGTTACTTTCTGGTCAAAGATACTTACTGCTTAGAGTTACTTACTGGTCATAGATACTTAGTGTTCAGAGTTACTTACTGGTAATAGATACTTAGTGTTCAGAGTTACTTAATGTCAATTAATACTTACTGATCAGAGTTACTTACTGGTCATAGTTACTTGGTGTTCAGAGTTACTTACGCACATCTGTGCATATGATTCCCAACTAGTTCTAACATCCCCGGAACGAAGTGACTGCTGCCAGCCACGTCTCAGAAATGTGTTGTGTTACAAAAGTTGCAAGTCATTGTTTATTAGTGTTTAAAATTAGTGAGTGTTATACATACTTACTGTTCAGAGTTACTTATTGATCATAGTTACTTACTGGTCAAAGATACTTAGTGTTCAGAGTTACTTACTGGTCATAGATACTTAGTGTTCAGAGTTACTTACTGGTCATAGATACTTACTGTTCAAAGTTACTAACTGGTAATAGATACTTACTGATCATAGTAACTTTGCTTGGCAGATATATGTATTTCTTTTTCTGGTTTTGACATTCGTTGACATTCTATTTCCCCAATAGACGAGCTATATAACAGATATCAAATCTTATCGTTCGACAGAGTGATAAAAACTTTGATTTCGCACTCGGTAGCTTTGGACTTTATAATTGCAATGTTTTATTGCAGACCCAGATAGGAAGTGCAAATAGATTGCAATCAAAGATGGGGAAAGAGAATGACTATTTAGCTCAGATAAAAAATAATAAGATATTAAAAAGAAGAAGATATACAAAAGTACAAAGTACAAGTACGAGAATTTGGTTCAGTTTATTTTTCTCTATTGAAAATGATATTTTTTTCCGCATAAATTAAATAAAAATAATAAACAAAAAATCTTTATTCTTCAGTAAATTCGACATGGGGCTTCAATAATTGTTTCTATAACAACGCCGCACTCATACACCACAATCAACAATCAACAATCATCCACAGATGGTTGCCGTCATTTCCTTCGACGATCTTGTTTTATTGCCGTTGTTTTCTGCGTATAATTACCGTTATTAGTTTATAACTCTTTTGTTTTTTGCGAGCAAAATTAGAGTGTTGCCTGATTACTGTCCATAGCTCGGCTGAAACTTTATATATATATTAACTGCAAAATAACTTTAATTACAACTCAATTATAAAAACCGCAAATAACAAAAGTAATTAAAAAAACCCCCCAACAAAATAAATGAGTAATTGAAATGACAGGGAAAGTACTAAAACAAAACAAACAATTGAAGGCACTAAATTGGATGATATAATACGGGTAATTAAGATGTAGATTATATGGGGTATCATCAATCTTGGGATAAAGACAACTCTCATTACTCGCTTATATTTAAGATGACATTTCTGAGGTGCAAACATGTCTGTAAATCTTTTATTTTAACTTTATTTCTTCTTGCAAATTGAAGTGTCATTTTTCAAATAAATATAAACTTTCTAGACTAAACATTTGAAGTCTGGAAAACATGATTAATTTACAAAACCAGAAAAACTATTAGCAGAAATTGAAGTTGATCTGGCAAAACGAATTGCTTGTGGCTGAAGTGAAACATAATTCCTCAGACTGTGCTAGAGATGACAGCAAATATCGAAATAGGTATATATCTTTCTGAAATTATTTGATAATACCAATAAATTAGTGTTAATTGTAATATTTCTGAAATATTTAAACATTCTAAATGATTTTAGGTACATCATATTGAATTTAGCTTCCCGATATACGTACATCCCCATGCTGTTACTCATTCAAGATCGCCTTTCTTGAAGCCACTGCGAATGTTCCCAGACTAAACAATAAATATTTAGTTTAACGATCTGTTTACAGTATCTGAGATGGGCCAAGGGGCAAGGGCAGCTGTAATAGGAACAACACATCCCAATCTGATCCGGACTTCAAGGGCCCCCCTGTCTGGGCAAGGCTATACTAGACACCGAAAAATCCAGTACAGTAGCCTCAGGCTAGACCTTTTCCGATGGTCATGGCCAGTCCAGTCAATTGATGATGATGTAAGTGAATGATTGAATGAAAGTGCGACGACTCAGTGCCCAGTCCCCGGTCCGTCTCTAATCGCTAAACGAGACCAAATGCAAACCAATTGAGCGTTTCTCGGCGGAACGAACCGCCAGAAACTGCCCGAGGAGCCACTCTCTGGGGGGGTTATTTTCGTCTCAACTAATGGAATGATTCTGGAAAAAGCGTCGTCCATCTCGAAAGAATTTGCTGGGCATACAAATTTATTTGATACGGCGGACACTAGAGTCAATTTGCAGACGGGACAAGGCACGAGACTTTGGTTAGCAGAGTTCTTCTTTTGAATTTGTTTATGCAGCAAAGTGATCTATTAATGAAGGAATTGATGAGTTGACGGTCCTCAGAGCAGATGAAAATGCGCAGATTCATACAATAAAGAGGGATGCAAGTATATTTAGCAGGAAAATTTAAATAAATAAGAAACCTTTAAAAGATCTTCTTAACCTCTGGTTAAGAGTGTGCCATTAAACTTATTTCCTTTTGAATGGAAGCAAATTATAAAAGGTAATTGTTAGTTGAATAAAATCAACCCCTTATATTTAACAATGGTTTAAAGATACTCATATATTTCTATTGAACAAGAAATGACAGAAAAAGTCAAGTAGTAATCACTGATTAAGACGTTGCGGTTTAGCTATGGTTATAGTTAAACTGCTTTCAAGATTATATATCATTGTTAGATACAAAAAAACTCGATATTACCCATTGGAGATCGATCGATCGTGCGAATTGTGGCCGCTTGAACGTGTGGGGTATAAATTAAACACCTTTCTGGGGCGCTATAAATAATAATAATAGCACAATAACAACAATAAGATGAACAACAAATCGAAACAAAACAAAACAACAAATTGCGAATACCGGGTAAACGTAAACAACTGGCCAATTTGGGTGCAAATGGGACACACACAGCTCGGCTGATAACCACAAAATATGCCAGTGGAGACAACATGGAATAGATCACGTTTCTGCATTTCTCATACGGGCCAAGTGCACCCTACACTCCCAAAGCAGGGGGTATTACACCTGCCACAGACGCTTATGTAAGCAGTAGCCTGGAAAATTGCTGTGGTTTGCAAAAAAACCCCTGCTTGGATCGAATATCTTGGATATTTCCAAGAATATCAAGTGCGATAATGCAGGGGAAGACGTTTGTATATAGTACTGATTTACTCTGAAATGCGATAAGGTAGAATAAATATTCTTAACTACTTTGGATTATGTTGTTTATGGTATAACTGTATAATGAAAGACTAGTATTATATTAAAGAAAGAGAGATTATTATCATTGTTGATTTTAAAGTCGTGCAATACAGTATCTTTGTTCTTGTTTTCGATTTTGTAGCATACTTTTGGACAGCAATATGATTGATTTAAATTCCAATGCACTAACTACGCTCATTGTTGGTGTTAAAACAATCCCAAAGTTTTTGAAAAGTGTCTAAAAGTATGCTATAAAATATGCATCACTGATTTCTTATTCCAATGTGCACCATAACATATTTTTGAATAACTTTTAAAGGGATTTTATATATTACAACCCAACTATTACAATTACAGGTGACTAACTAGCCAGCTCTGACCGTTGGCTTTGATCTTTATACACCGTCCCACCGACACAGAGAGTCCATCATTTCCATTCATTCATTTTGCCAACAAAACAAGCCCGACTCATTTAGCAACTATTCAGCCAGGGCCAGGGGCCATATATGCATTCACATATATACTACGATAATTACCTGAAATATGTACAAACAGAAGCAAACAATAACAGTCGCAATTCGATCTCGATCTCGATCTCGAACTGGATCTGGGATCACTCGTTGTCTTCCGCTTCTCAATTGTCGTAAAACGCAGTTTGAGGCAATTGCATAAGAGATCGAGAGTTGTAAATCGAGAGATATGTATAGAGAATATATTATTACGGAATGGGGAGGGTTTTCAATTGATCAGTGTACAGAGTGAAAAAAAATATGAGACCTGTGGATGGTGTTATTTTGTATATTATGTGGAAAAGTAAATGGATCTCATTACAATAAGGAAATGTGTGCATATAAGCTCTCATAATCTTTATTCCCTGAAGCCTACTTGCCAGATTTAATCCTAGATCGTTTTCCTCTGTGTAAACAATAATGGTATACACTCGGAACAACAAATATACCCTCGATAAGCCCGGGTCAAGTGGCAAGGCAATCTACGGAGTCAGCGGAATTGATCCCCCTCCGCCACTTTCACACCTCGAAGCTGGCTTTTTTTTGCGTTATTTGTTTACGATTATAAACAATAAACATATATATATTTATGATCGGTCATATATGTAGAATAGAAAACCCAACGAAAAACTCGACAGTGTGCGAATTTGCTATTTGTTGTTGGTTTTTGGTGGTTGGCCCCATGTCAAGCACATTGGGAGTGTAATTAGAATTGTTGCCGAAATTCGAGTTGATAAGCAAACACCACAGAGAGTCAATAAACACCAGGATGGAAATGGATCCAAGTGGGGGAAGTTAATACCCTTAATCAAAGCGATTGGGAAGGTGACTGGAAGGTTACCATGTATCATAAGTATCATAGAGAAACTATCTTCTACATATACTCTCATACTTTTATAATAAGACTCTATTCTTGAGCTAATTAAATTGAAAAGTGTTGCCAGTTTTGGATCATTGTATGGTGTTATAAATACGCAATATATACGCCACATGTGAGCATAAATTTTAGTCCCCCCCCAAGTTCAAGTTCTTTTTTGATCACTTAACTCGATTCTACTCACTTGACTGATAAGCGTCTGAATTTAAATTGTAATGCTTTATTGTATGTTTAGACCTCCCCCCAATGAATGGAAAAACTCTACTAAGTTTATTTATATTTTTATTGATTGGTTGCCGGTCCCTTTGATTAAAAAATTTACTATGTACTTCTGTTGCGACTAAAGTCTTAACTATACTAGGTCTTTACTATGCTAGTTAGTTGATTCATATGTATTATAAGATTAGGTTCTAGGAGCCAAGCTGATTCATGGGAAAGAGGAAATCTTACTTCTGGTTGATGAAATAATACCTACACAGGTAGATTATATATAGTGCATCTCAAGATTACTTAGTTAACTTCAGCTGCAGCACCTGCTTATTATGTGATGTTTGTGTCTAAGTCATTAATCATACTCTTTATTATCTTGTTGAAATTCGTGATGATACATTATATCTACCCGTTCCTGAAATGTAGTTACTGGCATATACATACATACTTTCATTTTATTTTTTTGTTTTTCCTCGAACGAAGATCCCATGAACTGATAAAGTCAATTCAGCTCAATCGGCGTGATTCCCAAACGATTTCCAAATAGAATTCGACGAAAGTAAAAGTGCAAAAGCCAGTCCAGCGATAATGCCCTCCAGAAACCCACCGATAAGCGCTGAACGCACCCGGACATGGGACACTATATATACATACAATACATATTTGTATGTAGTAATTAATTCATGTTTTTTTAACCTTCTATCTATCTATATACGTATATAATATTCCACTCGAAAATCTGTCTATTTTGATTACTATTTTCGGACCGAGATTGATAAGCCCGGCCGTTTAGGAAGGTGCCAAATATTGGCAACAAAAATTCCTCTGGGGGGTTACTTATCACATCCAAAAACAATAAAAAGAGGGAGGGAATTATTGGTCTGGGGTATAGGAACAAATCGGCGCAATTGCATAAATCAATCGATTGCGAGAACTTTCCCTATCAAAAGGAATTCGATCGGTTTTTTGATAAGCCTAACGCTCTAGACGCTGGCGAAAGTTCGGACTCCGGATGATATTTGTTTTTGGCCAAGCAAATGCAGTGCGTCGTATTAAGTGCTTCGGAATGTGATCACCTCATCGATATCATATCGCTCGCAGGTGAAATTTGAATAACCTTGAGATCTCAAGTATCTCGGCGGGGGTAAATTGGTTAATTTTATGATCACATTCTTAAGCTTGGTAAAATAAACAACTTAATATAAATTGCATTAATATATTATCATTAAAATACTAACAAGAATGCAGGTACTCCTAGTAGATTTTGGGTATTCTGTGGTACTTACACGTTTATTGTAATTGTTAAATTTGAAGATCTTTCCATATCATCTCCTAAGCAAATTTCGAACACATAACCTCAAAAATTTGTTTGCTTAGCGGTAACGGTAAAGCTCCATCTGATTGGCCAGCTGTTTGCGTGCGTGCGTGTGTGGGTTTGTTTGCGTGGAAAAGTTTAGTCCGCTGATGACAATCGATATCAATAACCAGAGCACTTAAAAAGGGCCAACGCCAGATAGAGATAGCATAATAATATAATGGAGTATTTTGTTCTTTATGCGTCTGCGTATGTGTGTGTGTGTGTATGTATATGGTCTTTTCTAGTTGATGGTTAATCAATGGAACCTGCTTTGATATGCAATCAGCGGACATAACCTCAAAGGGCAGACTCACAAACACGCCCACGCAATGGGCAAAGAGAACGGGCAAAAGAGTGTGAGCCAAAGAGAGAGAGAGTAGGCAAGAGAAAGCGGGCAATGGGAGGACATAACTGTGTCAGTCGGCGCCCACATACACGCATACATCGACATCCACCCACACGAATCCTCTCCCAACAACAAATTGCGTGGGAGTGGCAACAAAAAGTTGATACTAACCCGGGACCGATTGTGTAATCTAATATAGTCTAGTGGTACTAGGAACTAATACTTATATATGCCGGCGTATGGTAATCAAGGCGAACTTATCAAAGTCGGGCGTACGAAATTGCTGCAAGACAAAGTCTGTAATTGTTGTTGTTTCCTCGCATTTGCCGCTGCCTTCTCTTTACTCTTGGCTGTGTTCGTTCCGCGTTTCCATCGAATGCCCTTGAGTTTGTCCTTTTTCAGCAGCGAAGACGGCAGCGACGTCGGCAGAGGTAGGAAGCTTTGGCTGTTATACGCTGCGGCGCATGTAAACTGGTTTTGGTATAACACTTTTATCTATGAAAAGCTGAGAGAGAGAGCAGTCAAAGAGAGAGAGAGAGAAACTGAGAGCGTTAGAGTCAGTGATATCATTTTTGCCGTTTTTTCGTTAGATTTTGCTTTTTTAAAGTCTGATTGTGGGTTAATTTAAAAAATGCAGGCAGCGGTAATGTTAGATTTTTTTATTTTAAAGCTTCTATTATTTTTCCTTTTTTTACATTTTCAGAGTTCTTTTAAACGCGTTTGACGGTTATAATTTTGAAAATGTTTAAAATACCGCTATTTCTGCTTTAATAGAATTGGCATCACTGGTAGGAGGCTCGTCTGCACGTGTTACCACACCGACCGAAATATGTATGTATGTATGTATGTATGTGGAATGAACACCATGACCCCACCCACCACGTGAACCGATGGCCAATTCCCCGATGATGATGCAAGTGGGTCTCTAAATGTCTAATTATAGCCCGCCGGATTTCAGCGCCTGCGCAATGTCCTGCCGAAAGGTTAACTTAAGGTGAAATGGCCACAGGTTGCTGCCCACGCACCCGCTCACACACACACTCACAAGGACCCCCCTACACGTGCTGGCAAGAGCCTTACATAAGTACTACCTGCCAGTTGCACACTTTACAGCTTATGTACATACGTTTTGAAAGAAAATCGTATTTTATTTAAAAAGTGCAATAAAAATAAATCGATTTGAAGCTGAAACAGAATTTAATTCCACGTGACTTTCTGGCCTTGATGGAAATACCGGCTCAAAGCACAGCGTTATATGAATTCATACATAGGTGGCGTTTTATTTGAGTTAAAAGAGTGCTTATAGTTTTGTTGTCGGTTTAGATTCTTTAAACAAATTGTCTATAATTTCGGAAATTAGCTTTTTTAATTCTCAGTAATAGAGAACATGCATCGTTGTTTTATTCCTCCGGTAGAAGAAAAAAAAAGAAGACTGGCATGTTTTCTTGGATAATGTATGTCAGACTTTATCTATATTAAAGATGAAATCCAAATTGAACCGTCAGTTAAACAAAACAAGGTGGCAACGTTGGCAAACGAGACACTGCTGCCAATAACTAGTACAATTTTAAATAAAATAGAAAAGGAACTCTCGAAATTTCGATAGCTATCGATAGTTTTTGGTATTTTGTCAAAATACTATAAAATATTCTGGTCGAATGGCAAACGTATGGGCCATTTGTCAAAAATTACCATTTATTTATGGAAAAACCCCGTAATTGTTGAAATATGTAGCAGTGGAATGGAGCTATTACTTTATTACTTTATCACCCATTTTTCCCCGTTGCAAATAAATTTACAAGAACCAAAATAACTAACTAGATCTCGCATTACACCTATCGCAGTTTATTGTGAATGACAAATATCGATGTATCGAGTACACAATCGATTTCACGTTCCTGGCCGAAGCTTCTCGTCGAATTTTCGATTTCATTTATAAGTGACAAGCGTTCATCACATTTCAAGCAAAAGCCAAAACAACAACAACCCGAAATTTTCGTGTTAAAAGTTTTTTTAAAGAAGAGACAACAGATTAATTAAAACAAACAAAATGGTTCGCCGTGGACGTTCAGCTAGCCCCCCACCATCCGCTCGACGGTAAGAAAATAAACACGGAACAAAGAACGACACAAAGCGGCGGCGGCGTCAGGAGAAATTCATCATTTCGTAATCACATTGATCAGATCGGATGATCTCGCCATTATCTTTGAATTTGTCCCATTTCGGTGCGTCTTCACCTGCCGCTGCCGCCGCCGCCGCTGCCGGTCTACGTGGGCCCTTAAATGGGTTAAGGTTACGTAACCTAAAAAAATTAGAAGAGTCCCCCAATAACAGTACTTTCCAAAAAGTTAAATTTTTCTGAGATGGATCTATACATATCATAGAGAAATGCAGATTACCAGATAGATTTTGTTCCATAAATAATACCCATTAAGTTGCAATGTGACGCTTTTCAGGGGCCAAAGTCCACAATAACAACTAATTTGTGTTTTGTTGTTTTCCTTTCTATTCCACAGCAGCGCACCTGCTCCCGCTCCCGCACCTGTGCCGGCACGTGCCGCCGCCCCTCCACCACCGCCGGCCCCAATGGCCGCTCAACCCAGCGCCGTTGGCATGCCGGCACCCCAGCAGCCATCCATGTTCCAGCAAATGGCCGCCACCGCCGGAGGCGTGGCTGTCGGCTCGGCCATTGGCCATACCGTGGGCCATGGACTCACCTCGCTGTTCAGCGGATCTGGCGATAAGGAGGCCGCCGCACCGGCCCCAGCGGCAGCTGCACCGGCACCCCAGCAGCAATACTATGCCCAGCAGCCGCAGCAGATGGAGCCGCAGGGTGCCTGCGCCTGGGAGCTCAAACAGTTCATCCAGTGCGCCCAGGGACAGGCGGATTTGACCCTCTGCGAGGGATTCAACGAGGCGCTGCGGCAGTGCAAGCAGTCGCATCATCTCCAGTAGAGAGGATCCCCCATCCCCTGTGGGAGCAACAGCTGGACTCGGATCAAATCATCGGATCACGGCTGTCTCCCCTTCGTTTAGTTCTTAATTGTTTGATGAGAGAGCTTTGTTTTTAATTGTAGTGAAAAGAAAAAAAAGAAAATCTTAAATAGAAAATCCCATTGGCAGCCCTTGTGAGCTATCCCCTTCTCCACCCTTAAACACAAATAACCCCACGGGGCTGTCAATGTGGGCCAAACAAACCAAAGACTTCGTTATAAATGTGTGTATTTATTTATACTCCTGGAAGATGAATTAAGTTAAGAATATTATATTCTAATATCTTCATTGTGGCTGCACCATTATCTGCGTACTTTTGTTATATTTCTATATATTCCCTTTCTAGAACCCTTCTTTGGACAAATGTGCTATATTTTGCATTATGTTGTGAAATCTTCCCAGTTTTCAGTTGCCAAAAAAAAGAAGGAAATGTAAAAACAAAAATAAAGCCATAGTAGTGAGTGCACCCAATGACATTGCATTTCTATAAATATAACAGAAACGATTCATTTTCCTCTGTGTATTATTTTTTACCTTTGTCACGTGTCTTCTTTGTTTTTGTTTTGATCCGAGGTGGATTGCAATTTGCGTCGCGTTTGGTGAAATTTGTTTTGTTTGGTAAACAGGGCACAATTATGATAAACAAGTTTACGAATATATGTATTAATAGATCACATATATAATATATATATATAGGGCGCCTAATTAGTCATTGCTTAGCCTACATCATCCAAAGCTAAATTTCTTTAATGGACTTTGTCTCTATGGATTTTAATGGCATATTTATATTTCTCTTGAAATTGGGGTTCGGGAAAATTGGTTATTTTTATTGTGTGTTGTAACATAGTGAATATAATTTAATATAATTATAATTTTAGTCAAAAGCTTGTAGAGATTTAAAATATTCATTTTCGATCATATAAATCATACATATTCTTGATCGGAATCACTAGCAGAATCGATCTAGGCATGTCCAGTCGAGAACTAAATTTTCAAAATTTTTGTTTTTATAGATAAGGGGTTACATCGTTATTTTTTAAAATTTATTATTATTTTTTTTTAATTTTTAATTGAATTTGCAGATTTATTAACGTAACAAAAAACTAGCTAAGAAATGCTTTCCGAATTGAAATGAATCAATTTTTGACTCAGTTATGGCAATTTTAGACTTTATATTTAAATAAATGCATTTTCGATTTAGTTAACCTTTTTTTCAATCTTTCATTTTCCGGAAAAATTGTCATATAAAAATGTTGATACATATTATATAAAAGAATTTGAATATTTTAAGCTTAGTTATGAGTGATTTTTGACTTGATCCTATAACTCAAATTGCAAACAGCAAGGGTATATAAACTTCGGCATCCCGAAGTTAATTTCCTTTCTTGTTTTCTTTGTAAAAACACATAATTTGTAAATATGGAAAGAACCTGTAGAACAAAGAGCACAGCATTTTTACGGATTGACAAAGATTTTATTAAAAAAAATTTTACAATTTAGGACAATTTTAAAACAAAATAATTTTCTGAAGACTATGCTGTCTCGCTCTTTTTCACATCTATTAACCTAATCATGACAATTGATAATCGATATACAATCAGCTTAGCCGCTGGCGCTTCTTTTTATGTCCCGCGGCTCTTTTACAAGGGGAATCGTTTGTATTCTGCTTTGATGTCGACGGTCCGGTCACATCCCGGAGGGCTTGACGTTTGTATCGTTTCTTCAAGAGTGCTTCCGCTTGTTCCATAATCTTCTGAAAGTCCAGCTTATCATTGGGACCCTCCAGTTCCTGCTCCATTTGTTCCTGCTCATCTGTGGACTTATCCAGATCTCCATCGCCATCATGTTGCTCATACGCCTGCAGATCTTCTTCTAGATGCGCCTGGAAGTCGTAATACCAGCCACTGAGGAAGGAGTTCTTTAGTGTGTTAACTCTGAAGATTATGCCGTTGGGCAATTCCAGCTCCCGATGTAAAATATACTGAAGTCTTTCGTTTGCCAGCAATGCAACAAAGTCAAAGTATCCAACCTCGTTGCTGGCCTCCTCTTCCTCCAATAAATTGGTAGCCTGCACGGCAATGGATTCGACCAGGTCCTCTTGCTGACTGAGCTGGACATAGTCCAGTACCCACTGGCAATAATTCTCCACCAGGTTCATCGGCGGCAGTGGTGGCATCTTGGGCAGCTTACTGAGTTCCAGCAACTGTACGATCCGTTGACGTCGACTTGGATCGTGCCATCCTGGCTCGAAGAACTCCTGTCGATCGGTGGACAGGCCACGCATTGTGCCTGGATCCACAAAGACGCGCAGGTCATCGGGAAAGCGGGGACAGTCGTCAAGATCCTCGCCAACCACTAACTGCAGGCGACGCACCGCCTCGTTATACAATTCCACACAATACTGTGGTCCCCTCTGGCATCTCCTTCGTACGGCTCGATCTTGCTTGGCGGCGTCCTTCAGGCGGGAAAAGAGCTCCTGTCCGAGGTGGGCAATGAGGAACTCTCGCGTCTCCGACTGATGGAGCTGCTGGGTCGCTAAACTTTTCCGCGAGACACTGGCTTTGGCCAAGAACCGAACAGAGGCCTCAAATTTCTTCATCAAGTGCTCTCTACTGCACGGCCCTTGACGCAATGGGAAGATCCTCGCTTGGCGGACACCCAAGTCCTTGAGCGGCAACTGAGGCTCCTGCCACTCCTGGCCGGAATGCTGGAGAATGAAGGCCACGTCGGGACATTGGCTCTTGCGGATTAGCTGCCCAAGATGCGGCAATATATGGCTAAGTTCTGTGACTCCGGCTAGGCAAATAATGCTGTCCGCTTGCTCCGCAAATTTCACGGTTCGCACATCATGGAAATCAGCATTTACTTTGACAACACTCAAGGCTACACCCTGATGCAGTGCCCTGATATAGATGCCCTGCTCGGGCTTGACGCAGGCCTCCTGCGAAAGCGGTTGCTGCAGCAGTCCCATGTCCAAGTCATAGTCCAAGTGTTGGCCATTAGGGTGGCTTGGATTACTAAGCAGGAGGAGCTTGTAGAAGCGCGTGGCACCCGGCGGCGTCTGCGGCAGACACTCGTTCAGCACCCGCCACAGGTCTAGCTTCAGCCAGCTGTGCTGCTCACGACCGGCTAGCAGGCTGCCATAATCGCAAGCAAGACCTTGCCTATAGCGCCTGATCATTCGCAGCGAGTCAGCCACGGAGCGCTCATTCATCAGGAGCTCGGGCCTGTCCGCAGCAAAGCTCAATGGCAGCTGATTAAACAGTGTGTCCTTCTGCTGCTGCACGCGGCGGTAATTGCGCCATCGCTGCCAGAACTTCCGCTGGATACCTAGTTCGTAAAGTGATTTCTGCATCTCCTCCTTCGCCACTTTGCGAACGATTTCTTCCACCATGGAGTCAATGGTGCGACAAGCTTCGTTATGCAGCTGCAACTCCTGCCTGCAGATTTCGGCCAGTATTTCAGGAAATAACGTCTGATAAGAGTCCAAGCTCTGTTGCTCTAGGCGCGTCTCTCTTTCCTGCTGCTTCCGCAGGCGTTCTTCCTTTAGCTTCTCTTGACGCTCCCTTTCCCATTGACGTCGTTGCCTTTTGAGCTCTTTTTCCTGCTGCTGACGCTGCCGCTCGGCCTCCTCCTTCTTTAGCTTTTCCTCTCGCATCCGCTCAGCCTCGGCCTCCAGGCGTTTCTTTAACTTTTCCTCTCGCACTCGCTCAGCCTCGGCCACCTTGGCCTCGTGGATGGCCATCAGTTCGGCCTCCCGCTTCTTGGCCACGGCAATAGCCTGCTGTAGCGCCTGATGCTTGGCTTCCTGGTCCCGCTGCATTTGCTGCTGCTCCACCGCCAGCTGAAGCAGTTCCTGGCCACGCGGCTTGGGCAGGGCGAAAGTAAAATTTGCAGCGCTCGTTCCACCAGGCTGCATTGGTACTTTAAAGAAGTTATCGTTCTGAGCCTGTGGCCGCTGTAACTCTGCTAGCTGTTGCTGACGTTGCTGCTGCTGATTCTGATGTAGTTGCTGCTGTTGCTGCTGCTGAAACTGCTGTTGCTGCTGATGCTGATGTTGCTGATGTTGCTGCTGTTGCTGCTGCTCTTGCTGATGCTGTTGCTCCTCTTGATGATGCTGCTGCTGTTGCTGTACTTCAGGCAGCTGATCTTTGGCAGACCAGGCGATGCTTTTGAGCACGGAATGCTCGTTAAAGCTATTATGCGGACGATGGCCTAGGTATAGGGAGCGCGGCGGCAATGGCTCTCCGCAGATGCACTCGCCGACGGTCTGCCGCCTTTTGGATTCCACAAGCTGCAAAATGTGGGTTTTAATGGATTAAAAAACGATTCTTTCACTTCCTTCACTTACCTCTAGCTGTCGTGGCAGCTTGTAGTCCGCCTCCGTCGTATGCATTCTGGTCAAGGCCACTCGACCCGACTCATTCACCTCCAAACCGTAGTGCTCAACGAAATGCGCGGCCGACACCTGATCGCTGCCAAAGCACAGCATTTCGGAGACATACGGTAGTGGCAGCGAGGACACTTCGTTCTTTCTCGGCGCCCTGTAGGACTGGATAAGGCGATGCAGGGCCAGAACACGCAAGCGTGTGAAGTACGTGATCAGGATGCAGGCGCTCAGATAGCTAGTCTCCTCGGCGCGAACTAACTGAAAGAATCGAACAAAGTTTGTGTCCTGGAGAGCCAGATAGTACTCTATGGCCTGGCACACTTCCGGGCATCCCTGCACGTCGGCGGGCAGTTGACCAATGTCCCACAGAAAGTTGGCATCTCCCAGATTAAGTAGAATAATGTATCCACGGAACTCCGCTTCACATGGACACTGGACGCCCTTCAGCCTGAGGTCGTGGTACATGTACTTCAGTGTTTGCAGGCATTTCGTTAGATTCTCGGCATTGATCTTGGAGTCGAAAACACTCGGATCCTCGGCGACTAGTCGGGCGGCACAGTGGATGTGAAAGCGGGCGCATTGCTCCACCAATTTGACGGCACCCAGAGAGCACAGTTCCTGCTGGGTGATCTCTTTCCGGATCGAGCGTGTGCGGTCCCAGACAAAGTGAAACCAATCGCCCAAATTGTGACTGTTATCCATTATCTCGTGCATCAGGTAAGCCATGGTCATGTGCAGAGCTGCTTCCGTGCGCAGCTCGTGGGGCAGCGGCGTCTCCTGGTCGGCACTGCTTCGTGAATACTGCTTCAGTGCTCTCTCGTGGCAAATACGATCATCGGAGCCCGGTTGCAGCTCATAAACGGCCACCTGGCGCTGAAATTCGCGCAGCAGTCGCTCCTTCTCCGGGCACATGTCCGGACAGTGGCCCTGCGTTGCTCCCACCGAGCTCTGAACGTGCAGCTGTTGCTTCTGATTACGCTTCAAACGCAGCAGCTTGTCGCGTGCATCGAGCACTCGGTACTTTTCCTCACTTGTATGCGCTGGCCGACTCATCACCGCCTCCAGCTCCTTGAATTGGGCACTCGGACGTTCTCTACCCGAAGCTAGAGAAGGATTATGCCTGGAGGGATTGCTAGCGGTGGCGGGGGCGCCGGTGGAAGCTTGTGGAGCTTGGGCGAGACCAGAGCTCGATTTCCCTGAGTGCTTACTCTGTTGCGTCGGATACTCGCTCCGCCAGCCCGCCGTCAGGGCACTGAGCTCCGCCTGCACATCGGGATCTACCCATTCCTCGGTCTTCTGGGCCGGAGCCGACTCTCTCTCCGCATACGACATGTGGAACTGATGGCCGTTGTATACGCCGCCCTCGATCAGCGCCCGTTCCGCCTCCGCCTCGGTGGCATAGCTCACCGTGCAGGTCATCCGTCGCGGACGCAACACAAAGTTCATGAGGGTTCCAAAGCGTCCAAAATGCGAGCGCGCAACATGTTTGTCAAGGAACAGTTCAGGTATGTCGGTGCATCTGTGGGTGACGGAAGGGATTTAAGAAATGTAGGAATTTGACGGCGCAGAGAGCAGGCAGGATATTGGATAGTTGGAGCTCACAGTAAAGTCTTGTAGTTGTAGGCGCCCGTAAGGCGGGAGTCTGCCATTAGGCCAGATTCTTTTATTTTATTTTATTTATTTCTTGTTTTGGAAGTCGCGAAACCTAAAACCACAAACTGTATATTCAATGTGGCCGCATACCGGCCGGCTCCAAAATACCACAAAATTAATTGAATGTAGGGCTGTCCGATATTTAATTAAATATCGTATCGATGATATTTAATTTTATAAAAACAGAAAATATATATTAATATCTTTGATATTTTGATTTATTTTTTTTTAAATTAATTTATTTCCCCCAAACTAAAAATACAGTAAGATTCTTATTACGAATTATATTTTAAAGATATTTCAAAATTGTGTATATTATGTAAAATATATATACATATATTCCAAATATATGATTAATGTAATAATATAGCAAAACTTATATATATACATAATAGATATAACACAAAGGTATTTCTTATACTTACATTTTTGAATTTTTGAATCTTGGAGGATCCGGTGAATCAAACGTTTTGAAATAGTTTAGCAATCGATTTGTTTCGTTTCAAGCAGCTGTTATTGTTGTTTTCTTTGGTTAAATAAATAAATAAATTTATATGGTAGTCAACATTTCAATATTACCGCTGTTGTCAGTAATTTTATTAAATTTATTTCATTTTACTGCTCTTTATTCAGTTCCCGGAACGATCCGGTTCCAGTTCTTTTCTTTTCTGGCATTACGAACTTGCCCAACTCTGGCCACACCGTTTCCAACCTTCCCGCGCGACGCGTTTATTTTTTTTTATTTTATCAGCATTTCACTGACTTCACATTTAATGTAATATAAACATCCCTGAATAATGGCGGCTTTGAGCAATTTGAAGGAGTGTCCGCCATTGTCCATGATCTCGGACCTGGCACTGCGGCAAGCCCACTCACCGGAGCTCCAGCGCTATCCGCAGATAAGACTAAGCAGTGAACTCATGGCTTCTCACACGGCTGCCGGTCAGCGTTTTTACGGCGGCCAGAGCTTCCTGCCCGTGGAGGAGGGCGTGCTTAAGAGGATTACGCGGATATTCTTCGATGCCGGCTTCTGGGAGTCCCTGGAGGAGGCACGTAGCGCCAAGACCAGGGAACAGGCACCAGTGATTGCCCAGGCGGGCGATTACATTGCCCAAATCTTGAGTATGGTCAACACACTAAAGCTGAAGATCTTTCCGCACACCCAAGGGCTCGGTGCGGAGCGGATTGCCCAATTTGTGGAGACGGGGTGCGTATGCAGGATTCTTCATTTCCGAGTCGACAGTTTTTTGTTAAACGAGCTTTTTCTTTCAGGGATTGGCTGAACAGCAATGTTCGCTGTCTGGCCTGGCACTTGCACATTTTCAAGCTGGCCGTAGCCGGTTTGGATGATGTGGTGCGCATTTACACCAAGGACTCGAGCGCAGCCGCTGCAGCGGTCTTGAAGGTATGCCCCGCTCTCTGTCTGCAAGTAATAACTTTATAATTGATAACAAAATCCTGCAGAGTCCCGTTCAAACGGAGATCACGTGCATGGCCTGGCGACCGCTGTGCGCTGCACAGATTGTGATTGGCTGCCGGCAGGGTCTTTGCTTCTGGAAGGTGGAAACCTCCATGCACCTGGGACGCTCGAATGCACCAAGCCATATTTTTAGGCATCCCTCGAACTTGCCGATTACCTCGTTGCAGTGGAACAAGGATGGCACCCAGCTAGCCACCACCTCCATTGGAGATCGTTCCATCATCATTTGGCAGCCAGACAGTGCGCTGATGCAACCCCTCAAGCGTCTGGGTCCGCCGTGTTCGCTGCTCAAGTGGTCGCCGGATAACGACTGGCTCTTTTCGGCCACCGTGGATCGTGTGTTTCGCGTGTGGAACTGCCACAATCGTTGGACTACCGAGCGTTGGGTGTGCGGCAACGGAGGCTATGTGCAGACAGCCTGCTGGTCGCCCTGCGGTCGCTTTCTGCTCTTCGTCAGCAGCACCGAACCGATCCTGTATCGCCTGCAGTTCGTGCAGCATACTCTGCTCAGTTGTAAGTACTTACCATCTCTTCGAGGGGCAGTCTGTGCTCAGTCTCTGTCTCTTAGTGTTGGACAGGGACCGGGGTGCGATTGTAAGAGGCTGCCTCAGATTAAAGTCACCAACAGGTTGGCGGCTGCTTAAGCTTGCAGACACGCCTGTATAATGCTGACCACAGATTTCATACGCCTCCCTCCATATTCCCCTTAATATTAATCAATACCTACCTACAGCGTATTCCGATGAGAAGGAGGTTCTGCCCATTGCTGATCTTAATGCTTGCACTACTTGCATCGATCCGAACAGCCCCCTGATCGGCGGCCATGCCCAGCAGATGGCCTGGGATCCGCATGGCAATTATCTGGTGATCACGTTCAAGTCCACCAACAGCATTGCCGTTTTTCGCACCTTCATTCAAAAGTTCGATCTAAACATCTCAGCGGCGTATTCCCTGAGCGGCGAGACAGCGGCAGAACGTCCGAGCTTCATCTGCTTCCAGCCGCTGTACAAGGAGAACGATAGATCTGTGCTGACCATTGCCTGGTCGTCCGGTCGCATCCAGTACCATGCCTTTGATTGAATCTTACGGCTTTAGTTTTTGGTTTAGTATTTCTATATTTGGTTTTTGTAAGCGTTAATAATACAATACAATGTAACAAACACACGTGGGAAACCCATCAATTTAAAGTCCAAAGGGGTTGAGGGATGTTATGTGGCCTGGTAATTGACTCTCAGATTCGAGCTAAGAACTTTGTTTAGATTTCATTTGGTCCGGTCTTACGTCCTCTGCTTATTTCGTTCTTTTGCCACATTAGGTTTTTGGATACAACAAAGCGTTTTACAACCCTAAGACAGTTTTTATGTTTAAATATATTTGCAAAAGCAGCCAAGTATTCATTATTATAAGCTTAAAGTTGGGTAAACGTTTCAAATTCCTTTAATATTATGTCTGCAAACTCTCTCAAAGGTACAGTCAGAAAGTATTTGAAGCATAGAGGTACAGTGCTGCATAAACCATTAGAATATAAAAAATATACAATGCAGTTCTTTAAATAGTATTTTAAAGATATATAATTACATTTTAGAGTTTTTCAATAACATTTTTGCGAAAATTGGTCTTTAAAATGAAAAAAATCAGCGTAATATTGAAGAAATAATAAGTTTCACTCTCTGTGCTATTAAAAATATAAAAAAATAATAGACATAATACAATTATAGTAAAAACTTATGTAGATTCAAAGACAATCCGATCCAAATCGAGCATTAACTTCAGTAACTTTAGTGTTATCGAATTCAAGAACAATGTAATAATATATATTTAATTACTATTCAAAAATATTAACATTTTTACGCTAGATGGCCTTAAAATTCGTCTGCATTCACTGTACCATGTTAAAAACATCACAAAGATTTGATTGTATACAAATATTTTAGTTGGGAAATGATTTAGATCACATGTTTACCTCAAGAAATCCTGTATTATGATGCAATTATTGTCCATAACAAGAGTCTTTTACTTTTTCTTTTGTAGAAAACATTAAATAATGCCAACAATACACTGCCTTACAGCTTGTAAAACGCTCCGCATAAAATCGTGTTTATAAATATATATAAATATCGGTATTATATGGATATATGTATATATAGTAGTATCTAGTGTATAACGTGGATTTTCGATTGAATAACAAAACAAACAAAATTCAGGGAAACAATGGCTGAGGCAGCACGGGATCACACACTTGGAGAGAATACTAAGGCGTACATAAATTTACAAAAACATGGATAGTAATTAATCGAGATAATGGATTGGTCCCTAGATGTCGCCAAAGAAGTAACCGAGGGCAGTGGCAGCCCTCACACGCACCGCCGCCTGTTCGTCCTTGAGCAGCATTGCGATCTTGCTGGCCACCAATTCCGTTTGCATGTTTCGTTCGCTGAGGAAGTTGTGCAGGATGCCTGTGATTCAGGGTAGAAAGAAGTTAATCAACAGTACGAGGAGGGGATATATGAATCATACCAATCACAATGGCTGCACTGCCCCGCACCTCTGGCCACTGGCTACGCAGCTGCGGCAGGCAGGAGTCAATAAAGTCCTGGATGTGCTCCGTCAGTTCCTGGGCCTAAAGGTACAGATTTTGTATTAGAAATTAACTCCAAAAGTAAAGACTTTCTCCACTCACAATTAGCTTGACAAAGTCCACCACAAAACTGCCATAATTGAGGCGAACTCCACGGTCCTCGCCGCCCAACTGCTGCTCCGCCATCTCTATGACCCGTGGTGCCGGAAGCAGGCGGCACACCCGCTGCAAAGTACCCCGACAGGCCGCCACAATGACAGCTTCGCTCTCGCTGAGATGGAGCAGAAGCGGAAATAGATTCGCCAGTAGCTGTTCCTTCAGCGCCTCCATGGACGAGGTGGTGGTGGGTGAGGAGGAGCAGCTACTGCTCCCGCCTTCGCACAAATCCCCAAATAGCTGGATGGCCGCCTCGCGCATTTCCAGTGCATAATTACCCAGGAAGGGGCGTATTCGAATGGCCAGGGAGACGTGGAAGGATTCAATTCGCTCGCTGGGCAAAGCCCTCAAGATACCCGAGAGACCGCGCATGCTCTCCAGCGGAATGTTGATCAGGCGGCAGTCACCAACAGGATCGTCGACGCCCTTCAACAAAGCCGAAATGGCCGTTTCCGAGTAGCGTTTCGCCTCCATTTCGTTCAGATGACCGACATATCCCATGCCCTGGATGCTGAGACCTCTCACCACCGCATTGGGATCGGATAGGGCAGCACCCAAGTGGAGTAGTATGGAGGCAGCCAGCTCTCCGGTGGGTTTCAGCGGCACCAGGCGTGAGAATAGACCCACAGCTGCCACACGCTGACCATCGTGAGGCGACGCCACATACTTGCTCAGCGAACTGACCAAATGTCGCATCTGCGGACTGCCCAGCTGCAGCTGCTGACCCAGTCCAATGGCCATGGGGGTCAGGAGCTCAATGTAGCTGTGCCAGTCTGCACTGCTGGCCAGCTGGGCATTGACGCTGAGCACACTGGCGATCTGCTCCATTTCCAGGTTGGTGAGGAAGGCCTGAAAGGTCTCCAGGGCTATTTGGCAGGGATTCAGCTTTATCAGCTCCTTGTTGGGCACGAAACCGAACTTGGATTTGCCCGTTGGTTGCGTTTGATTGGGACTTATAGAAGCATTCATCGAATTGGGAGCGGCCAAGTTGGTGTAGCTGCTCAGGGAGGTCAGCAGCATGCTGAACATGTCCGGAAAGCGCGCCTCCAGTTGCTGTGATCCAAAAGGAAACTATAATTTATGGTTCAATACCTCCTGTAGTCTTAGTCTCTTACCCCCTTGATGTCCTTGCAGGGCATCATCTCATGCAATGCAGAAAAGATGGCAAACGGCTGACTGCTGGCCAGTTTCTGGCGATCCGTTGTCGCCGTCTCCTGGCCACCACCACCGCCCTCTTGAATCGCTGCTCCGCTCAGCAGTTGCAGGAATATGTCCAGCATTAGGCCCGTCAGCTCGGGATCGTTGCACACCAGATGCCAATACTCCACCAGATGCGGATCGTAGGGCAGCGGATGGTTAAGCATTTCGGCGCAAACCAACTTGGGATGATGCTTTGTTAGAGCCACCAGTGCCTTCAGGACCCCAGACTTGGCCCTGGGCACCTCGCACACCTGCAGCGCCAGCAAACTGTCACGCACGAGATCGGGAATGGCATGGAATAGCTCCGAGCCCTTCTGTTGGATGAAGAACTTGAGCACAACGCTGGCACCGATGGTGGAACTCTGCTCCGGGTCACGCAGCGATTGCAGCAAGGTTTTACTACGAGTAAAAAGAGGAGGATAGAATAAAAGAAGACAATGGAAATCTCGTAATCCTTACCAGAATTGTAAGTACTGGAAACTGGAGATGCGCAGCGCAATGATCTTGGCTATGTCGCCGGCCAGATTGTAGATCTGCTTCGGCTCGTCGGTGATGATGTGCTCCTTGATCACCTCGATCTCCTTCAGCCAGTCGGCATTGCTGTCGATGCTGGCTATTGTCAGGGTTTCATAGATGCAGGCAATCTCCAGCGTCTTCTGCAGGATCTCCACCGACACCTGACGTACGGTGCCATTTGAATCGATGCACCTGGGCACAATCTTGCCCAGCATTTGTCCAGTCTGATTGAACTTGGACGGCGCCTCGCAACCAATGCGCATCGCCTTGATGTACACCTCCAAGGTGTTGTTGAAGACATGGCTGGCGCAGATGCGCACCTCCGAGTTGCGATCCCTGGTCCAGGTCTCCAGTATGCCAATAATCAGATCCAAAGTGGCCGGCGAGGCATCCAGCTCGACGATGGCCCGCACCAGGGCGTTAAGCTGTGGCAATGACTCGTTCAGATGCTTGGCCAGGAAGCTGTTGCGCTCGTCCTCTTCCTGCGAGTCGAACTTCATCTTCAGCTGCTGAGCACAACCGAAGAAGTTGCGGCACGCAATCTCAAAAATCACGCCGCCATCTACGCACTCCTCGGTGTCGGGACCACCGATGCGTATGAAGTCCGTGCCCAGCTTGAGAATGGTGGGCAGCAGGGGCAGGTCGTGGAAGGGCGCCTCAATTGGTATGCTGAACACAGTCTCCATGATCTGTTTGCGGTGGCGCAGTGGCGATGTTAGCTGCTCCTTGGTGGCAATCAATTGATTGCAGATGCTGAGAAGCGTTTGCAGGATGGCCGACATAATCGTTTGATCCTTGTGCCCCGCCAGCTGCTGCATGAGGAAGCCCAGCAGAGTATCGTCCTCGTCCAGGTGCTGCAACGACTGCAGGGGATCCGCCTCGTCCATGATGCGGCCAAATGACTTGACCACCAGCAAGTTGCTCTTGTAGTTCTCCAGCTCCTTGTGCGTGTCCTTGATAAAGTGTAGGTTGCTGAAGAAGCCCGTCGAGTGCTTTCGCCCGCCCACCTGGGCCAGCTCTGTTAGTTTCTTGACCAGCAGGCCCAGGTGCTGTCGCGATATATAGCCCAGGGCCCGGGCGCAGGGCTCGATACGCTTCTCATAGTCCGCATGCTTCACATGCTTGTCCAATCGCTCCTGGCGCGCACTCGTCACAATGAGATCGATCTTGGTGTGAATGCAGGCCACATCGGTCACCTGGAGCAGGGTCAGGGCCACGGCCTGGAGCAGCATTCCACGCTCCGCACTCAAGTCGGCTGGGAGATGCCACTCCGAGTTGGGCAGCTGGATGGGATACAAGTACATTTGATCAGCCAGTTTGCTGGCCAGCCGTTGGGCAAAATTCTCGTCCAGTCCGCCAAGGAACTCGTTCGTTTCCAGCACAAAGTCGTGTAGCTGCTGCCGATAGGCGCTCTCCCTGTTAATCTGCAGCTGCAAGTCGGGTATACGTCGCTCCCAGAGTTCCTCCAGGGCGGGATTCACCTGCGGATGGTAGTAGCGCAGGAAGCTGAGTATGTTCGAACAGCGCTTGATGCAGTGCTCCTGATTGCCCAGCAGGGCCAGGCACCGGGCATAGATGGTTTCCGCCCCCGGCACCATCACCTTGCCGCGTTTCACCACGCTGCTTGCACCACGATCCTCGGCTCCCGCGGCGGCTCCTTCTGTGGCAGCATTATTGTCGGTGGCCACATCATCCTCGCCCGTCGCTATATCGTACTCAATGTGCGGTGATTTGGCAAATAAACTGGCCAGACACTTGGCCAGATTTCCGCAGATATCGGTGTAGTCCAAAAGGATAAAGTAATTGAGCAATTCCCGCTTGAGCAGCTCGTCCAGAGTGCCCACCGTGGAGGCCAGCATGTAAAGGGTGTTCTCACAGCTAAGCGCCAGGTTCGAGTGTTCTTCCTGGCTGCCGTGCTCCTGACTGGGCTTGGAGTAGCGGCAGCTGTGCCGCACCACGAACCACACGAACTCCTTGTCCCGAATATGAGATTTCTGAGCGAGCGCCACAATGGTCTTGAGCAACGTCAGTTTCATCTTGATGCCTCTCTCGCTGAGGATCAGCTGCTTCAGGCACTCTATCAGGGCCGGGATGCGATTCTCTATATTTCCCGCACACGAGTTCAGCAGGTGTGTGAGTATGAGCAGAGACTTCATTCGCTCCCTTTCGCTGTTGTTTCGCAGATGGATGAGCAAGGTGTCCATGATCCGGGCCGAGTAGGGACGATGGCCAGCCAGCAAATGGAAGCAGCGCAGCACTTCGTAGTGGCCCTTGACCGTCTGCGGCTTTTCGTAGTCCGGGTATACGCACAAGAGATCGAACAGGTTCGTGATCAACGGATCAATTATGCCATCCAGGACCTGGGGATTCAGTGCTAGGTTCGTCTTCAACACCGAACAGAGGAACTGGGTGACCGCATTCCTGTCCACGCTCCGACGGTAGAGCGCAAGTATTTGGGGCACCAGCCTGGCTGCCTGGTCCTGGATGCGATCGCGTGGCAACAGGGGATACATGCTGGACAGGGCCTGCAGAATCTCCACGCAGACCTTGGGCTCACGGGAGTGCAGCCATTGGTTGAAGAGCACATCGTAGGCCACACTGATCTCCGTAGAGCATCGCTTCTCCTCCGCATCCTCATCCTCTGCCTTGCCGCCCTCCTCCAGCAAGGCCTCACTAAACCGTCCGATTGCATAAGCATGAGCCTGCTTAATGTGATCCTGGCGTATGCCTCCCAAATGCGGTTGGCATCTGCTCAATATGGCCTTGATGTGCGGCACAACGCCCGCAGGATGCTCTGTGGCCAGCAGGCCGAGACTTTGCATTAGCATAAAGTGGGGAACACCACTTCCATCGGGATTTGGTCCCTTTTTCTCCTGCAGAGCTTCCATTACCTGGGCACAGCTGTCGGGACTGCTCCGGCCAATGGCCACAAGTATACGCTGGGCGGGATTCTGTATTAGAGGCACGTGCTCTGGGCTTCTTGTGAGCTCCTGCAAGGCCAGGGCAATCAGTTTCTGATTGGCACTTGCCGGTAAGGGATTTTCCGCACCCACCACGCGACGAATGCAACTGAAAATTAGGAGTTTGAAGATTAGTAGGACTTTCACAATGGGGAAATCTCTCCTTGAACTTACTCTAGCAGCATGGCCACGGTCTGATCGCTCATCTTGGGCTGCTGGGCGCGATAATCGCTGAGGATCTCTGCCGCCCTTTCCGGATGCGTTTCCAGAATCTTTACAATGGCCTGCTGCATGGCGCCGCGCACCTGCTCCTCCTTGTCCGTCAGCCCATCGAAAATGTTGTGAAGAACACCTTAAAAATATTTGTAATAATTATTACTATATTTTGTATAATATATAAAGCCTTACTTTTTATTTAAATATGTAAAGTAATATACTTTACTTTTCATTTAAATATTTAACTGAATATTTGTATATTTCTTTTTGGTAGGTAATATTAAAAACATTCTGCTTCTGATAACATTTGTTTACTAAAGGAAAACAAAGGTGACTAATTGTGGTCCCATTTCTATACTAAATAAAATAAAAGAAAGAGCAGACTTTCAGGGAATACGAGTATCAAGACCAAAGTCAAGTTTACGTTGACATAGAGACTTAGTCACAGCATAAAACACACTTTTAATAGAACTAAATTGATAAGACAAAGGTTTTATTTATATTTTTGCTTTATCAATTGCTGTCTTTGAGAAAAAAAAGTATTGAGTTAATGACTTATTTAATTTAATCTGGCGAAGTAATATAATAACTTGGTTTTTAATTTTCAATATGTTCTAATTGTTTTATATATGTTTATTTAGGGTAGTGAATAATAGTTTATCTGTACTATTATAGAGAAACAATCAATACTATTGCTATTGCTATACTATTACTGCTATTGTTACTATTAAACAAAAACAAAAAAATCTAAAGAGTGCACCTTGGCTATGAACATCCGATGATGATATCGCCAAAATCGTATTGGTTTTATATTGGAACACGTCACCCCCAAAGTGATACAAGATATGCGAGCTCAATGACTGAAATTTAAGATACTATGCTATATGCTATAGATACTATGACTAGAAGAAACTAAAGATCGTATTCTAGAACTCAATCTTCATCTGCACACATCCACCCACACACATAAGCAAAGGCCGTGAATGAAATAGAATGCAATTTGTGGTTGTAATTGTGAAATGACGTTGTTGTTGTTATTGCTGCAACTTGTATTGATTTGTCATACGCAACAATTGTTGCTTTTGTGATGCATAGATGCATTTTAAGGGCTTCATTTGGTTAATTTTGAAGTAAAAATTTGTCTTTTTTTATGGGACATTAAAATTCAACAGGTCTTACACATACACACACACACACACACATGCGTTAGAGAAAACAACAACGCACATAGATAACAGCGTAGAGCTCACTCTCTCCCTCACTCCACCCCTAAAATTAATCAGGCGCAGGACCTTTGGATGCCCATGTGTGCCTGTGTGTATGTCCTGGCGCCAAAGCTAATGCGTAGTTGTATTTTTAGAATAGGACAAAGGGCTACGCTTTATCATTCAGCCGAGCGAAGAGGGTCTGGGGGAAGGCAAAAACGCCCATATTACACACATGAGAAATCCGCATTAGACAGCGTATGTGTATCTGTGCGGTTTCACAGTTATAAATGTATATCTTTCTACGCTCTTTTCTCCAATTTTACTTCACTTTCTTTGTTTATTTTTCCATTTTCTTTACCTTCTAGAACCGTTGGCTTATCAACAGGCGCCGCCGACGAAGATGCAGCAGCAGCAGCTGATTTGTTGTTGCTCGTTGTTGTTGATCCTCCAGAGCCGCCCGCGCCCCCACCGCCAGCACCGCCGCCTCCTCGCTCATCCATCTTTTTGGTGGAGTTGCGCGTTCTCTTCCACTTCTCCAGTTTGTCTGGATTTCGAGATATATCTCAATATATATATTTTTGCGACTTCGCGACGGAAAAAACGAAAACAACAATAATGGAAAAACTGTTGTGAAATGGAGGTGGAGAACAATCGATAGCAATATCGATACTATCGTTTTTAAAACATCGTTTTTTTGCACTATCGATTTTTTGAAAATATTTTTTGTTATTTTACATTACACAGACAACAATTTTACACGTCTGCAGATACATGGGGTAGACTTCCCGTCGGTAACAAAGAAGCTAATTTGAGAAAGCGGTGAAACGGTCGGTAATAAGTACCCCAATTTGACAAAGTAGTTTGAAATATTATGGTATAAATTATAGAGTGTTAAAGGGAATGCTTAAAATTTTAAGGAATTGAACATCTAATAAAACAATTAATTTTTATTTACTGCTTATTCCTATTTGGAGAATTCTCGCCATCGGGGTAGAATTCTCATACATGGTGTCAAATTCTCATGTAGAAAGTAAAATGCACTAAAGTAGTCTCATGTAGAGGGGAGGGGTAATATTTAATTTTAATATTTGTTTAATTTAAGCTTTGTTTAAGGCGCGATAACTCTGCTCTTTCAAAAACTTCAGCATTATTTAAATTTTAATTTTTAAAGAAGTATAGCTTTAACAAAATGATTTGTTTTTATCCAATTTTCTTTGGTATTAAAAAATCTACATACTTTGTTTTTATTGTCTAAACTCTTTTGTTATTTGTAATTTATTTATTTATTTATTTATTTTGTATTTGGTGAAACCCATTACTCTCTAATATGTTACTCAATATTAAGCGCGTCAAAATAAAAGCATATGAAATAAAGCTATTAAAATAAAACTAATTTAAACCTGAAATCAATCATGACGAAACTCAAAAGAAAATGTTTGCAAGACTTATGTTGCTAGAAACATGTTCAATAACACCCTTTGGTGTTGACAGCATTTCGATGTTGCACTGATATAAAAATACCTCTTATTTACATTTAATATATTCCTGGGTGATAATTTATAATTAAATTCGAGATTTCTTTAAAAATTTTGCTAATTTGCAGATAAGCTGCTTGTTTCCCACGATCACATTTCCATAGTTCGTAGACTTGGCGATAAACTCTGAGCTCCCCATACATTTTTCAACAGAATGTGATAAGTTCTAGATATGTATTATTAATAATAATAAACACGTTTAAAGCAAACACTATTTAAATTGAGTCTCAGGGAAAAAGAGGCTTCTGTGGTTAGGAATTGATAAGGATTTATTTTTACCACAAACCAAGGTTTCCAACTCCTTATCATACGTCTTTCCAGAAAGAAAACACATGTAGAACTTCTCCATTTAACATTTAGATATTTGTATTATTTTTTTTCTTCTAGAAACAACAACACTTTTAATTATTTCTTTTTTAACGATAACAGAAAGCGGTGATAAATTTAAATATTAAATATGATTTTATGGAGAAAGAAAATGACTTTATTCTGGGAAAAGTGATACCAATTTCTTTATCGGTATTTGTTTGCTGACCGATATTTGTATTTAGCGGTTCTGCCACCTGTTTGAAGCTAGACCCAGTTGGGAATTTTAGCTAAAATTTCTTTGTAAGACAAAAAAAATTAATTTGTAGTATGAGATTCTTTAGAAATTTCCCCAATTCAATTAAAATCATTTGATATTATAAATGTAACATATTTTAATCAAAGCTTTTTCCTTATTTCTTTGAATTTCACAGATTGCACAACCTGAGTTACAATTAGATATAAAATATTTTAAGATTTTCCCATCTGTGTGAAAATCTCACAGCCAAAGAGAGGTGGACAACAAGATATGCAAATTAACGTGCAAATTCCCATTTAAGCCAAGTGCCGCTCTTAAACTAAGCTACATATCTGGCTGACGAATCCAAAGAGAGGCCGACTAAAGAGCGCTTGCTCGCTCTCTTCCTTTTCCCTTCCTCCCACGCGGCGGCATTGGTTCTCTTGCCGGTGGAGTAACGGACACGGGCACCGGCCAAGAGGCTCCACCAATGGGGCAGCTTTTTGGCCACGTGCCACCTGCACCACTGCCACCAACATGAACGGCTGGCCAATCAAAGGCTGGGCGGTGCATAACGGTAAGCCGCTCTCCAATAGCACACACACACACCGACTGGATAAGAGAGAGCTCTGGCAGAGAGCGAGCGAACGGATGCGACTTTATGACTCGCCTGGACCTCGGCTTCGTTCGTTCGTTAGCCATTCGGCAGCGCTCGGCTCTGCTCAAGCCGCCGCCGCAGTTAAAAGTTAAAAGTCGGATTCAGTTACGATTTAGATTACGACTCGCGAGCATTATTCTTTGCATTGTTTACACAGTTTTTGAACTTTTCAGAAAAAAAGCGCCTTAACGTTTCTCGTGTTACTACTCCTTTTTTTTATTGTTGTTGTTTTTTGGCCTACGAGTTCAATGCAAAAACTGATGCCAAAATAAAACTAATGAAAAACAGTGTGTAAGTGTTTTAATATTGAAAAATAAAGTCAAAGTTCGCGCCAAAATTCAATACTCTTGAGAATAATCATTATCAGAACTTAAATTTCATCACAAGTTTGAGCAAAAGTTTAAACAAAGGTTGAAAATAAAGCGTAACAAAATGTAAACATAAACAAAGTGGGCTTATTATGTTATTTTAAATAATAACAATAAAAACTAAAATAATTATGTATTAAACATTAATAAGGAAATCCATAAATGTAATAAATAAACAAATATGTAAAATTTTATGTATATAAATTAGTTGCCAGAACATTTATGATTATTTTGAATGTAAACTTTTTAAGTTAAAGTTTTATATATGTCTTACAAATTAACACCAGTTAAAAAGTTCTTAAAAAATTATAAAAAAACAATGATTAATAATACTTAATAATAATAACAAACAAAAACCTTCAAATTAAACCAAAAAGAAGGCCCGTCCACCGTCCAGCAATAAAAAAGAAATTCATTCAGTGCCAAAACAATAAATAAATACTTTTATTTTGGGCAAAGTGAAGTGCAAACAATAACAATTAACTAATCAAATCAAGTCCAGGGATCATCTGGTCAAAGCATGCTCGAAACAGCAACAAAAGCATCAATGCTAATTTCTGTGACTAATTTATCAAAGTGGAAAAAAGAGCTAGAGACCCCCCCCTTGAGAGGCGCCTCTAAGTAGGCAGCAAAAAAAAAAAACATCGAAAAGCTGAGATTTTGTGCTTATCCCCGGAATAAATTAAATATTATTAAACAGACAATGACGTTGCGGGAATTACAACATCAGTTTGGGTTTTTTTTAGTTTAAGTTCAATCGAATAAGTAATCTATTTTATCTAGGGAAATTAAGACAGAAAAAGAAAGCAATGACAAATATCAAATTTATATTTATATTATTAGTCATAGTGCAAAGTGATGGAAATGAATAAATAAGTGTTTTTTAAATTTAAATGTCTAAGAATTTATTAATCCATAATTTTGTTGAGTTCTTTGGCATTTTAATTGCAATATTTTGAAAGAATTTTTAAATATGTATATTTTTTAAAAATGATCACTTAATTGATTTTGTTGTGGATTAAATTTTGTGTGATTAAATTTGAAGGCAATATAAAATAGATATTCAAAATTAAAACAGTAATTCAAAAAGTTTTGTTACAATTTCATTCGTTTTAAATTAACTTTCAGTTATTTTTGGTAATAATAAAATATATTGTCACTTGTCAAAAATATTTTTTATTCAAAAATGTTTTTTAAATTTCCATACAATTTCGCATAATTTGTATTGTAAATAAACAAGGGAAAATATTAATCATCAAGCTGAGAATAAGAACTTAAAATAAATATTAATTCCATGATTTTTTTCATATTTTAAATAAATTAATATTTGTTTCGTTTAATTTGTATAGGAAAATAATATAATACTATTATATTACATTAAACTTTTCCGATTGATAAATGTTACCTTCATTACTTTGTTTATATCATTTTCTATTTGAATTTTCTGTAAAATATTAGTTTCTATAAATTATTAGGTGCTTTAGTTAACCTGAAACTCAAGGATATAAATGGATATATTCAGAGGCTAGATTTACCATTAAATCTGCAAACATTATCTTTATGCAGAAAGTACAAAAATATATATATAAACAAATCATAAAAAAAACCTTTAGCAAAAATAATAGTATTATTCATATTAAAATAACAAAACCTATTTACTCAGTTTAAGGATGAACTATTTCCTTACTGATTGTGATTATGATCATGTCTCCAAAGATCTAGATTTTAGACTTTATTCAATTGTTAAGTTATTTGTTTGTTTGTTTTGGTTTTTTTTTTGTGACTCCTCCAGAGATTAGAGTTTATTGATGAGTGAACAAAGGACACCGCCATTGCCAGAGCCACCGAGATAAACTCCAGACTTTGCGATCCGCGATTTGCGACCCGCACACACGCACACACTGAGAGAAACGGATCAAAGCGCCACCGCCAGATCCGGCAACGCAACGAATGCATTTGCCGCTCCTGGTGGCAGCCAGACAGGACAGACAGACGCCTCCAGCGGATCATAGCCATACGGGCGGAGGCGAGGGCGAGGGCGAGGGCGTAGGCGTAGGCGAACCCCTAGCGGATTCTTCATCATCCGGAGCCACTGTGGCGCCCGTCAGCATCGCCGGTCCCGGCCGCCTCGCTCGCAGCTTGAACGGCTTGGGCGGCACCAGTGTCGGTGGCGGCGGCATCGGCAGCGGCGGCATCGGCGTCGGCGGAGTCAGTGTCGGTGGCCATCATCACCATCACCTGCATCATCACTACGCTCCCTACGCCCCCTCGCCGTATCATCCGGTGCAGCCGTATAGCGGTGCATATCCGCCGGCTGCCTCACATCCGCCCGCAATGGTCACCTCGTCGTCTGCCTCGCCAACGGGCAATGGCTGGAGTAGCACCACCGGTGACTTCAAGGGCACCGTGGCGGTCACAGCTGTGGGAGCGGGAACGGGTGCAGCGGCCGGTCAGGGAGCCACCACTGCCACCGCTGGTGCAGGAGGCACTGCCTCCGAGGTCCTGGCTGTGTCTAGCAGCGCCAGTGTGGGCAGTAGTTCACCCACCGGTGGTGCTAGCAATGGCACTGCACACAGTGGACACAGCGGCAGCACCACCAGCAATGGTAATAGCAACAATAACAACAACAGCGCCGGCAACAGCAATAACAACAACAATAACAATAATAACAATAACAATAATGCGGTGCATCAGGATCTGTTGTGGATGGAGCGATTGGTCCAGAAGCGACAACAGGAGCATCCCGGTGAACTAGGTGAGTGGAGCTATATAAATTATTGTAATTAAAAATAGAAAATTACAAGAATTTACATAAACTGAAAACACTGATATCGATAAATATCATTTGGATATGCCAAGATATCGAATTTCTTCCACATGTTATACCAGTTAGATCTTTTTCAATATCGAAAAGCCATTTGTTTCTGTAAAATTTCACGTTTTTTAAATTTATATAGGAGTTTGTCATTGATTCTGATCACAATTACAATGTTGATCTTATTTCATACATACAAGTAATGCTAATATTGATAAACACATAATTAATATAATAAAGTATAGATTTTTCTCTTAAGAATGTAACATTTAATATATGTAGCTTTTTAAATTCATATAGAAGATTGCCATTAATTTCGATCAGAATTATCTATATGGTTTTATTCCATATATATGTATGTACTATTCCATATATATGTATCATTAACGATAAATACCTAATTTTTATGACAAAGTATCAGAATTAATTTTAAGAATGTTATATTATAAATACAATTTGAAAATTGATTGAGAAGTTTGCTTTTAATTTCTATCTCAATTAAGAACTAAATCTTATTTTTATACCAAAACATTGCCAAAATGGATAAATATTTATTTTATATGCTATTGATACATATTTCGTTTTTTTCATTTTAAAATATTAATTACGTTTTAAGTACAGAATCCTTTTGTCTACATTAATTTAGGAGACTTAGGTTTTTTACAACTATCAATTTGATCTTAAAATTGATAATTTTTTATAAAAACGTAATGTCAATTTCTATAAATATTTTTATTATATGGTAAAATATTGATTTTCTTTGTTCTAAAATCCAATTCAAACTTTTCATAATGTTTTATATAATTGTTTTAAGCTTATTCATTTCTTTGATGGTAATTTAATTCACATTTCCCTTTTATTAGATAAAGTAATATGACGATTAAAGATAAATCTAAATTCTATGAAATCTATTTTTCAAGAGTTAAAGTCACAGATTTCTGTTAATTAAGCCAATATTATTGTTGAGTTATTGTTAATGAGTTAAAGTAATTAATTAGAGAATTCTGTTATAGTGTAGTTCCCTTAAGAATCCTTTTTCGTGTTGCCTGATCTCAATAATTCTATAATAATACCTTTTTTGGGAAATGGGGTATAAACTTAAAGAATTAATTAATATTTCTAGCACTTTTAAGCTTTACACATATAATAGACACTGATTTGACAATTGAGTGTCACTAAATCACTCCTTAGTTTCCATCACAAAAAAGCAACAACTAAATATGTTTAGCTCGTGTCCAAGTACAAGATAGTGTTGATCGGTAGAGATACAAAGATACAGATGCATACGAGAGTATCTGTTGGATAACCCTGCCTGAAACGCGGATCACACATTCTTTGCCACATCCTTGCACAATGCACTTCTGGGGCTTCCTCATCGCGATCGTGATTATACTTAGCATTATCGGATTCCCGAAGACGATGACGATGACGGGAGAGGGCCGCGTCGGAGTATGCGTAAATTGATATCAATAATTGTTATTGATATCAACGCACGAGTCTTCTTTTATATTTTTTTTTCTGTATAGCCTGGTGAACTCTCGCAGAATGCGACCAGATACACCGACGGACGATATCAATGACCCAAAGCGAAAGCTGCTAATGAAAGGTTCCCCCCGAGCTCATCGCTCCCTTTTCTGGCTGAAAGCCGAGTCCAAGTTCGAATCTGATCACTGGTGAACTGGGAACTGGTTACCCCCATTCTCCACACGGATGCTTCTTCTTTTCTTTTCTACATATATTTTTTAAATTTTTTGTATCCTTTCATAACTTGTGCTCAATGAAGTCAACGGGTGAATGGATCGCCGTTGCCTCGATATCGTGTTGCAAGAGATCTCAGGACATTACCAGAGACTTGAAAGCTTGTTATAAATATTAGAATGAATATAAATATTTATATAGTTTAGATTTTTAAGATTAGAGTTATTTACATTTTTAGTAAAATGATTTTAACGACAAGGAGTCTGTAAACAAGAGTTACTTTTGACTAGACTTGCTTCTATGGGCTTTCTATTGTCTTTAGGTTTTTAATTAAAAAGGAGCTATGTGAACAACAAATCTAAATCTAAATTTAAATATTTAAATAATATATTATACAAAAACAAATAAATTATAAGGAATAAGGATTACATTACCAGCTAAATACCTAAAATATCCAAAAGCAAACCTTTAAATTTATTAGCCAGCTCTTTGGCTACTTCAGCAATTAAATTTAATGATTATCTCAATTAGATTTTCAAATTATTGTCCCCGTAAAAACAGACATGAGTCTATAAATCATTTATCAAGCCCCTCCTTTTACTTCCTGCCCCTCTGGCTGTCAGTCAGCTTTGTGGCGCATTCTGTTCCACTTTCGACACCGGGTCAAATGTCAAACGTCATCTGTGGACCCTCCTCCGGGACCAATCCTGATGAAATGCCCTCACTCATTAATTAATTATGCACCGCCGGATGGCGGCCAAAGGACACTGTGGACTGTGGACGGTAGGACTCTCTAGGACTCTAGGACTCTAGGACTCTGTTGATTGATATTTATGGACTGCCATAAACTATAAATTATTGAGCATTTTTGCACAAAGTGTGATTTAATTATTGCCACCTAACCTCTAACCGGCTTTTCGCTTTTCCGCTTTTTTTCCCGTATTTTCCAGTGCGCACGAGCAATCCGTACTTCCTGTGCTCCGCCCTGCCCTCCCATTGGCGCTCCAATAAGACGCTACCGCTGGCCTTCAAGGTCGTCGCCCTGGCGGAGGTGGGCGATGGCACCTACGTCACCATCCGGGCCGGAAACGATGAGAACTGCTGTGCGGAGCTACGGAATTGCACTGCCCAGATGAAGAACGATGTGGCCAAGTTCAATGATCTGCGATTTGTGGGACGCAGTGGAAGAGGTGAGTTTATTGCAGAATTATGAGTTGGGAATTACAAGGGAAATGCGATCATTGATCTCAAATTTTTAGATGAAATTAAGGGGTGAAATTATAATAGAAGGGAAGCAAGTCATTATTAATCCTTAAAGTTAAGAGTATATTTGGATGGAAGTTGTTAAAGAATTATGTCTTTGAAAAAATAAGGGAAAGCCAAAGCTTACTCTTCCCGGGTATATAATGATAACATCATATTAAGTGGTGAAATTAAAAGGAAAATGAAGAGAGAAAACTAAAGAATAAATTGTTCACCAATGTTAACAGGAAATTAAGAGAGTTGTCTAGGAAACTGTAAGGGAATATCGATAATCGATCTTTGATTTACAAAATATTAAGGAGTAACATTCAAAGGAAAGTTATTAGTGAAAGGAAGGTAGAAAATTAAAATTAATACCTCTAATCGATATCATATGTTAAGATGATATTAATAAAAGAGTTGTCCCGGAATTATATCTTGGGAATTGAAAGGTAAACTCTATCATCGGCCTCTAATTTTAAAATTATATATATTTAGGAATGAAATTATAAAAGAAATTACAAAGGAAAGGAATGTGAGAAATTAAAAGGAATACCCATAATTGATATCTAACATTAAAATATTATTATGAGTTGATTTATTCCAGAATTATGGCTAAGGAATTATATGGGAACATTAATTATCAATCGCTTGTGTTTAAATTAATAGGAAAAATGAATATTATATTGTAAAATATTCTATATGCAAGTTATTTGCTTCAATTCTTGGCCAGCTTAAGGCCAAAATAAACTTTTAACTTAATGGAGAGGCTTACATGAATGAGGTTTGATTTTTTTTTTTTTTGGCAGCAAACTGGATCGGAAGTGCATTGATTGAGTGACATGCCAAAAGTTCTTAGCCCCCATAATTCGCTAATGCCTTCCTTCCTTTCCCTGACTTCAATGGATCAATGAATAAGGCTAGGGAGAGGGCAGGACAAGACGGGAAAGGACGGGACAGGACAGGACAGGATCAATGGTACAGCAGTCGTCACATTAGGCTGCAGTTGGCGCTGTCCTCGGGGCAACATGCAACATGCGATGTGCGATGTGCAACACTTGGGCACCTTTCCGCTCCGTTCCGTTCCGTTCCATATGGAAATGGCTCCGATCGGATGGGATGGGACTGGGCACGGCACGCAATGTTTGGGCCTCTGGTCTCTTGGTATAATCGATTTGAACCCACAATTAAGGTGGCAGTGCATAGAATTTGCAGCAGCAGCAGCAGCAGCAGCAGCACCAGTTGGCTAATTAGCTGCAACTGTTCTGAGAGCGACCCTAAGTCAAGTCCAACTCCCTCCCCGCCTTGCAAATTGACGGCTCGTGCCGCAAAAGGGGCCAAAACAAAATAATTACAACAATGACCCCGCCCAAAACAAAAAGGTCCATGGCCATGTCCATGTCCATGGCGCATGCAAATAACAAGCTAATGATGTAAGAGCATAAGCGCTGACCAAATTGTCAACGGCAGTTCACTTCATTTAATGGTCACGCCCCCAGCTCCATCTCCAGCTCCGGCTCCACCTTCCATCTCCATCCCCATCCCCATCCCCATGTCCATGTCCATCCCATCTCCATCTCCATCTCCACTGAGTCTGAATCCGCGGACATCATGCGGCGATTTCTGATTAGATGACAAAGCGAGCGAAACCATCACAATGTCAAGGGGCAGAAAGAAGTGCACAGTTAGCAAGAATATCTGGATTCTGGATGTAGTTAGTCCTAAAAGGATGGACAGCTTAATACCCAGCTTTTATTAGAGATTTCAATGAAAAAGCTTAAAAAAGATCAGATTAAATCTTTACCAAGAACTTGAGTAAAACTAATAATAAAAACGAGTAAGGAACTTCGAATAACATCAGTAAAGAGCTGCGTTTTTCTAAAACAAAGCATTTAAAAGGATATCAAGTAATAAAACGGTTCCTTTACAGTATGACCAACGTTGAAATATTTCTTAATAGCGTGACCAATTCCAAGAAATTTATTTAATAGTAGTATTCCATTAAAATAAAACATAGTGAAATGTTTTTTTAAAACAATATTTAAATAAAAGTATCATAATCGAAACAATTTTTAAAATAATACAAACTACCTGAAACCTAATTAAACGGATAAAAATAATATTTAACTTTCCTTAAAGTGTGAGTAAGGTGGGTTTATATTATTATTTATTTCTGCTTCCCAGAATAATACAAACAAAACAACAATATTTAAATAAACTTTACCCATTGTAACAATTTCTTGCATTATATAAGCTAAAAATAATGCTAGGGTCTCTAATTTAGAGTGACCAAAGCTTAATGAATTCAAATACGGTTCAGATTTAAATTTAATTAAATATATTTTATGAAAAACTAATATAGACTATAGCTTCATTAAAGGGTATCAAACATAACAATTGGCTTCAAGCTTTGTAATTTTCTCTCCTTTTTTTTCTGGTTTCCCTTTTTTTTTGGATTTTATTTTTTTTTTTTACAAAAAGGAGGAGCAGGGGGGGGGCGTAGGATGGCTTTATTAAATGGTGGTGGGGCGTGGCAATTTATCGCCTCTTGGTCCTGGACGTGGCATGCGTCGACATATTTTTAATTTCCCCCCTGCTTTCCCATAAAAGTCGAAATGGAAAAATCTGCATTAGAGTCTGATTCGGACATGGATCATTTTAGAGCCTGGACACTGGGGACTTATCCTTATTAGTCCGCTTAATTACCAGCATTGATATTACAATCATCATTCTTCCTATCATATCAAAGGACTTGACTTTGCCCCGGACGAGGGGATTAAAATGTGAAAACAAAGCAAATGAAGGACACGCGCCAAACAGGAATTCATAAGTCGCATCAGGATTCGTTAGGGAAAGGGTTGCGCGATACCGATAAACTTGAACAGGACGAAATGGAGATGGGGTTGGAGTTGAAGGATGAGGTCCCTGATCCGACTTAGTGGTTGAATGCCAGGTTTTTTATTTATTTATTTGGCATGGGGCGATGACAGAGGTTAATAGGATAAATATTTGAAATATTCAGGAAAACAATTGCTTAATAAACAGAAACTGAGAATCTAAATTCAGGAAAACACACCTAGTAGGAGTTTTTAGCATGGAAACTATGTGATTTTCATGGGGAATCGTTGCGGGGGTACTTATTTACTTTGATTTACTTTGTGTGATCTAAAATTAAAATTTATAAGGTTTTCATTGGGTTTATATATAAAACTTATTGATATGTTCGACTTGTTAGAAATAAAGCATTGTGTCAAGGGTCCTTATAAACGCTTTATAAAACGATTCCATTTAATGATTCCCGACTCCTGCAACACTGGTTTATATAATACAATTTATGACCTACAAATACCTGAATATATTCAGAGTCTAAGACTCTAAACATTGTTTATAAAATAATAATGAGAGTTATATTTAAAGCTCCTAACTTTTGGTACTCTTGATAAATACATATCTAAGATTTAAGGTACTAAGCTTTTACTAAAAAAATCCTTCAAAAATAGCAATTAAAGGTCTTTCTTATGGAGAATATTCTTAGATTTGGGGTACCCAACTTTTACTAAAAACTCTTTTAGAAATACCAATTAAAGATCTTTCTTATAGAGAATATTCTTCCTCCCATATATTACCCACAATATTCCACCAATATCAGGCTGGGAACTCTTTTAACTTTCGAGTGCTTTAGCCCTAGAAGATATCGGATGCCGATATCTATGTCAATGTCGACTTCCCTGGGAAAGGTTGCCTGGCTTAAGTTCCCATTCAAGAAATGTTATGCAATCCGTATGCTCCATATGCTCGTGGTCGTAGTATGTAGTTCCAAACCTTATCAAGGGGAATGGCTTTGGACTATCGCCAAAACCTCTCGGTTCCCACAGAGTCATGGACCCTTATCGCTTGGTGAACCGATGTCCCATGACTGTGGATATATATTTAGATCCGTGTATGACGTATATGTACCACTATACTATATATATATTATATAGCGAGACTGTCCAAGTGCGTGAGCTGTGATGCTACCCATGGGCATTGTTCATTGATGATGACTAATTTGGAGCAAGAGTCTGGTCCGAACCCAATCTTTGCCCATTACGGCCATTATCGCTCCCATTTTGGGGGTCTTTAGTGGATCGTGTAGTCCGATATTTTATCATTGCGTCAAAGACAAAGACAAAGGCTGAGGCAGAGTCAGAGGCATTGGCCGAACGGCAGCAATAACATTTTCCAATTACTCTAACGAACTTTTACATACGATGCTCCAGTTTTGTGGCACCAGATTTTTTTGAAAAATGAGTAAAGGAGAAAAAGGAGACCAGGCCTATTTAACAGTTTCTTCTGGCGGCATTTGATTAATTTGAGTTCACCTTTCGATGGCTCTTTCTTTTGGCCGAAATGAGCCCCCAAAAAGGGGAGCTCACGCAACATGGCAACAATTTCGGGTTATACTCAATAATAATGAAGACATTTCGAGGGTCCAAAACGCTTTCTAACTGATGGCCATTTCAGCTATCCCCACTCTTGTTCGTGGTTTCGGTTAATGAACTCATCAAAGCCTTCAATTATATGTTTTGTAGCCGAGGCAGTCAGTCCTTCATTGTATCTAGTTTGAAGTCGAAGAAATCTGATGGAAGATGCAAGCGAAACAAGTCATTTTTATACCTTTTTAATATTATAAAATTAAGAAAACAAGTGGTTTTGAAGTATAACAAAATATTTAATAATGTTGCCCAATTTACTAAAGAAGGCATAAATTCCTTATATTTTAGATCAGAATTAATGATTTTTGAATAATTAAAGCGATAATAAAGCTTAAAGTATATGATTGAACTTTATTATAATAATTACGAATCATTTATTTAAAGAAACACAAATTCCTTTACTTTTTTTTGAATCTAAATAAATATTTTTTGAACAATTTATTATGTAAATTTATATGATATATATTTTGTATGTACTCTTGCAGGGTATTATAATTTAAATCAGAAGCTTCTAACGGCGTGAAGGAATCATTTCCGACTCTATAAATCATATATATTCTTGATCAGCATCAAAAGCCGAGTCAATCTAGCCATCTCCGGGAGAAACAAATTTGTTTCCCATTTTTTTTATCAAAATTTTATAAGGGGGTCATTAAAATTTTCAAAAATTGGACAAAATTTTAAAACTTTATAATTAGTATGCAAGACTTTTTAACCTAATAAAAACTAACATGGAATAACTTTCCGAATTAAAATTAATGCTTTTTGTGGCTTAGTTGTGAGTTTTTGAAATTTTGATTTGTCGATAAAATTGTCACATAAAAATATTGTTAAATACCAATTTAATGAATTCGAAAATTAAAGACTTAGTTATAATTGAATTTCCACTCGCTTCTTTAATTAAATTTAAAACTGAAAGGGCTTATAAACTTTGACTTCCTGAAGTTAGTTTAATTTCTTGTTTTTTTATTTTTCACGTTAAGCTCCCAAAAGGTATTTAAACTTTTCTAGTTCACATTGAATTTTCCTTAGATTTTTTTTTCTGGAAAATAAATCCCCTTTACCTCGTTTGTCCTGCCAACAGTCAGAGTTCTCAATTAAAAGTTAAATGCAATTTTCATCAAGTATGACTTGCTCTCAAAGTCTGGGCCTATTAACCCTACCGCTCTGTCGATGTAGAAGTACACAGAAAAAAATAATGTATAAGATATATTATATTAAAAGAAATTTCATAACAATATACATTTAATATTTTAAATAAGCTATAAGTACATTTTTGTAAAAAAAATTAGGTATAGGTCTTTAGCTGAGTTTAAGGAATGCTTTTTATGCATCACATATGTTTTGGGAATTTAACCTTTCTGTTTTCAAGTTAATAATAAATTTTAACATGACTTGCTACTAATTTCTCTCTGTGCATGACTCTGTCCCTCTCATACGCTCGCCTGCAGAGGAACAGTGCGAGGGAGTGGGCGCTATAGATGAACTGGGGATGCGACTGAGGTTTCTGCGGTTAGTTGGGACGGCTCTGTCTCCGCTTTGTTGCTCCTGTTCCTGCTCCTGCTCCTGCTCCATCTCCATCTCCTGCTTCTATCGCTTCTGGTCCTGTTGCTGGACCTGTTTCCGCAACAACATTGTCGCTTTGTGGGTGTTTAATTATATGCATGTAGCTTTGTTTGCAGTTCCACACTGACCAGACAGACAGCAGGAATAAAAAAATACAAAAAATAAACGAAATTCATTTCAGTATTTTGCAATCGATAAACGTTGATGTGGCCTCTACAGGTTACAAGTTGGCAGACGCTTCAAACGGTGTCTAGTTTAATGGCCATAAATAGTGCAAACATAAGGTCAAGCCCAAAAATAAACTCATTTGGGCCACAATGTTGCTTCTGTCTGAGGAAGAAATATGCAAAAAGTATTCAATAATACTGAAATACAGGCTGAGAGCGTTGGCCATGGGGGCGTGGCTGGGCGAAAGACAGGTTGCCGCATTTCCTCATTTTATGTGCACTCACGAAAGCAACTTTGGCGGCAGCCATTACCACGGGATAAACCAAATTTATGTCAAGAGTTTCAAATAAATTGCACCGCCGGGGTTTATAACTGTTGTCTCGAAGTGGGTGATACCTATATTCAATTTAATACCTTTTACTTTTATACTTTAATAAATCTTTAAAAATATGAGTTACTATAAGAAGTGAAATTAAATAATATGCTCTTTATAAAAGTTATACTAATACAATTCAGTGTCACATACCAAAATTCAAAATGATAGCTCTTAACCTTACCAAGTTCCTTGAGATCAGTTTGTCAGTCTGTCAGATTATAATCCTTACTAATTATTAAATCTAATTCTAACCTGTCTAAAAGTTACTTTAAATATTTGAAAATATCACATACCAAAATTCTTAAAGATAACTCCATGCATTACTGAGTTCAATGAGATCAGTTTGTCTTTCTGATTAATATCCTAACCAATACAGGTTCTATCCATCACAGTAAAGCATTTGTAAGCCACATACCAAAATTCATAAATACAACTCTAACCTGTACCAAGTTCACAGAGTTTAGTTTGTCTTTTTGAATATTATCCTGACCGAAACATATTCTATCCATCAGAGTAAAGTATAGGGATGCCGCATACCAAAATTCACAACGATAACTGTGCGGGTTACCGAGTTCACTGAGACCACAAACTCACACTTTCGCCGAAAGACCCGAAGAAAAGGCAGTTATTTAAAGGGGTAGACACACGACGCGTGTTCGCTCCTCGAGCTGAAAAGGGGTTTGGTTTTCTTCTTTTTTCGGTAATTTCGGAGCCACAAATTGATTCGGTAGCAGACCAGTGAGGTCGTTGTGTAAATCTTCGGAGGACATTTACGACTCAATTCCCGCATTTGCACCATTCTCTAATTCCCTTTAGCATGTGCCGCTTGTGATACCCGTTTCCTTTGTGCATCTATTGCAGGAAAGAGCTTTACCCTGACCATCACGGTGGCCACGAGTCCGCCACAGGTGGCAACCTATGCCAAAGCCATCAAGGTGACCGTCGATGGACCCCGGGAACCGCGATCCAAGACAAGTAAGTGGTAGTCTTCAATCGTAAGTTTATGGTAAAGAAAAGTTATGATGTAAATATTAAGAAATGTATATATAATATTCAAATATTACAATATAATAATATAAATAATAATATTATAATAATAAATGGTGCTTTGGATTAGCTAGTAATATCTTATGAAGATTAGAAAATGAGTTTGAGCAGTAAAAAATGAAACCTATAAAGAGATTAAAGTAAATGCATAGTTTTTTGACATATATTCAAAATCAAACAAATATTAATATATATCCCATTAAATTTTTATTATCTAAACAATTTGCTTTTATAATTTAAAAAAACCTAACTTAATTTATTAAAATATTAATTGGTTTACTTAACAAATCATTATTTGAACTATTACATATTTATGTAATATGAAATACTTTCAGGAAATGATTATGCAATATTTATATACATTTATATTCAAATAATGTATGTAAATTATAAATGTTTATATATTTCTATTTTATGTAAACAAAATTATATAAAATAACTTTAAATTAACTCCAAGGCAGTAGAAGGTACTTCTCAGGACAATACATATAATCCTTGAATGAGTGCGCTCCATTTCATCTTTTTTTTCTTTTTTGTTTTTACCTTCTTCCGTGTCAATCCATCTCAAAGAATGTATATAATAGTAAACATAAGTGGGCCTTATTGTTTTGGCAATTAGTAATTATCACTTGCCAGCCACCACTCACAACACAATGGGAAAAACTATGGAAAAACCCAAGGGGGAAAGTTGTGAAAAGCCGCCCTGCTGCGTTTTGGGTTTCAATATGGTTTGCAACATATGTTTGCTGTCCGTAATTCCTTTTACCGTATTCCCGAGTCACTTGGCCCGGCATTTAAGCAAGTGTTTAAGCCGGGCTCAATGTCTAAGCCGATCTGCTCAATTGCCCATAATCGTATTTAAGAGATAATCCCCATTTTCAATTGCAACAGAATGTGTGTTTGTAGTTTTCTATTTTTTGCACGGAAAGAAATATATGTAAAAGAATGTTATATATATGTTTTGTTATATATATATGGTCTGATTTAACTTATATCAAATATTAATTACATGGAGGGTATTATAATTTCAGTCAGAAGCTTGAAACGCAGTGAAGAAATCATTTCCGACCCTATAAATCATATATATTCTTGATCAGCATTAACAGCCGAGTAGATCTAGCTATGTCCGTTCAAAATTAATATTTTTCAAAATTTTGCAAATTTTTTAAGGGGTTACAACATTGAAATGGTCAAAATGTTGACAAAAAATGAATTTTTTAAAATTTAAAAGTTAGTATGCAGATTTGTTAGCCTTTGAAAAACTAGCACAGAATTGCTTTCCGAATTAAAATTCATGCATTTTTGGCTTAGTTATGAATAATTGGAGATTCGAATTCATGATCCTAACTGTAAGGGTATACACATTTCGGCTTACCGAAGTTAACTTAATTTCTTGTTAAAATTTCTATAGCCTTCAATTCGGAGTTTAAGAATTCAAAAGATCAAGTTGATATTTCTTCTTAAGAAATCATAATACAAATAGTTAATGGTGTCAAAGGAATGTTTGTTTCTACAGCTTAATATATTGTTTTATTTATTAAAGCTGGTATATATGTTAGAAGTACAGGATATATTGGGAAGATTAGGCACAGATCATGTTATAAGTACACAAGTAAAAAGGGTTGTTTCTGCAGGAAAACCTCATCGATGAACTTGGTTATTGATCAGATTTCAACATTTCTAAAGATATAACTACCAGAATTGTCATAAAATCATACACATTTCCTGCCTAACTTACATCCGTAAGGAATATTAACTTTACATAAAATAACTTAAAGATTTGATTCCAAAATTAATGACTCTTTTTCTCCCGTGACCATATAATATCCGTACATTTGGAGATCCTTTCTCCTTCTGTTTGAGGATCGTGTGACATCCGATGAACGCCATTTCTGATGGCTCTGTCATTCGGTAAGGTGTTTGAAAAGTGCAGCCGGTTTTTAACTGACTGAAAAATAAAGAAGAACAAAAAATATATGTATATTATGTACTTGTAAAGGGAAGGCAACGTCTGCTTCTTACGGTTTCTGAAAATGTTGCGGTTTGCAAAGAAAACCTCTTTTTGCGCTCTCTGTGTTGTTTTTTTTTTACTCATTTTTTTAAATCGAGTTTTAAGCTTGTGTAATGCATATATGAATTAATTTTTTTCCTCTCTTGATATTTCGTAAATGCATTTTTAAGTCTTCGCTAAAGCGTTAATCGCATGTAGAGCAGGTAATACTATATACACGAAGGTAAATACAAACTCACCTGTAAAGGCAATGCTTTTTACAGTTTTTGCTTACCTTGAGTTGCCACAAAAAAAAAAGTTTAAAGGCCTTGGCAAAATGGAGTTTATATTGATAAAGGAAGGGGGATCCTTATCTTAGGACTATTATATCAATACAATATCCTTCTAGTAAGCATTTCTTATGGATCTCCCATCTTTTATCCTCTGTAGGTCCCACAGGAGGTCCTCATTATCGCGCCTTGGGCATTGGCCAGCGTCCCTACATCGATGGCTACCCCAAGGCTCTCCACGAGCTGGAGACACTGCGTCGCTCGGCAAAAGTGGCGGCTGCCACAACAGCCGCTGCGGCTGCGGCAACGGCGGCCACAGCGGCTACTGCTGTTGCAGCCGCCGCAGCAGCGGTGGCGGTCACGCCCACCGACGGCGGTGGAGGTGGAGGAGGAGGAGTCGGAGGAGTAGGAGTGGGAGGAGTAGGAGTTGGTCCCGGAGCCGGACTGGTGCAACAATTGAGCAGCAATTACTCATCGCCGAATAGTACAATCAACTCGGACTGCCAGGTCTATAAGCCAAATGCGCCGCACATTCAAGGTAAGCTTCAGATTTCTTACACTTTTAGAACAATTTTTAAGATAATAAATAGGAAATATGAATGAAATAATTAAGGAATGGGGTGCTGAAGAGCTCATGAAGCTAACCGAAGCTAAAGAGTGCCTCTCTTTTAAGGGATTTATGGTTTTACCTCATAAAACTCAAGAGAAAAAGGCAGAAGCATTTTTTTTAATGTGTTGTTATAATTTCTTTCTTCTTAATATTTTAAAAAATTTCAAGGTGAAAACTATAGAACTATTAAATGCATAAAGGTTTACAATTAAATTAAGGGGTAGAAAATCCTGCAGAGATGATCAGGCAGTGATCTCAAGGAATCCTGAGCTCACGAAGCCAGCCGAAGCTTCCCGAAGCTTCCCGAAGCTCGTCTAAAACCGGAAATCCTTTCGGGCCTTTAGAGATTTATAGATTTTTACTAGACAAAATCTAAGAGGGAAAAACAGAGGCATATTATGTTATCTGCTTTAATAATTTCTTCCTTCTTCTTTAAATTTTTAAAATTTTGCAGGTGAAAACTGTAGGAAATTAAATGCATAAAGGCTTTAAATTGAATAAAGGTGTAGAAGGTGCTGCAGAGATGATCAGGCAATGATCCCAAAGTTACCACAGCTCACGAAGATTTATAGATTTTTAGTAGAATAAAACCTGAGAAGGAAAAGCAGAGGCATACTAATTAATTTAATTTAATTTCTTTCTCTTCCTCACACATTTAAAATATTTATAAGTAAGGGTATGGAAATTTAAATGCATAAAAATAATCAATAAAGGGTAAACTGTACAGATGCTCGGACTGTGATCTTACCAGAGTTCTAAAGACGAAGAGCCTCTCGGGTACTCAATGTGGTCTTCTCTGTTTTAAAGTGATTTATAGATTTTTACTCTTTTAAAAAAATGGGAAAACCCAGAGGCATGATATGTAATGGTTTATAATATACAATAATTTACACAATAATATACAATAATTTTCTCCCAGTGTTGACCCTTTCAATGGTGTTGTTAGCGATGAAAGCTGTCCACACTTTGGTATTGATATCTCCATCAGTTTTTCCATCCGGCTGTCTGTAAGTCTGTGCATCTTCGTTGACTGGCACCAGGCTGCCTAAACGTTTTAATTAAGTTAATTAACCTGGCTTACACCCCATCTCACCCCGAAATGATCTTGATTTATTTTCGGTATTTTTATGGCTCGCTTTGTTTTTGGCATTCACTCGCTAATTTATTTATTTTCCCAAACCGAGACTTAAAAATAGTTCAGCGACGTTTGGCGAGGGAATCAGATGGAATGTAAAATATATATATATATATTTAATAAATTTAATAAATATATATATTTTATATAAAGCAGAGAAGTCCTTAGAAAGTAACCTAAAACTTATTAAACATTTTGAAAGCAAAGGAACAAGATTTAAGATACTTAAGGAAATGTGTAAGTTATTATACTAGGAATAACATAAAATCATAGAAAAACTATAATTTGTAAATTTTTAAATAGAAATATTTCCCTACTTTTTTGTTTACTTCGATTTCAAGAGAATCTCTGCCTTCTAAGCCAATTGATTGCTAATTTTGGCACCCAATTCTAACCACATGCCACGCCCCTATTTGGCAACCGCATGCGAGACCTTCTTGGAGGACATTATGTGGCCAATACAGCCACAGACACAGCCACATCCATCCAGTCAGCCAGTGAACTAATTTTAGCCACCTCAGAGGCTTGGCCCAAAGCAGAGCACGCGCTGTGTTGGCCAAAACCGAAATGTTGGCTTTAACCAGTTCACACCAAACCATCTGCAATATTGGCCAAGATGATGGATCTATTATCATATCTCCATTATCATGTGGAGCTATTTTTGGGTTGTCATGAGCTCCTCCTTCTGCCAGACAATGGAAAATTTCATTTTCTGCTATGGATTTTTAATATTTATTGTTATTATTTCCTGTCTCTGCTGTAAAAACTTATCAATATTTTTGGAGAGAGAGCGGAGGGGGATTTTGGATAACGCGGCTAACTGGAACCCGGCACTGAGTCACGGACTTGGATGAGTCAGTGGCCAGTTTGGAACTAGACGAATCTCAGCCGCTTTAAGCCCAGACCAAAACGCTTTTGCTTATGCTAATTAATTTATAAATTTATAAATTTATAAATGTTTCTATATCGAGCTGCCCTCTCCGGTGGAGTCTTTCAGCTGGGGTATGAATTGCGGAATGTATTTCAATTTTTATTGAGATTTTATTGCATTTATAAATTGTAAATGTCATTTCGTAAAGTGAAGAGTTCATGTATTTTGTCCAACATTTTATTAAGTTCAAAACAAGCTAGGCAATAAATAAGGAAAATACGAAAAATATTCAACTATTTACTGTATATTTAGGTGTTTCCCAGGCCATAATTATACGATTTTTATTTCTTTTAATATATAAACTGCTTACATTTTATAATTATTAAGTATTATATAAAAACTCTTTAAAGTGACTATTTAAAATTAATCTTTAAAGTTAAAAGAACATCAATATTTGTACATTTTTGCTAAAGTAAAGTCTACTTAATTACTTAATCTACTAATGTCTAATTTATCGATTTATTGAATCAAGATTCGACTCAAGCACATCATATAAGGAATAAATTAATTTACGTGTACAGCGAAAAAGTTTCTATATAATTATTATCTTGCCAAAAATGTATTGGATATTTTGTATTGTATTGTATTGTCAAAATTTATAATATATATTATATTTCCAAAATTTTTAATCTAATTTGAAAAATAAAGTATATTTTATTATATAGAAAGCTTTAATATTTCTAATATCGGTTTCTATATCTTTTTAGTTTTCTTTTTAAATCTGGTATTAAAAACATAGTAAAATATATATAAATATCGAAAAATATGTAATTTTATTTAAAAATATCGATACAATCAAAAAAATTTACTCAATTTCCTTTTTTTTATCCTCCGATTACATTGGTATGCATATTGAATTATCTCTCGATTACATTCGTATGAATATCGATTTATTAAATATATTTATATCGCAACAAAAAGTTACTCCTTTATTTATCGACTCTTGCCTAAAAAATCTATACAGTATCGTTTTATTGATATGCTTAAGCAAAAATAATCATATTCCTCTTAGGACAATAGGCCTTATCAGTTCTATTTACATTATTTAATGTATATTAAAGTCCATAAGAGGTACCCACTATATGGTTCCTATATTTTCTCCACAACATACTCTTTTATTTTTTGGGGTTTTTTTTTATTCAAAGGCGGGGGCAGTTGAATATTGAATGTGAACGAGGTTAAAATACACACGAAAGTGTACCGGGCATTGTCAATGGGGAATGACACATCGTTGACTTGGCCGACGACGTCTTTCAATTAGCCAAAAGCAACAATAATAGCAACAAATGCAATACGTTTTATTTTGCTTTGGTTTTTTTCCTTTTGTTTTATTTTGTATTTTTTTGAGAGCTGGAACCGGAAATGCCCGAATCGAAGCGAGAAAACCAACTCTGAATCGGAATCGAATCGAATCGAAGCCTCTATGGGGGAAAAAAACTGGATGCTCAGTCGTTGTTATTGCTGTTAAGTCATAAATATTTAAATGTGGCGCTTAAGCTGTTAATTTACACAACAAAGCGTGGAATTCAGCGGAAATCGTTGCAAAATTCAAAGAAATTGGGTACAGATTATGGCAAGGGGGGAGATTATAAAGGAAAGATGACAAGGAATTTGTTGTAAGTTGTGGTGATAGAAGTAGATCAATAGCAATAGCTATCAATATATATATATATAACTTAATTTAATTATAAATAGTGCGTGGCTCAGTCACCTGTGACAGAGTCAGAAGCCTTTGATGACCATCCGTCATCGGCATCATTATCCAACATTGTGATGCATTCTGGCATCTGCTCCAAAGTCGGTTACCAAAACTCACACCTCATCTCCGTTCGTGTTTGCATTTAATTAAAGGGACTCTGGTTGAGAGTACATCATATATACAGATATGTAAATATATATATATATTGGGGTTTGGGGTTAGTTTGGTATTTTGTATTTTTCTTGCGGGTTCCCAGCTTTGGCCACAAATCAATCCAAATGCGGTTGCGCAGCTGTTGCATCAGCTTCACCTCGATGCCACAGAGCTGCGGAGATGCAAGATGCTGGCTGGAGAGGAGATTGGGAGGTTGCAAGCTTCGGGGGAGGGGTAACGGGTGTTCCAGCAACAATGTCACACATATTGAAATGGAATCTTTTTGGCCCATAAAACGGCCAACTGTGGCAAGCCAACATCGGTTTGGTTGATTTTTTTTGCTCTCTTTTATTTCTTTACAAAAAAAGGAGCAGTTTTTTTTCTTTTATTTTCTGCCACCAATGGCCGCAGTCAACCCCCCTTTGGCCCATCAATTTCCCCATTTCGGTCTTAAAAAACCCAATCCCAATCCCGAGCCGAAATAACCGCAAACTCACTTCCGTTTCGTATCGAGTACTTGTTGTTTTTGCCGCCATTTTGCAGTGAAAACAACTACAAGTAATACAAAGAACAAGAAAAAAAAAAAACGGGAATGCCTTTAACAAAAATAAGCAAGAAAAAAAACAAACAAACAAAAATGAAGTCAAGAAAAATCCACTTTATTCACACCAACAAAAGGCTATAAAAGTATTGCCACAACTTCAGTCAGACGACGCACTTTAATTAAGATTACTTCAAGACTCGACAGATATCTTCTGTGCACTGTGAAAAATAAAGGGGAAGTGGTTCTAAAATTTATACAAAATATTAATATTTAAAAATTATAATACAACAATGTATATAGGTTATACATTAACTGGGTCTTTTGAAATAACAAAAGTGACATAGGGAACTTCATAAACGTTTATTTACATTTTTCAAAAACAATTTAAAAAACAATGCATTAAAACCATGAAATATTTTGTCTAAAAATATTAATATTTATTTATTTATATTAATTTTATTTAATTTTTAATTATTTTTGTTCAAATTCTTAAATACAAAATAGATTAAACTCCAATAAATTGGCTTAAATTATTCATTATAAATATCAAATATTTATGTGACTTGTGATACAATTACAAGGTGTACTCTTGCTGCTTTTGGATAATAAATAAACAAAATTTAAATAAATTTTATTTAAAATACGACAAATTTGAATATTTTCATTTTTCCTTTGTAGTTTTTATTGTACAATTTGTTTAAGTTTTTAATGATTGTTAGGAGTTTATTAGCACTCATATATTTAAAAATAAATTCCATGTAAAATGTGCCATAATTCTTTGTTCTATTTGTTCTATTGGTAATTTCCTATAATTATAGCTTTAAGAAGTTAAGCGTAAAAGCCATATCCGTAAATGAAAATATTATTAATAATATATTAATCAAAACTTCTATAATTTTGGCGTTTGAAAATTGAATTTTTTGATCTTTATTAATTAATAGAAATTATATTATTATGGCCAATTTTATACTATGGAATAATTTCATTCTTGTTGCATAGGGAATTTAAAGATTAATTAATATTAAAATACACATTTATAACAATTAAACCTTAGAACTTTCTGCTTGTTACTCCCCATCATAATCAATTGCAAAGATTTTATTGAAAACTTTTCGATCCCAAACAAGTTGCAAGATTATATTGCAACTTCTTGGTATTTCTGCCTAATTTTGGCCAGTTTCCTTGCAGAAGCCTCTATAGCCAGACACTTGCGGTTTCTGTTTGGATGGACTGATCGGAGTGCATCCGCTTTTTGCTTCCCCCTAAGCCCCATCTCCTTCCTCCTTAGTGCTTCAAGTCGAACGGATATATGGCCAAAATCGAAGATATCCGGTCAGAGCCGTGGGATTTGCAATGGGAAGTGCAAAAACCCCTCGAGGCCTCTTTATATAAACTTATATATACTAGTATATATATATAAGGGATATTATGTATATATTTCTCCCTCCCTTCCATTGCGTATACGTAATTTACGAAAGGGAATTTGCGCATAATTCCACGTGCTTTACGCAAATTACACACAGTGTTTTGCTAGTGGGCAGCCCCTTGTTTGCTAACCCCCTTCTTTGGGCCACTAACTTCACTAACTTGGCTTTCATCCCGTTCGTTTCGCTTCATTGCAACCTCATTTGGCCAAGTTTTGCGGTGGGTCCACCCCACCAGCCTGCACAGCCTACAGCCTACAGCCTTAAGCCATGTTGCTGCTGCAACGCAATTTGCGCCTTAATTGAAACATTAAAATGTGATAAGTGCCGGGTGAAAAGTTGCATGCAACTTGTAATTTTCCTACCTTTCATTACTGGCCAAGAGCTCCGCCCATGGGTTTTCTCCTCCCTCCAAAAAAAGGGGTTTCATTCGGTTGTGCGTAGGTAAAATATTTCCATTATTTTCATTGGATTTATAGAGGTTCATTGCGTATAATACAATACATTTTCATTGGGTGTGGTTTTATGGTTTTTAAATGTTAAAAAAAATTGATAAAAAATAAAATAATTTTATTTATAAAGTTGTTTTTATATATTTATTTTTGTTGTTTAATTTTTGAAGTAATAATCTTTTCAGTTTCATAAATACATAGTAATAATAAAACCAAAGAACTTTAAGACTGTGAAAATAGAAAGTGAGGTAATATTTTGTTGAAGACAGATTTACACAGTTTTTATTCTGAATTGCTTTATTTGTCCTTTAGTTACGTTAATTATTGTTTCATTTTTTAAATTTAAAGATAACTAGTGGTCAAAAAACCCTAAAAATTTTTTATTCATGTGTAATTATTCATGTGAAATTATTCTTTATTCTTGTGTAATTATTCTGGGTGTATTTTAACAGCTTTATTAAATTTAAAGTGTGACTCTTTAGCATTGGTTATTTATTGTTTTACTATTATTCCTTATATTTTCATAGTTTTAAATGATAAAAGAATGTAGGAAATAACTTGAGCGTTTACTTAAGGACCTTAAACCTATTCATAGAGTTAATATTTATTATATATTTAGTTAAACACATTGTTAATTATATATTTCAATTAGAAATTGTTGTAATTTCTTTCTGACTGTATTATTTATTGTTTCTTTTGAAAATTCTTACTCAACATACCTTAAAAAATAAATAATGAATATAGTTCATTAATGTTTTAATCCCGTCAAGCTCTTGGAACTTGCCAAACCAAAAAGGGTTTCTCTGCGATTTTGTTTAATCAAATTTCATGACTACCTAAGAAGTGTTTCTTTGTCGCTTTCAATATAGCTTATAATTTAATATATTTCCTTTTTTTGTTGTGTCCCATAGCTGGCCATTTTTCTTTTATCGCTTCTAATGAATTTGATTAATTATGCGACATTTTTGTCGCTGCTTTTTCGGGCAGGCCGACGGCATGGGGAACGGGTAATTAATCAAAATATGCAAAGACCTTCCTGAGGGGCTGCGATGTCCCGCTGTGCGTTGCGTTGCTTAGGAAACCCCTTTTCCGATGTCTTGGAATTTTCTTTCGTCTTTTCACCTGGCTTAACCCCCCACACACACACACACACACACCTAACCCCACTTGCACTTGCCGTGCCACACACACATGCCTCCTGCCCCCACTGTTGCCATGCATATGGAACGATGTTTTCAATTATCCTTTCGGCCACGCCCACGCTTGCGACTGACAACTTGGAAAATGTCACTTGCTGAAGGGGTCCTCTGGGTGGAGTGGGGGCAATCAAGGGTTAATTGGCCCCCAGCTGGTACTCATTTACCCATGCCTTTTCGCGATATGCCCCTGAGTGGTTTTTTAGCATTATTCCGAGGTGTAGTTCAAGTGCCTAGATATATATGCATGCATAAATATTTATAAAAATATTTATAAAAAATTTATATATATATATATATTTTGGTTATAGTCCCTAATTTTATCTTATAGATATATCAAAAGAAAAACCCTTTTTTCCATTGGATTTATAGAGGTGCATTACGTATATAATATACTTTTCCTTTCGATGTGTATTAACGGGTTTAAAAAGCTAATAAATAGAATGGAAATAGTTTTCGATTACCTCTCTGGAATTTTTAATCTCTAACCGGATGATCACCTTTCTTAATAAATGTCTTTTAAGGTTTAGTTAATATTTCTCTATGAATAAGATATCAATTAAAAAGATTTGATTTTCTTATGTTAAAATTAAGTTCTAACCAAATGATTACTTTTAACTGGTAAAGTTTATCAGTGCCGAGGAAATATTTAAATACCAGTTAAAAATGATTTCTTTGCCTAACAAATACTTTCATGATTAAGTGAGGTCCTAATCAAATAATTAGCTTCAGCGGTTTTAAGTTGTTTAAATGTCCAGTTAATGTTTGAGGCATTCAAACAAATTACCGGTTAAAATTGTAGAGTGTTAACGCCTATGTTAACCGGAAGATCATGTAGATAATTTAACCATTATATTATGCTTTCATTCCATTCCTTTTATAAGTTTACTTTCAGTCAATAAACCTGATTCAAACCAGAGTTTAACTGATATTTAATTGATGTTTTACTGATTGTTAACTTAACTTAATATTAAGATAAACTTTGTAAAATAATTTTCTCGGTGTATCCTATTCTTTGTCTTAATCTCTGACAGAAACTGATCTGATTGTTTATAAGATTCTAGATTTTTAATAATAATAAACCGGACATAAACTGGGGCTTATTGATAGTTAACTGATGTTTAACTGATTGTTAACTTTATCTATCGAACAGATTATATCCTATGATAGTTTCTCCTGTGTTACCATATCCTCTTCCCTTAATCTCTACCAGAAACCGATCTTATTGCTTATTAGATTCTTTTTAATAATAAACTGGACATAAATCGAGATTTACTGAAAGTTAACTGGTGTTTAACTGATTGTTAACTTAATTTATCGTAAAGATTATCTTGTATGATGGTTTTTTCCTGGTTAATAAAATCCTCTTTTCGTAATCCTTTAAACTTTTCCTGGCTAATCAAATTCTTCTTCCTTAATCTCTTCCAGAAACCGATCTGATGGGCGCCGGCGAATGGACGGGATCGTCGAGTTCGGCGGCGGCTTATTACCATAGCCACGCCCACCATCATCCTCACGCCCATCATCCGCATCACGCCCATGCCCACGCCCACCTGCAACACCAGATGGCCTTGCCGCCGCCACCTCCGCCACCAGCCGCCGCTCCCGTTTCGGTGGGCGGCAACGGTGCCACCATGGGCGTAGGCGTGGGCGTGGGCATGGGAATGAATCATTTTGGCGGCGGCTACGATTCGGCGAACTCCCTGGAAGCTGGCAACTATGCCGCCCACCTGCCCACCGTGCTGCCCGAGATGCATGGCCATGGATTTGCCACCGATCCCTACCAGACGGCGGGCTATGGCAGTGGCAGCGTGGGCGTGGCCGGCGGCGGCAGTGCCTCCAAGTCGGAGCTGGACTACGGTGGGGGCTACAATCAGGCGTGGTCGAATGGTTATCAGAACTATCAGTATGGAAGCTGCTCGGCGACGGCCCAATATGGTCCTCAGGCGGCGGCACCACCTCCGCCACCACCGCCGCCTCCGGTGGTGCTGTACCCGCAGCTGTACTCCACGGTCAACCAGAACCAGATCCACCTCCATTTGCACAGCAGCGAGAAGCTGGAGCAGTACCTGGGCTCGGCCACCGGTGGTGAGCAGCTGACCATTAGCTCACTGACTGGCCGATCCAGCATTGAAATTGGTGGAAATCAGGGGGATCAATACCAGCAACAGCAGCAGCAGCAGCAGCAGCAGCAGCAGCAGCAGCCGCACCTGACCCATCCGCATTCGCATTCATCGCATGGCCAGCATGGTCAGGTGGTGGAGTCCTCCAATGAGGTTGGCGGCGTTGTTGTGGAGGCCGCACGGGAGGAGGACGTGGGGGATCTCACGCCGGTGTGGCGACCCTATTGACCCAGTCGGATAACCCGTCCAGTCCCGCCCACCTTTGCCACACACGCCCATGTCCATCCGCATCCGCATCCTCATCCGCATCCGCATCAACACCCACCGCTGCACCTGCACATCGAACTGAATTAGGCGAGCAGCAGGATCAAGAACTGTACAATTCTTTTTTTTTTGCCTTTTTTTTGTAGCTAATAATGTAATGTGTAACTTAATAAACCAAGATATCGGACAGATGTACATAAAGTATATATATACTTTAGGGAATAATCATAAAACGAAAAGGGTCCTGTTTCCAATTTGATTTCCAGTTGAGTACATTGATATATCGATACCCTATTTCAATACATAAATCGATTGAAAGTTGCAAGAAATCGATATTCTTCTTTTTATGTATCGGAATAATATCATTGGAAAGAGAGAGATTACAAAATTTTATCAAATTTGTTTGCTAATATTCAATGTAATATTTTTAAAATCAAAAACGAAATATTTCGATATTCAAAATTATGATATAACAATTTTTACAATACTTTTTTCGTCATATCATATACAGATATATATACATATTCAATAATTTATTGAAAACCCAGTTTCAGCAAAAAGAAATCTCTATGGAAAGGAGGTAAAAAAAGAGAGAGTTATCATTTTAATTGACTTCATTTTATGTAATTTTATTCAGAAATACTCCTTTTTATATTCAAAAGACTTACCAACATATTGCTTATTATTTTTTTATAAACAGCTTTCTCTTAAATCAAGGAAACAGGGCCTAAAGTCAGGGAAACTTCTATAACTTGAACCAAAAAAGATCTGTTTTTATATTTTATATTTTCAATCTAATCCATTAAAGGTGGAATAACATAGTTTTTCAAACATTTTTATTATAAACCAATCATAACTGGTTCGAGTTAAAGAAGTTTCTCTGCTAAAAATAATAATAATATCAATAAAACTATTGAAATAAAGAAAGCCACCCCCCACCCTGACACCTGTTCAGGGGCTGTACATAATAGAATGTTTATAATTAAGCTTAATTAAGTATAAATTATGGTATATAAACAAATGATTTACCCATCCCCTCAAAACCTAGAGAGCACCATCCCCATTCCCTACAAATCATAGAGAAGCACCGGATTTTTTTTACTAGCTTTAAGCCTAGAAAGATACTCGATAATGCCGCACAACTATCTATAAATATATATATATTATATATAAAGATATATATTAATATAAAACAATGTATGTATACATTTTTTTTTCTGTTACCTTGTGTGTCTGTGTGAATCTGCCAAAGGATTCAAAGTAGAAGCAAAAAGCTGAAAAGCTAAAGAGAAGACTATAAATAAAGTTATCGTATTTATTTTAAATTGAATTATGTAAATGTTTTTGCACATAATTATGGTGTTTATTAAAGGGTACTTGATACAGATTTCAAGGGGTCATAGTTTAAGGCAGAGACTTTGCCTAACCTTTTTCTTTAACAATTTACAATTATGCAAGCATTTTATATATATATTTTTTTTTTTTTTTTGGCTGACCACAGCAACAACAACCGCGTAGAGTTAATTATGCGCATATTTTAGATTAGAAGCAACAATAAGCGCAACAAAAAAATAATTCGCAACAATTGTGCAAAAAAAAAATCATGCATTTTTGAGTGCGAAGCCCTAAAACTGCGCATGTAAATAATAAATTAAAAGTTATTGCCAAACAGAAAGAACCACAAAGTGTGCACACACACCACACACACACACTGCCCATCTCCGTCGACATATTTCTCTGGATGATCTCCGATCTTGGATCTCGAATCTCTCATCTCCGATCTTCGGCAGCTCTAGTTCCATTTTCCATTTTCGCCTCTTTTGCGGTCGCTCCGTGGCATAAATATCTTCAAGAAGAAGCAGCAATGGGTTAAAACATAACAGCCTTAACCCCTTGGCACCCTTGCCGCCATTTGCTGCTGCTGGCAGGCAAAATCAAGGCGGGGCAGTCAAGTGTTAAATTGCAAAAGACATTTCCATTGTCGGCAATTGCGAAACGGAAACCCTAGACAAGAGACCCGAGACCCGCTGGGTGGGGTCTCCACCGATAATCTATACCCTATGGCCTATCCACTGGAAATAATCGATTGATCTCAATCGATGTCTTTGGGAGAAACTCAAGGTGCTGGCTAAGGAGAAACACTCCTTCTAAATGGTATATATATGGATTTTCAGTACATCTTAAAATCTTTATGGTTAAGTAACTTGTTGATCATGGTTCTTGAGACTTTAGGGATATTATATTATTACTTTTACTATATATATTATCCCTTTATCCCCTTATCTTTCACTGTAGGAAGCTCAAACCAGGCAAGCGTTAAAGATCTCTCCCTCCTCCGGCTTGGGCTTTCTTTGGGCAGAAGCCCGACACACGTCTTAGCTTCGCTCCAGCGTCATAAGTATACATAGAGTAAGTGATCCACTCGAAGATCTTGCGGTGGCCCAGAACAAAAGGGGGAAAACACATCGGGTCTTGGCTGAAAACTAGTAACTTTGTCAGCAGTTTATGATGGGCGACTTGAATTACCATTGCAGAGAGAAGCAGTCCAAGCCGAAGCCCAAGCCCAAGCTAATTAACTTCCAATGTTGTAGAACTCTGTAGAAGTCCATCTCGGAGGCTACCGTGTGATAAGGGGGGAACTCTTGGGTGGTCCCGTCCTGCAATCCTAGGCCAGAAAGGAAAGACGACTATTCATGAATGGAGATCGTTTTATGAATCGATGGAGAAAAGTTAAGCGAACTAAATATAGTTCAAAGTTGACCCATTTATATTAGTTTTAAATAGCATATACGTTCGACTTTCCTGTCACCCAAACTATCAAGTGAGAGTGCCAAAGTCCAGTTCTCAGTGTTTTTTAAGCTTTCAGCTTTGTCACACAAAATTTAAAAAGTAAATTTTATTTTTCAGTTTCAAAATTGACAAAAATTTTTGTACCCAGTTATTCTCTTGACTATCTTTAGATTTCTAAGATGCCCACAAGAAGCCGCAATGCTAACCCTCGACACTGGAAGATGAGTCTTACCGCCGGCAATGTTGGCATCCTTCTGCTGACATGGAGCGTTCTCCTACGGTATGGGATCCCTTCCGACGAGCAGGAAGGGACCTCGACGAAGTCCAACGAGACCCTGGTTTGCCACCTGATGATGTCAACCGATGTTACCGTTATTGCCCTGCGAGGACCCATCGAACGCGAGTTGCAAGAGCTCCAGAGGAATGCGGCATGCCCATCGAAAGTGTACCTGGTGAATGACAGTGAGACCGCCTGCGAGATGTACAAGATGTTGCAAGAAGAAGATTTCTGTGGCGACACGACCATGTTGCCGTTTGAGGACCAGTGCGACTACTCCATGCCGATTCAGTGCAACATATGGTTCGTCTATGTCATCCTTTTGATCCTGGAGACCTACATCCTGAACGAGTACGATGAGTGGGATCCTTTGGCCCTGCTGGCCCTTCTGTCGATCATCTACACCATGGGAATAATTGCAGTTTCGGTAAACCGAGTCCCCGATCTCACTATCAACTTGTGGGTGATAAACAATTAAAATAAGCATTTAGTAAATTTATAAGGAGAATAAACGTTTTTGACAGAGAAATATAAGTTTTATTATCATTTAGTTTATGATGTCATCGAGTGTGTTTCGTCAATATCAACGCATTTAACCTTTAAATTAGCAAATCAAATTTAATATGGGTGAATCAGTCGATGAGTAGAAAACCTCTTTGATGAGCATTACGCATAAAGTTCATAAAAAATCATCGGGGGATAAAGCTTACTTTTTTGAGAATCGCAAAGAGAGGCGATTGGCCATCTCTACTCCCTCCATCCCTCTCCCTCTCTCTGGGATATCTTTCTATCTTGCTTTCTTTCTTTCTCTAAAAAGCAAAACAAAGAAACAACGGTAAGGGGCCTCCTAGCCTTCTGTCCCTTTTCACCCGCTGTACCTTTGTTTTTTTTTTTACTTAAGTATCGCGATAAGCTTAAATAATGCCACAACAACAACAACAAAAATAGCATCCAACAGATGCCATCTCGCTCCGACACGCTTTAAGCGGAAACTGTTACAGTAACGGTACATGCGAGTGTGTAAATGTAAACGTAACGGTAACTGTGCTACTTTGTCTGCGAATTTCGCCGAACAACAAAACAAGTTCAAATGAAGTTGTATTCATCTCATTTGGGGTGCGTGTTTTCCGCAAATAAACCAAAATGAAATCCGCAACAACAAAATCAAACGGAGCGTAACGGCAGCGAGAAACAACAACAATTACAATAGCAGTTAAGCGCCACCCACAATACACACACACACACATAAATCCCACATAAACAAACAACAAAAAAACAAATTCAGAACTCAACTTGACTCGAAAAACAAAAGGAAAAAGAAAACACAAGTGGAAAGCACCAACACCAGCAACAAATTAAACGAAGGCTCAAAAGTAACCACCCACAAAAAAGAGCGTGAGAGAGCACAAGAAAGAGAGTGCTTCAAAAGATTAAGAGAAATTAGTCAGTGAGCTGGCAAAAAGAGAAGAGCAAGCTGGAAGTCATAAGGTTGCTTAAGGGTGAAAGATGCAACACCTTGTAACAGGTTGTATTTTTAGACGAGTATTTAATTATTATTAATACATTTATTTATTTATTATTAACATATTTGAACGTTTAAATAATATTTTAAGTGCAATTAACTTGAATTTTATTTACTTAAATATTATGTTTAAGAGGAACGGAAATAAACTTTGGAAAGTCGAAACTTGTAGACCCTTGCAGGTTGCAATTAGTGGTCATAGGATCACAACAAATAAAATAAAAGAAAATAAGCTAAGAATTTAAATGTAAGTCCCAATGTTTACCATATTAAATGTTAAATTTTCTATCCTTCAATTTGAGTTGCATATTTCATATTAATGTAAGTATCAAGTATTTTATTAATTTAGGTATTTTATTTGTATTGTTGTTTTAATTATTTTATAATTTCATACATAAATACAATACCTTATACCATACCTATTGTAATATAAAATATACAACTCAAACTATTTAATTTATTTTGTTGCTATATTTATTTCATAATTTCTTAAATATATATAATTTATATTCTGAATAATAAGCCCCATTACTTGAAACAACAACAAAAAACTTATGAATGACTCTCTTAAGTTCCTCTTCTTCACACTCACATTTACTGCTAGCTCTCTTTCTTTCTCTCTCTCACTCTCTCTCTGTCTTTCTCCCTCCCTCTGTCTCTCTTTCTCTCTCCCTCTCTCTTAAGCTTTCTTTATCAGTGAAATGATTCATTGTGCATTTTCGGGCATTTGGCCCATATCGACTTGCTTCGACTTGTGCATAATCGTTTTTGGGTTTATCATGCGAATCGCTCCCCAATCCCCGAGAGAGAAAGAGAGAGGTAGAGAGTAAGAGAGAGGGAGTTTGATAACCCGATCGATCTTGGGGAGTAAGCCCGGTGCGCAGGGCTTTCCCTATCGCCGCGCTTCTGACGTGTTTATCGAAGCCACTGGCACACGCCGCGTATGAGTAATGCGCCCCTTGATTTGCATACGGAACAATGGACAGGGATCAGGGTTATAGTAGATCGGCGGACTCCGAAACCATTAAGTTGTCGAAGTTTGCGGCACGCATGCCGCACGCCTTAGGATTTGGCCACAAGTTGGTTAGTGTTTTTTTGCACCAGTTCTTGCACCACAGTTAAATCGTTGCATTAAAGTGTTAAACACCTGGTCTCCGGTCTTAACACTGCGCCAAATCCCATTCTTACACTGACGAAAAAGATACAGCAGCTTTTGGTTTATATCGATTTAAAGCTAATATTTTAATCTAAATTATATAGTCTTTAAATAGATATTTTATATGATGTAATAGGTTATAAAAAGTAAATAACTAAGGTAAAATTGTTAAGCTATCTTTTCGGTAGCATCAATATTTTCTATGATAATTGCGATATATTGCTTTGTTTAAATTTCGATAAACCAAACGTAAGGATATTTTCGATAGGCTTATGGAGTGCTCTGCTTATATCGATATATTATGTACCATATATGAATATTTCTCTTGTTGATATATAGCCTGATAATAACGATATTTTTGGTAGGATAGTAAGGTCTATATTTTATTTAACTATATATTATATTGGAATTATCATATTATATGTCGTATATTTTTCTCTTGATATGCAAACCCTCCTAACATTATTTTAATAATAAATACAATATTTGTTTATGATTATTATGTATTATTATTATATTTAATTATCATTATATAATGATATTTTTATGATATTTCGACAGGATATTGAGCTGTATATTTGCTAAAAATTTCCCCTCAGTGCATTCCCATTCCAATGTGGGGCTTCGATTTCGTATGTAAATTTGATGCTTTGCCTAATTTGGCTTTTTCGACTTTTTGCTGGGCACCAAATGAAATTAGCTACGTTGCGTTGCAAAAACCATCGACCATCGACGCACATAGAAGCGGAATTGAAGCGAAAGGCGTCAGGGCATGGGCGCCGAAACGTGAAGGGGGGCTTGGGGGTTCGAGCAGGTGGGGACGACTAATGTGTTGGCATGTGTCAGACACGTATCAAACGCAGCGACAGCCGGGAAGTCAGCAAAAAACAACAAAAATCACAGCAGAATGAGTGCGGAGTCCTCACAAAGTGCACTCACCTGCAAAAGGATAATGTTGCTAAAACAGTAATTAATGAGTTAAGGTCTGTTAATATTTATAATAATTTAAATATTGATATAGCAACTTCAGAAGCAAAAGTTCTTACAAACTTTTAGAAATTTCCAAAACTAGGTTTTGCATAGTTCAAATTTCTTAGATCCCTATTAGCATATTATCAGTAATATAATGAATAAACCTTCGACTAACCGAGATGATGAATCCCATGGACTCTTTGTCTGTTGGCCAAGATGACTGTGAAGGTTTCCATGTCGAATGAATCAACTTGATTCGTAGTCAACGACTCATGCTCGATCAAAATATATTCATATAGCAACATAATGCGAATACCCACTTGATTCATGGATTAATCACAAATCAATAAACTTGATTATACAAATTTCAAAGAAAATATGTATGTATATATATAGAAAATATATTTATATATTTAAAAAAACTTGGCAAAATATAATCATGGAATAAGCTCAAAGTTAATGTACCCTCTTATTTTTGTGTATTTTTTCACCAACAGTAGTATAGGGTTGTTCATGGATATTATAGGATAATAATAAAAAATATATTTAAAAATCATAAACAACTTTAGTCAATAGTTAAGTTTGTGGGTTATTTTTGTCACTACAAATTTTATGCTCTTTTTTTAAATATTTTTTCTGATATTCCAAACTAACATAAGGATACATACAAGATAGAGCAATCCTTAGGATACTTAAACAAGCTTTTAGATAATCTTAAAAAATATCATAGAAAAACATCGAAAATTTTAGTGAAAATTCAAGAATCAAAGCCAAGTTTCTCTCTTTTTATTTTTACACAATTTTTCCTCTCAGTGCACGCATTGCACTCTTTCTCTGAAGGTCACAGGGACAACGACTGCTGAGGGGGTTGAGCGGGTTTATTGGTTATGGGTGGAGGCGCGGTCGCCCTTGTGGCTGCCGCTGCTTTTGTCACCCGCCGGCAAACTTTCGATGATGCGTCGATGCTGATGCCAGTGGCGTATTTGGGGGCACAAACCAGCCCCCGCCCCCTGGAAAAGGGAGCGCAGGTCAGGGGGTCAGCCTCCAGCCTCCCTGGCTGGGTTACCTGTGAACTTGATTAGCGGTTTTCTGTTGTTGCCACTGCCACAGCCGTTGGCCGCCGCATCATCCCCCCCGCCCCAAAAAAAAGGTTATCGCCGAGTGATTAGCGCGATTGCTAGTTTGCAGCCAATGCCGTTGCTGCCACATCATTATAGCTATTTTATTAGCCTTTTGATTATTTTAGCACCAATTTGTTGTTACCGGTGTGCCGCTGCGAGCCCTCTTGTTGTAAATATACCCAGCAGGGTATTACATTTCGATCAATGAACATGGAAAACTCACAAACTCATTAATACTCTTTCGGATTTATATACTTTTCGGATTTTATATACTTTTTCGAATTTAAAGTATGGTATTTTAATCTACAAAATTAAATGAAATATTACAGAGAATACTAAGAAAAACCTAAATTTATGTATACTATTTTAAGTAATATATTATATTGATTTTCATTAATTAATATACTTATTTAAGTCCAAGAACCTTTACAGATCCTAAGATATTTGTTTTAGAAATATCACTCAAGAGCTTCTGGTTGTATCGTTAATACTGCCTCTTAAAGTATTATATAATTGTTATAGAATAATAATTTAAGGACCTCTGATTATTAGAGACTCCTAGACCTTATCAAGGGTATTTCCCGTTTGGGTTCCTTAAATCCTAAACCTGACTCTGGTCGCTGCCGCCGCCCAACCGCATTCGCTTTGATGTTGTTGCTGGGATTTCGAAACCGCTTATTAAATATACGCAATGCAAATAAAATAATAAGCAGCATGGACACAAAAAAAATATATATGTATATATATATAAACTCAAA